AAAGTCCTATTAGCGGGCACGTATGTGGCACTTTGCGTTGAACAGAGCATGGAAGGCTGTACATTAACAGAATAACCCAGTTCTCCAAACTGAGGGTCCGGTTGCAATGCTCCTACCTTAACATGCATTTTGTGGAATCTTACCCCCTGGAACTTGAAGAAACCCTGCCTCGTGTGCGTGTAAGGGCTCGTTCGTGTGCGACACATAGGTGGAGGCCGTGCACTAGCTGGGACTGATGGTTACTCCCCGGATGCGCCTGTGCTGCAGGAAGATGTGAAATTCACATTCCGCATGCGCTGATTCCTGTGTCCACACGCATTTCGGTCCTTGTTCCATATTATTAGTTTTGAAGAAATCGAATTAGCTTCATTGGCTAATAATCATTCATTTTGATAGACCACATGAACCCCCAGTCAAAGCCAAATATGCCAAACAGGTCGCACTGGGGGCGTCCGAGGTCCAGTGGCGTAGGGAGTGCTGACAAAAGCGATTAAGAATGACCGTTGGAACGCCGTGGCGGTGACTTTCTCCATCTTGTCAATCTCTGCCTTACAACAGCATCGCTCTGGTTCTCAAAGTTGTACCATATAACCTGCCATCTGCTGTCCGACTGGGTTGGCAGTTACTGTTGATAGGCACTTCTCGCCCACTGCCCGGCCATTCTTCAGGTTCACTCGGTCACAAGTATACTCAGCAGCAGGACGCTTTCAGGCCAGACACCAGTTGAAAAGCTGAATCCGCAGGGTCCAGTGGTTAAGTGGATTGTTCTTTCCATGCTTACTTTATTTGTGCTGGATGTATGGGACATTTCTACTTCTGAGTGCGTTGCAGTCGCGCTGTTTAGGGCGCGTAGCCGCACAATCAAATCTCCTGAATTGGGGATTGTAGTGTGGCTAAACACTCCCCCACTTGATCGTTCCAAAATCGGCTCAATCGCTGTAATGGCAACTGCCGTGGCCCGCCACACCCTGCTAGGTACTCTGGATAATATGCTTCAGTCAGAGTCGACGGTGCTCACCTAAGGACGTCGCTCAGGCGGCTGACTGGGTTTGTGCAGGGAAGTAGTTGGGAACAGTCAAACAGCTGCTCTTGGCTATGGTAAGATTATTGAGAGTTGATATCGCATTTAGTCCCGGATCGTACCTTCTCGACAATCTATAGTGTCATCCGAATGGGAACTGCAAAAGACCACCACATGAGTCATTTTCAGTGCCAATGTCGGCGTGGGGGCATCGCGCGAGTCAAGCCGACCCAACGTGTTTGAACAAACATGAGGACGATTTCATTTCGAGTTTGGCCACTAAATGTTTTACTTTGGCAGCAAACACGGCTATCTGAATCAGGTAATGGGTTTGGTGCCGTAAAGATTGCAGATATTTTACCACTCACGCAGTAGCTTCTCCCTTCTTAGTAACCAAGGTCTCAACCCGCAGGCGTATCGCACCCCTCTTGCCCTGGACTTAGCCTCTCGCTGCCACAAGTTCTCAAAAGGCAAGCCTCACTGCATCCACGTCAATTTCTCCCCAATGACATGACGAGCGTAAATGTGCGTGGTCTCAGTGGCTGACAAATCCAAGCCGCAGGCCACACATGACCCGGTCTCGAAATCCGTATGTGTAAGGTTACACGTAAGAGGGGAGTCCCGAGTTTTACATAAAAAAGAATGTTTTCCGTGCCACTATGGCCTATGTATAAGCTATTTTAGGGTGTACCAGTGGATGTTAGACCACACAATTTCTCAAATTTAAGATTTCATCTCCCTGCCTCTTATCAACTCGAATATAGATTCCGCGTCACATATAGAGGACTATGAAGTCAGATCTAGTGACAGCTGAGGCGATGGTCTGCGTCCATTAAGTTTAATCTCAAATTTGGCGGGCGTATATAAGGTCGGCTGCTAATATCTCTCTTTTTATGCGGTCGCTTCCTCTGCGCATCAGCAGGAACTTCGTCGCTGTAGTTACGTCACTTGTTATCTTTTTCCCCGTTCACATGGATTTTTACTACAGACGCACGGCTGGGTTTTGCTGTTACTCCTTTTCCCCCTACAAAATCTGCATCTCCCCCCCCCCCAACACGACGGCTGTCTGATTACAGCCATTGTTCACCTTGGGTTGTTACACAGGCGTGTTTTATAAACGACAGCACAGCGTAGTAGGCACACTGGAAAACACACAACCTGACGTCCCCTTTCGTGCGCTCATAATAAGCAGAGATGAGACCCCCTGACCCTCCAAAACTTTTACTGTTTCGCCGTTGCCCAACGGTCGTCCTATCGAGATGGCGACAGCATTGGACTCCACGGAAGACCTGGATTGAAGACGAGACATGGAAGTTTTTGAAAATGTCCGACGGGTGCTTTACTGTAAATAACCGAAAGCAGTGACGGTTAATTATCTGATGTTGAAACCTTGTAGTCAAGGCTGATGAGGAATCCACTCCCCTCAGTCAGACATAATTTAGATGGGACGTCAAGGCTTAAGGCATCAATTTGGTTGGGGCGAATGTAGAAGTGAAGCGTTTTAGATGCATCGGACGCCGTTGGGGTATTAGAAAATAACGGGGTTAACAATGATGGTGTAACCCCTTATTACCTAGTCGAAACTGTTAGTGCTTTCTCGACTGGCAACTTCGCAGACGAGCCACATGACTGCATTGGCCTAAGGGTTTGGACTTTTCATTCGTGCGAACTACTACTACAGTTCCTGTTTGCTTTTCCGCAATATTGCCGCCGAATAGGAGGTATTTTTTGAGTATGCCTCACGAGTTCCTACTGTTTAACTGCCAGTTCATTTCAGTGTAATGAAGCGTAGTTTTCAGAGTATTATCAATGTACATGCTACAGGCTTATAAATAATCGATATAAGCCTGTCGCTCATGCTATTGGAGCATAGAAACTGAGAGGACAGGCATACACTTCGGAAGGTGACGTGGGATGACGACCCTTGCTCACAATTTTCCAGCAAATCAAGACGGCTATACAAGTCATGGTGGCGGTTGACAATGTCACCATAAAGAAATCCGCAAATATTCAGCGTTAGGAGCAGATGTGTACGAGAAAGGCCTAAGTAATGGTCATTCCCCGTCTGGGCTTCTCACACCAAACAACAGTCGGAGACTGCACTAGCCCTCAAGAATGCTGTATTTCCGTCACTCGGACACCAAGACACAAGATGGCATATTCAGTAATGGAAGTAGGTGCAACCATAAACCATCACACCACACGGTGTAAAGTCAAGTCGACCGGAACTCCTGGACGATCGCTGACACTTTCGAAGGTCAACTTTGCGCTCAGCCCGTCCCGACCAGCGCACCAATTTCGGTAATGCACATAAAGATTTTACACGTCCAAATCTCATACCTTCTCACACCTGGGGTGGGGTCCAGATCCGTAAACGAGCGAGTAAAGCGTTACTAGACATCAGGGGACATCGGCAATGTAGTAGACCCATCACTTTGAGCAACTGAGTCTTCCGACCGCTGACTACATAACGTACAATCACTGATTTTATTATTGATCACTTCGCCGTAAACATGATGGCCGTCAAGTCACCCGCGGACGCGCAGCACAACCTGAAGCCAGGCTGCTCCCAACTCCAGGGTCTGAAGCTAGCTTAGGACTGTACTGGCTGGAATACCGGGCGGTTTAACGGGTCCCACGGGTCAGTGTATCACGAATCGATGCAGACCACGACCCACAATGGCCGGATAGGCCCTGACGAATAATTGTCCGTTTTGCGTTCCATTTCAAAGTACTGTTAGGCCCAGCGTCTCCATGTCCGCTCAAACCACAGACATTTACCCGATATCTGTGTATCACAGGGGCTGCGTCAGCACATTCAGAGAGAAGTACCGGACGCAAGACGTAAGCAGACCCTGCGAAGCGGCGACCTTTGGTCGCCTTACCCATAGGTGCCGCCAATCGACAGGAAAGCTCTGGACTGGAGATGTGGCTGGCGAGCAGACGCTGAAACGTCTTCCAAGAGTACCATTTGTCAAACACCTACGTATTATGGTAGAGGCGCGCATTGACCGCGTAGCGGAGCCTACTCATCTCGTTGTGCCCTGCGGGCTCTCCCGAGCCCCGCCACCAGCCGTATGGCGGCGCGTAATGTTGACGAGCCAAATTATCACGATGGCCACTTCTGGCTTATTAGCGGTCATCAGCCAGCAATACCGAACCCCGAGGTGTGCAATTTCCGGGGTGGGCTTGATCGCGCGACCTGTTGGCAAGATGTCCAACACCCTAACCACTGAGCCACGGACTTGTTGTCCTGTCCGTTGCGATCTGGTGGATACAATGCTACAGAGAACGAGCCCGTGACTCAGTAACTAGCGCTGTGGGCTTCTAACCAATAGGTCGCCGGATCAAGCCTCAGGGGTCTGGTATGACTAGCTGATGACGAGTTATGAGCCAGGAATAGCCATTCCAATCTCCCTTCTCTTTGTCGGGAATGTCACTCTGTCATCTGCACTTATCCAAAGCAACAGCGTACTACAGTGCCAGAAATGTTGACAATGGCTTTCTTCCATTCCAACGGTCGCCGGCACTCAGACCTCGGTTTCCACTATAATACCTTAACTTAGTTATCCTCTAGGGCATCATTAGGTGGACTTGAAAGAGGCAGGTCAAGCTGACTAACTTTTGAGGGACAGGCAAACATGAGAAATACACAGGTAGTCATCCATAAATGAGCCTAATGTTAGGTGAGACACCAGGTCTTCGTCAAATGAATCTGAGAGTTCCGTCGACTAACGACCCGTAAGTAAACCATTAACCCTTAAGGCAAAAGGAAAAGGCCTTAGTCGTTTTTTGGCTCATCATACAAAACGAAAACTAATGGAGACAGGTGGAACGAATGCACAAAAATGAAACTTCAAAGTGACCAAACGGCAGGTGGGGGAAAACTGGACAAAAGCGAGAGGAAGGGGTTCCACAGTGACTGGGGACAGGATGTGCTCATACTCTGCTGACACCTAGCCAGGAAAAGGCGGCGGACTTATGCACTGTGTGGTAAGCGGCACATGTCGCATTCCGTGCTGTCAAGTTTGTTGTGGAAAGTGCAGTGCGCACAGGCCCAGTAGTCCGCGTCACTCTCCATCTCCTGCCCATCCGGTGGTAAGCTACTGGCGGCGGCATCTCTAAAGCTTTTCGAGCCACTGTTAGCCGCCGTTTGCGGACTGCCATCTGATCAGAAGACACACAAAAAGAATCCATTTGTAACACCAAAACAAAATCTAAACATAGGATAGTTGGAAGTCGCGGAGAGGTTCACGATTGACCCACGACGTGGGGCGCAACCGTGACTCAGACGTGAGGCTGTTTATAACGAATGACAACTGCAGTGCAACTACGTCACGCTCTTCTCCCACGGCCAACACAATCGGATATGGGCGTGGACACAGTGTGAACGGTCTGTCTAGGCATATCAAAGACGATTTGAGCGTGACTTTACGCCTACTGGTCCCCATGGTGGGATTCCCGGATATCACATCAAGAGGGAATCATTGCAGACCAGTCCTCAGTCATAAATAAGGGCGAGTTATCTTGTCAATCTGGAACTATCCAAGCCACGACTGACCGCAGGTCTTGAGTGGTTCATGCTCGCCAGTTAAGGTGGCGAGGAACACATTGACTTGCCGTGAGGGAAATTTCCTCAGTATTGCCCTTCTTTCTCACATACGCCACTGGCCTGTCCGAACCTGTGAGCGGACTGATGGTAAGATTGGACGTGGTGGCTAACGTGGTGCAAAGCTCCCACCTATCGTGCGTTACGCGCACATATAAGTATTTATCACAGTCTGTCCACCATTACAGACGCTGGCCAATGTATGAGTGAGGGCTGGCTTTAGTATATGCGAGAATGATTAAGTAGACCCACGAGCTGACTGGACGTGAGGACGCTGCATGGACAGAGAAGGCGTACGTGGCATGTGTTAGCCAGTGACGCGGCAATAGGTTTACGAGAACGACCAGCCGACAAATCACCAGAATGTGCGATCGAAATGGGGCGATTCGACACTGTGTTTACAGTGCTGATGATGGTGTTAAGTGTCCTGGCGGTTTTCACGTTGCTAACGATGGTGGTGCTTGCTTTTGCAGATAATAGGCCTGTATAGTTGACAATGCGGTGATCCTGCGGGTGTCCAACACGGCCCGTCCGGGTCTTGAATGCACGCTGGGAATGCAAACATTTTATGAAGGTTCGAAATTAGCGCTGTTGATAGGTGATATTACCTTATTTAATGCCTACTCTTTCGCCTTGGTTTCCTATAACTGGTTGGCTTCAAGGACTGCTGCTCCAAGTTCGACGGCTGTTTGCTATGCCTGTCGGTTTTACGTAGTCGTTTCCCAAGTCGTTGGGATAATTCAGAGGACCTCCGCGAGTTCTTCTAGCGTCGTACTTGCCCACTTTTTCTGCGAGTGTCCGTAGCGACATCCCGTATAAGAGACGTTTTAGCATTCACCCGCCAGTCATACGATGCGACCCCTCAACGGTAGTTAGACCAGCTTTAGCTAGACACAGATGCTCAATACACCAGTTGCCTCAAGCAGCTGGATGTCCGGAATCTGCTCCCTATACTTCACTTCTAATATAGTTGGAAGATGGAAATGGTTCAGCGTTCTTCATTGGTTTGGAAATATTGTCCAAGTCCCAACACTACCGAGTGGTGCTGTCAGGCTGCCAATCCTACATATCTAGAGTTTCATGTTAAGGAAGTAAGAAAGACGATTCTGGGCCGCGTTTTGTAACCAGCCAATGATGTATTTGGCATTAGAGATCAAGGCTACATCTTCGACGCCGATTTTGACTGTCCGTGAGGTGGTGCTGTTCTGACCAACGAATTAGTCAGCCACTGCGACGCGAGTACCACTGACACTTTCCGTGGAATCCATGTATTCGACAGTTGGCGTTGGATGGTACATGATTGCTGTATCTGTGTGCTGATAGGTGGTTCAAAATGTGCACTTCCGTAGTCTAAAGGGTCCAAATTTCCTGCAAGTGTGCGAGTCGGATGCAGAGCCGTGCGGAATGAGTTACATACATGAAGGTCAGTCTATCTAAAACAGACCAAGTCCAAAACAACGCTGTATTAGTCTACCTGCAGTTTATTTGATACTCTCCGTGATACACAGACACGACAACGCAAACGACGACGCCCAACGCGTGCCACACGGCGTGAGTGAACACTGGTGACATGCGTGTGAACTTTTTGCAGTAGGGGAGATTTGCGCATCATCTACAACACTCTTTCCTCAATCACTCACCTTGCTCCAGTAGCAAAACAATGCCGAGACGGTCGTGAGTGGGCGCGGGAACAGTGACTAACCAAGCGAAACAGTCGCTTTTTAATTTCCTCAGAAATTAACTATGGATTTGGAGTTGATCAGTTTATTCAAGGTCAATAGGCCCAGACCGAGATTTTTATGTATGAATATTTGGGCCGAAGTCCATCAGCCACAGCGGGTAACCGCGAAACATCCATTAACTGCCGACAGGTAGCCAGCAGTATACTTAGGGTACTAAATAACATACGATACTAACCAAATACTTTCTACGGCACCATTGCAGCCTTTTAGTCCCGAAAAGAACCGAGCTATCCCGTCAGTTGGCAACCTTACAAACCACGACTGATATTGAATCAGCCGCCAGATTTATAATAGTGAGGAATGAGCTGATTTGCCGCGAATGCCTGCCTTATTTTGTCTTCCCTCTCCCATGCACCAGTCGACTGTCCGAGTCTGTAAACCAACGAGGGATGGAAGGGGATGAAAAGGCTAACGCAACGAGATCACATGCAAGGTCTGTCACCAATCGGCATGTGTAAGTGTTCTGTAGCTTATGAGATGTTCGTCACGTAAAGCAAATCGGGAAATTTCGGGGTTAGTTTCCAAGCTGGTTTCCAGTGCTAGTCTGTCTTCGGTGTTCAGGGGTATCCACTAGTAGGAAATGAATGGCATGCTATAGATTCACCTGCAATGCAATTGATGGGCGAGCGGCAGATATAGGCTTGTCAAGGAAACCACCTTTCGAGCTTTGCGCTTCCGGCTCTTGGCACGAAATTCGGTCATTCGATTTGTCTCTGATCTCAACGAGGGAAATTGTGCCCCGGAGAAGATAACTATCGGCAAGAACTGTTTGTATTCTCACCCTACATACAGTAAGTGTTCATTTATTCTCACGTAGACTTGCTTACTAGTCCCAGCAACTTAACACATTGTGCTCCATTAAACACGATACCACAGATAATACCGGAGTCCCTTGGAAGAATAAGTTGTCAGCGAACTACCGCTCCGGTCCGGAGTGTGATTTAAACTCACATTAGCGCATAAGCTTGGCAAACTTTTTGGAGACAAGGGCTTGATAATTTACCCAATGCTAACACTCCTTATCTAAGAGTTCTTCACCAGCGGCAAGTCAGAGGAAACTACGGTCAGAATGCAAGTGTTTTGTGAAGCCTACTTATGTGATGGTCTCAATAGGCTATAAATACCCTCTCGAAGGCTAATCAAACGCATTCCTCACAGCAAACAGAGGGACAACGTGCACTTGTTTGGTAACAGAATAGTAGCGGATAGAATGGGCTTTTGCACGGGGTGACTAGGCATAATCCTAATCCGCTGTTTAGTGGGTCGCCGCTGCCTCCATGCTAGCAGACAAAAGTTGAGATGCACGAGGGAGGATGGGAGATTTGAGAGAGGTATTGACAGATAAAGTAGGAGAGGCAGGATAGATATTGCTAAGAAGATATATAAACTGACTGCCCAGCACGAAGTCCGCCATGGTTCGAATGGTGGCCCACTGGGGCGAGGAGGCAGCCCATCGCGCGACTTGACTCTCCGCCTCAGATTTGTTGCCAAAGCAGGCGTCAGCCTTTACGGCCTTTAGGAGTTCATCAAAAGACCCAGCGCCAGCATCCAACGGTAGGTCCTTCTGCCCAGCCAGCCAGGCAAGGACGTGGAAGTTTGAAAGACAGGTACGCAGATTAGTGGGACCAACGGCCGAGAGATAGTTGGCGAAGGCTTCGAAGTTCTGTGGGGCAACAGTGGGCAGTTAATACAAGGAGCACGAAGAGTAGGGTGAGCTAACATTAATAAAATAGGGCAATCATCTGTACGATCATATCCACGTCCCAAAACTGCAATCACCAATACGACTCCCAGAGTAAGTTAAAGAGTAAAGATAGGTGCAACAATTAGTCGAACGGCCAAAAGGGGGAATACTTCTGCGGCTGTATGTAATAACAGAGGCAGCTTAGTAAGCAGGGATCCTTTCAGAACGACACGGTAAATATTGCAATGCCTAGTTGTTAGTACGGTAAATCATTGCACAATGCCTAGCATACCATAACAATACGAAAGGACGGTCGATAAATGGCCTGACGTTCCCATTTGTCGAACTGATTGGGTTGGGGAAGTAAAATATGCTCAGTGAGGTATAACAGGAACTCATAAAGCCATCGTTTAAACTTGAGACTCCTGTTGCGATGATGATGACCATAAGCACCCCTGCCATTATAACTGCTATCCTTGGTTAGCGGCTACCGGGATCTGCAGGTGTGCTATGCAGCACCGGTCAACGGAAAGTGACAATTCCCAACGATTCCAGCCCGTCTCCCAAAGGCAGCTTTAAATGGATAAAGACGGTAAAAGTGGAAAAGTGCATAAAATCCACGTTTCCCCGCTTTACCGTCATCCTACAAGTTTTCGGTTTTTGTCCCCTATCGTTGTTGGTAACACTTCGCCAAAAGTGATTCACTGCTTAAATCGGGGGAAACAATTAAAAGACCGAGAAAAGGAATGAACAAAATTTTCTAAAAAGCCGACTGGCAACGAGGTAGAGTGTAAACATGGATAAGGAAAAGTCTTTTACGAAAACTACTTCACCGCATAATCGCCAGCGTTCAGCCTGCCGCCAAGATTGTGCTGGCTTAAAAGCTAAAGTGTTCAGGAAAGGGACTAATAAGACGACAGTACTGGGCTTCGTCAGCATAATTCTCATCGCATCGAGTACTGCTTGCTTGATATGCTTGGGTCTCGTTACTATGTGAAAAAAGACCTGCAGGCCGGACAGAATAAGACTTAACGTCATCTGCCCGTCTTGAGTAATACCTGGGTTTGGCCCATATCCTGACGGTTTTCTATGGGGAAGAGTCGGTTCGACGGTAAGGACTGCAGCGCGAATGTAAAAGTGGGGTCAATGGGGAAAGCCACTGGCATATCGATGAGCAAATACTCCACCGGGAGAGGGCGTCCGATATTGGTCACCGTGTTGCCGTACTTGTCCTTTGACTAAAAAATAAAAAAAAAGTTTGCAGACGATCCAGAGAGAGGAAGTAGTAGTAGTAGTAGCAGCAGTAGTAGTAATAGTAGTAGTAGTAGTAGTGGTAGTAGTAGTAGTAGCAGTAGTAGCAGTAGTAGTAGTAGCAGTAGTAGTAGTAGTAAAGTACGGTCATTTAAACAAACTTTATGCTAGCACAAACGGAAACGGCTCCACGGGAGAAAGTGGATACCAAACAATGCAACGATTTGAATTACTTAAACCACTTCTTTCAGCTGAAGTCTGCGATACCATGAAATTGGGCAGAATAACTCATACCGACTGCACTCGTCGTGGAGTCTATTCAGCGAAATGTTCAGGAAATGAACAGTAATCTGAACCGTCGATCTTAGGGTACAAATAAAAAAAAATAACATCTACAGTGGCTCGTAACTCTGCAATTGCTGCACAGGTGAAGAAAGAGAAATGATAAAAACGAAGCGCGACTTAATTACGGTCAGTAGACGGTCGAGGCACAAATCGACCAGTCGTTCCGCTATCAAATGAAGGTCAACAGCCGATAATATCTGAGCTGCTAAGTATGCTACAATCACCTCTCTGTAACTAACGCTGGCGTTGTTGTTATTAACTTTTCTTAGGTGGTCCGGTTGCCGTGCTAGAATTTTTGTAAATTCGCCATCGAGGCGGTTAAGGTGCCCGCGAGACTAACTTCCTCAAAAACTTTACTGAGATACTGATGCCAAAATTGGGAAATTATATCCTCCCTATCTTCTGTCTTTATCTGGAAGTTAGCTTTCTTTTCAATCGATGCGGAAACTGCACATCACAAGACTACGTAGGCCACGGGGTTGCAGTCGCATGCCCGGAAAACTTTTGCCTTCGGTATGTCAAAAGAACCATAATTAGGTAATTTTGAATTCAATTCAAGAGCGCTACGTCGATTTCAGTTATGCATTTCTTTGGGTGCTGCAAGAACGGTCTTCTTAAATTACTTTAGGTATTACGTCACTCAAAAATCAATGAGGATCTGTTAACAAATAAACGGGGAAGTGGCTCCAAGGTACGAATGGGACAAAATACATTTCGGTGTCAAGGCTGGGTCCCGCCAGAACTATATTTTCCAATCCTCTCCCTCTAGTTAGTTGATATATGTGACTACAGCCACAGCAATCTAGACTTTAAAGTACATAGTAAGGAAAAAATTTGCATTTTATTTTAAATTAATACAATGACCATCACACTCGCAGCGAATGCCACTCAGATACAGCGTAGGCGACACCATCTAGGTCGGTTAGAGCAGGAACTTTCACGACAACACTTGTAGGCGATACGTTGACGGTCCTCACCAAGCGCAATAGTGAACCTGGTGGATGCTTCTACTTCACCACGCCACGGCGCCCGGCTCTCAACGGTGACTCCACGAAGTCGTGCTCAGTACGGCGGATACACCCCCCGTAACTGTTCTTCACTGACGAGCTAATGTAAATGAGTGTCCCGCGTGTATGCGTCTTGACATCCGAAAGTCCCTCCACTTACCCCCGACCTTCTTCCTCACTCTAAACAAAAAGTCATACGGAGACGGAGGCATGCAATCCCGTACGCGGGTCGTCTTCCAACTGTAAGAAGCCATGACCGCCTGGGATGAGAGGAAACTCATACAGGGAAGCACTGATTATCCCTTCGCGGGGAAGAGGAAATGTGCCTTAAACGTGCTGGTAAGATGCGTCGTCGGCGTGGTTCGTGGACGCAAACCATGCGGAAGAAAAGCTAGAACAATTGTCGTCCCCACTCCCGCGCTTCCTTACAGTCTAACAGAGATAGCCGGGTCACTTCGATACTCTGGAATGTTTGTTCGCTCTTAGATGATTCAATGTTCAATCGATTGGAAGGGAGGACAGCTCTGGTCGCTCCCAGGATAACGTGCTACAGGGTGAATGTTGAGGCTTTCAGTGACACCCACTTTCCCGAAGGACAAGTAGAAGAAGCAAGTGTCGACTAGGTGTCCCTCTGGAGGGCATGTCGGAAGACCGGACTATGAGACGATGGAGTAGTCTTTACCATCAAGACTAGCATCGTAGGACGTCTGCGCTGCCCCTCCGGAAAACCAAAGGTCACCTCATCATAATCAATCAACCAACCACCCCCACCACCACCACCATCATCATCATCATTACTACTGCCTCGCCAGGGAGGAGTGTGCGATAGATGCTTCGAAAGTCTTCATTCACTAGGAACTAATTCACGTGCAAGTCATCGTCCCTACCTCACCTTGTTGTGAAGCACATGGTGGACATTGTCGGAATCGACGGTTGAGCTGTCACATAGCCGGGGAACTGCGCCGAGGGCAAACAAACAGATTGCCGTTGATGACTTCGATGCTCGCATAGGCATAGATAACAATACCTAGGTCGCCACGGAATAGACATTTTCAACAGTAATTGGCTGCTCCTGTAGGTGTGCATAAAACAGGCTGGTCATGCGACGAGGCGACGAGCTATCACAAGTGGTTGCCCACATCTAAGAAATGGGTCATAAATTTAACTTCGCAGCCACCAAGATAATCGCCCACACCAGAAGGAAAACAGGCCGGGAATTGATTGAAGCCTGGGCCTCGGATGGAAATTCAATCAATCGATTTATGAATCTGGCCCCGACGTACAGAGTCCTGCGCAGTCACTTTCAGTTCCGCGCAATCGACCAATGATTGGCTAGCACGCCCTATAAAAGCGCTTGTTCTGTTGTTGCTACTATCTCTAACGATGGACTACTGCAAGAGTGCGAAAGTTCAGAAAAATAAGCAAAATAATGCGGCGGTCGACCAGCCCTTCTCACTTGAAGAACATAGACTTCCCTCGACCAAGACCGTTTACCGTCTTCCAAACTGGGAGAAGACAACGTGGATGCACAGTCGCCGCCGGAAATGCAAACTGCCGGACTGCATCCTAGTCCGAGGGCGTAACTAGGGCGATTCGTGGTGCAGACTGATGGACAAACCATTGCCTTATCGCCTCCAAAACGAGGAAGCATCAATCACAACCTGTGGGCGACTGCATGGGAAGCAAGCGGTAGGTAATTCTAGTACTGTAGCCCTGGATACGGCGGAACGTTTATTGAACTTTAGAAATCGCATGCTCTTAAATTAGAACAAATCCACGTATTGGAAGAAATTGTTGCTGTTTAGAACCAGTGGTGGGAACCCCAGAACTCCATTCAGGCCATCGCTCTGGAAGTCCTTGGTCGTGTACATCAGGAGCACCAGGCCTGATTTGGGGATAACAACGAAAAAAATCCATCACCTTTCCCCGAGGAAGAACAGTCTACAGACAGCGAACAACAGCAACGGGACCGACATTAGTAAGGCCACATTCTTCCCATGTCGAAGTCAACTGTGGCGGAGAGTAGGGTAGAAAACGACCGCGGAGAGATAGAGAATTTCTTCACGATATCTAAACGGTCTACGGTCTCCAAGCCCGAAAAGGACTGTGCCACTGTTCAGCCAAAATGGAGAAACCCTACTGTCGAAAAATTCCCAGATCCTTAAGTGCTGACCTGCGCACTTCAAGGATATTCTCCTCCACCCGTCCACAATCCGAGAAGAAGCCATCAGCCGACTTCCTCAAGTAGACACTAATGACGACATGGATTGATTGCTCTCTCTCCTGGGGACAATCAAAGCAGTGAAACAGCTGTCAACCTAGAAGAACCTGGCGTTGATGCAATCCCGGTCGAAATGTGCAAATGAGACGACAAAAAATCATAAATAAGTACAAAAGGCTAATGAGACCGCCGATTTTGGGACTCATAGATTCGGTGGTCATGCAAACGGGTGGAATCGTTGGTCTCCTGACACCATAGACCAAAATTATGAGCTCGGTATGTGGATGACACCGTCGTCGTCGAATAGGATCAGGCGATGGGATTCAGAAAACATCTCAACAAGTCTTCCCGGACATATAATTTACGACGGGGAAGAAAACGACCAGCCGGTCTTTCTTGATGCCTTGGTCTGCCGCAAAGATCGTGGTGGCTTAAAAACCAATGCGCTCAGGAAAGAGATTAATACGACGCAAGTACTGAGTTTCAACATCAACCACACAATCAGCCACAAACACAGTTGTGTTATATCGGCACTGCAGTGAACCTCATATGCGCCCATCGTCTGATCTGTGGCTGTCTCGAGTAGGAATCCAAAACGCCAGAAAGAGCGAGGAGGGATAAAGACCGACGCTGGTGATCCATCCTAACGGCAAATTGGCGCATTCTTCGTTAAAATAAATCTGACATGCTTGAGCCTGTCGTGGCTTGGATGGTTGCCAACTGACAGGTTAACTTGGCCCTTCTAAAGAAAGAGGGTTCGGCTGAAAAGGTTTCTTCTTAATTCGGCCTTCATAGGATTGTCACCTACGTGGGATTCGATAAGTCTCCCTAAACGCGGGCTGGTGTGTACGAAACGGAGGTCAGGCCGTGTATGGGGCGCGTAGACGGATTATTTTGCTTTGCCAAGCACTGCGCACACGCCCACCTCCGGCTGTATTGACTTTGCCTTGCCATCGAAGCATGATGGGCGAGGTGAGGAAAGGCGAGTCCAATGCAGGGCAGCTCTGCTTCACTGTACACAAATTTGCAGGCGAATTACCCCTGTGCCCACCTCGTGGGGCAGCGGCAGACGTTGCCGCTTACGATGGTCGAACTATCGTGTACTCCAAAGTCGTCACTACCCAATAAACTGTTAATTAGAAACGCTCCCGCTGCCAGAGACACTCGCAGACCATACCTGAAACTCTCGGCTAGGCCCGACGAGATGAGGAATGAAGAGACCCATCAATAGTCCTGTTAGCATTCCTGGTATGTCTGCAAAGTTGTTGGCTCAAAAACCGTGGGCGTTTAATTCGAGCTCCTATGAAAAAGTCCCTCTAGACTTGGATAAATAGACTAGGCACGAAGGCGAGGAAAACAGTTCCTACTTAATTTTTAAAATTGAGGTATCAGCATGTCGTGTTACTAAAGACACAAGCCGAGGGCGCCAGCGAAGGATAAAATTTACTATGAACTTACAGAATAGAAGACATCGGGTACGAACTGTTCTTTAGTGGTATCCCGAATATACCCCAGTTCGGGCGCGTCATACGTAGGCAGCAAAATGTTGGCGCGCTGAAGAGACATAGCCACATTGGAAACCTGGTAGGCTTCGAAACTGATCTGGTTTTCGGGGCCCCCAGTGACTACAACAGTGACAAACTTGGAGCCAAAGTGTCCATCGGGGCTGTACTTGGAAACATTGGGGAACAAATTTTGAAGGCAAGCTGCGGTAATGCACTCTTGAGCACTCAGGAAAAAGGTGTCCTACGAGGAAATAGACGGGCAAATTATTTGAGCATAGAAGAAATTCGCGTAGATGCAATAACAAAAAATGTTTAAGCAGTAGTTGTAGAGACAATATTCCCTTCATTACTGTTCAAGAGATGAATACTTCCTCCAGGTTATAAATAATCGCCCACGATACACTTGCCTGTGACTAAAATGAACGACAGATTAGTTTGTTGATCTGTCGATCAATTCGCAAAATGTGGAGGTACTGCAAAGGAGCTAAATGGATCAGGTGTCAAAGTCGACAGAGAAAAATCGTTGGTTGGATTAAACTTGGCAGTGATGTGCAGGCAGTCAAAAAGTTCTTATGTCAATCCCCCCATTCGCGTTGGACTGATCGACGACTGATTTATCATAGTGACATCCTCCAATTGTTCGCCGTTAGAGGTTTGATCACGAGTATCATGTTTCTGTACTGAAGGCTCGTTATTAAAATTCGGTAAGATTATGGCCCAGACGACAATAAACTCAGGGCGTAGTCAAAGAAGCAACGGGTATCCCTACAGCATCTTAAAAGCAAGCGAAATCGGCAGTTCGACCGCTCCTGGCAGTAAGCATCCCTAGCCCTACATTCCTTTGAATGCGCAGGAACTCCTGCTCAGATAAGCTGCCGTTGCAAGACCAGGCATGTCATGACGCACACACGCACCCACTGGCATTCGTTACCGCCAACGACAGTGGCTCGTCTCGCGGGGACGAGACAAAAATGGGCTGAATGCGAAGAAACAGGCTCACGGGCTTTACGAAAAAGCAGTAACGGTTTTGTGTCGGTATAAGCTTTAGGCTTGGTTGGGCACCAATCTGACGTGTTAGTTACCAATAAAGAGATTACAAGCGATATGAGTGTTATGGCTTATTGAATGCTGACCACTGTTTCGCCGTCGTCCCACACGATTGTGGAACCTTAAAGTGGTGTGCGCAGGAGGGTGAAGATGCCCACCTTCAAATTCAGGAACTATAGAAAGTCATTCCTCCACCAAACGGTCCCACATAACCGTTGTCGAGGGGGCCGTGTCGAGGTGCGCAATTTCGACGGCTGAAAAGGTACGGTCTGCGCGCTCTGGATGGACCTGCCGAGGAAGACGTACGGGAGGGCAGCGATTTCTGATCCAACAACAACATCCAGGGTAGTCTTCCACAATCCTTAGTAGGGGAGGGAATACACATTCGAAAATGTTGCTAAAAGACGGGGGGGGGGCAAGAAAACCCATATCCCAGTCTAAAAGCCGAAAATCGACGTTCGAATTTCTGTACCTACTAGCTGAAATTGAGCCAATTCAGTCAGCGAAACTATCACGTGAATATGAACACCGTAAGGCGCCCATTATAGGGAAGATGCGTTGCAGAACTTGGAAAAAGATTATATGGAAGTCGAGACCAAAAACGGACAGACATAAAACGTTTAAGTTAGAGTTGCATTTGACGCTACATGTTCTGCTCCTGTGGACTCATTCGACTGGAAGCAATGAGAGGACGTACAATGGATCCACGATAGTGAAGCACTGTGCCTTTCTTGCCGTCCTCGGGCGTGAGGTCAGTGAAGATCCAACCAACTGGACGCAGACCGAGACCGTCAGCTGTCACTAAGGCAGATGGGGGGAGAAGTTCCTCTAGTGGGCAGAGGAGACTCACAGATCGGTTGGTTGACTCCTAATGATACAAAATAGAGCAAAATGATGCAGAATGAAGTGATCGGATGGAAGGATGCCCTAGCGAAGACAAAAGGGTCCATTTGTACACAGTAAGAGAGAAGAAAAAGAACCGACCCCTAAGCATTGTTTGAAGGCAAGGTCTTTGGATTTCCATTAGTACCAAGTTGGTCTATCTCGCTTGACGAGGACCATTAGATGGGGAAAAAGGGAAGGAGAAAGCTGTGACTTGTGTCGAACTCGAAGCGAGGACTTGAAAACTTCCCGCATAGGACACTCTCCAAATGCCCACGCATATTGTTTGAGACTATCTCGGATAATGTTCTTTTAGAACAGTCTTTCGCAAGTCTGCCAAGGCCAGAATGCAAAGAGGCTTCGGAGTAAGTAAACTGTCGTTAGGTAAAAAAAAGGCTGATGTAGTCGGGAGCCAACTTTAGCAGAGTTATTGGCATTCGCAAGTAGACAGCCATGAAACGGAACGCAGAAAAGCTGGTAGTGAGATTGACTAGCTGAAGTCAGCGTCGGGTGGGTAGTAAAAGGGACTAAGTGGAAGCCTTGGAGAGAATGAAAAGAACTAAAATAAGACGGAGATAGCAACTCGGCGTTCGGAGTCTCAGGCCTTCTAACTAGTACACAGACGCTAGAAATTGTATGTCCTTAAAGTTGGTGTGACGACGGAAAAGTAGGGGGTGAGGGGGAAAGATGAAGGGACTATTAATAGCAGATAGAACGGAAGAAAGAGAGTAAGGGCCGTGTATAAACATAGATGGGGAGAGGTTTTGCCTACCTGGGGCGGTTCGTAGATAGCCGAGACGACAGCCTTAATGGAGAGCGGAGGAGCGCCAGGGGTGTCAAAGGGCATGTAGCGGCCCAGGAGCACACCAATTCGCTGGTTACCCGTCGAGCGCCAGTAATCCAAAAAGGTCTCCATCATCTGGCCGTTTTCGAATTGTACGTAGTCCACGTGACGGTAGGCCTGCACTTCGAGGGTGATTGGCTTGGGCTGACACTTGGTGCAAATACCCTCTGGCCAGGCCGGATGGTCCGTGCAGCCAGGTTTTATGGTGCAAACAACGTTTTCCAGACGAACAAATTTGCCCCTGTCAGTGCAAGAATGAAGTAACTGTAAAGCAAATAAAATCTGAACTAGACGGTAATTCCAATTGAATTTTGTTATATTCCTATGGCTCTGACAGCGTTCGAAAACAGCAAAACCATTTAGGAGTCAAGCACTAACTCCGTCCTTGTCGAGTGCTTGAAACGTTTGTGATACAATGCAGTCTGTGGACTAAGCGAGAAACTAGAGAGCGTGGATTGTGAAAAATTAGAAATTATATTTGGCGAAGGGCAGCATAGTAAGAGCTGAAGTATTAACGTACATTAAAAATCCTATATATGCATTTAAAGGGAAGAGTTTACCTGAGTGTGATTTCGTGAAGCAGAGGGTGGCACAATAGCTTTCAGTTGAGCAACTTTTCAGCTAGCTGCGTTAATCCACATAGGGAACAAACGATGGCCTTAGTACTGGGAATCTTTTCGATGTTTACATATATGTAGGTGGGTATGACATAAAGTGGATGCAAATATCAGAATGTCCTGAATTTCTATTGTTTATTTTTCGTCACGTGCTCATCTGTCTCCCTAAAGCTTTGGCGTGCAAAAAAGATAGTATTTCAGTTTCGTAAAAAACAGACTTTCGACCGTTCACATACGCATTTGCTACCAAATACTCGCAGTTTTATCGGGCCCACCAACTAAGCATGCGAATATTCAAATCTGTCCTAACACACCGTTGACACCAGTATGTCCTCCCCCATGGATATACTACGATCAATGAAACTGTTTTAGTGAAAGTACACATCAATCAGTTCAGAAACCATAGGGGCAAGTAAGGGCGCAGGCTATTTTTGACAACACTAGTGGATGAATGAACTTCCTTTAATCCAAAATCTGCCGCAGTTTTCAACATCAAATTCCAAGACGGCGCGAAATTTTCTAACGTTCTTGTGATTCCTCTTTAGGACATAAGTTGATGGTTCGACCGTTGCAAGCGACGAGAAGTATCGTGACTTGAGAGTGCACTTGTTCATAGTGAGGAAGATTCCATTCTTTTCGCTCAGCAGCACACAAGAGGTTCAACGAAAACGAACATTATTCTATGCACGAATCGGCCTCGCAGGACACCTTCGGACACAATGACTGACAACTTCGCAACACCGACTTCTTCCACTCTCGCCCTGCAAAAAACCCCGCGACGACGACCATCCCCGTTACCAACGACCACTGTCACTGTCCCACCGATATCACCGACCAACATAATCCGCCCTGCCTCAAACCCTGCGTCGGCCACAGCGACCAGTTCCGCTAACCAAATCTCACACTTCCTCTACGGATGGGGCGACATCCGACATCCCATCATCCGGTATTATCACCACTAACGTCCCCAATCCAGCGATGCAGACTCGGTCCATACCTGTCCTCACCTCACACATCGGCCCGGTCGGTCGCTTGCGAATTCATTGCACAGAGACTGGCGAACTAGTGCCTGAAGCCCCCGCATACACTCGATACATCCACGTCAACTGTCCTTACTGCCCCCGCATGAGCCTATTAGGTCACACGCTTGCCCACCAGCGCTTGCATCACACACCAACATCACCCACCGCCACACAACGCAAACACCAGATTGACACCTCTCACGTAAGTGGGAAGCATGCTTCCCGGCTCCTTTTCCACGTGGCCCCTCTGCTGCATGTGCGATCCGAGCCTGAGACTATCATGGTGCGCCAAATGCCTAAACTCAATCCACACAGTCAGTTCAGTTGTTAGCGTTTGTGCGGAGTGGCTGACTGATGGACTCAGAGTCAGGCTGTAACGTCCCATTCTTAACGTGACCTCCGCCACTCTCATGCATGTGCGGAAAGTGTGTGTGTGTGTGTGTGTGTATATATGGGTAGTGTCTTTCAAGGTCTCCTGCCGGAAAGCCAGTACGGCTTTCGCCGTCATTGTGGGACCACCGACATGATCTTCGCCGTCCGCCAACTGCGGAAGAAGTGTCGGGAGATGCGGACCCACCAATAATCTACTTTCGTGGACCTGATGAAAGCCTTCGATACGGCGAATCGCGAAGGACGGTGGAAAATCATGCAGAAATTCAGCTGTCCCGAGCGATTCATCCAGATGGTGCGTCAGCTTCCCGATGGCATGATGGCGCGGGTTACAGAAAATGAAGCTGCATCAGAGGCATTCGCAGTGACAAACGGAGAGAAGCAGGGATGCGTTCTCGCGCCTAGCTGCTTCTCTCATATTCTCTGACGTGCTGATGGACGCCTAGTGGAAAAAACGCTCTGGGATCCGCATCGCCTAGAGGACGGACTGCCACCTCCTCAACCACCGGAGAATGCACTTCCAGTCGCGTGTATCCACAACGACCGTCCATGAACTTCTTTTCGCCGACGACTGCGCCCTCAACGCCACCTCGGAAGGGGACATGCAAAGAAGCATGTACCTCTTGGCCGCCGCCTGCGAAAACTTCGGCCTGGTCATCGACACGGAGAAAACGGTAGTTATGCATCGATCGCCCTCCGACGCTGCCTACGCCGCACCTCAAATCAAGTCGTGGACAACTCTACCTACTTTTCTCGCACCACCGAAATCGACGATGGAGTGACTCGCCGGATTTCCAAGGCCGATTAAGCCTTTGGTCGTCTTCAAAACAGTCTGGAATCATCACGGTCTTCAGCTCGGAAAAAGTACTGAAGATGCACAAGGTCGTCATCCTACCGACGTTGCTGTATGAAGCAGAGACTTGGACGGCGTACATGAAGCAGGAACGTAGACTCAGTTGTCTTTATCGGATACTGAAGCTAAGGTGGCAGGACCGGATCCCAGACACGGACGTAGTGGAGCGGACGGGAATCTTCGGCATCTACGCTATACTGAGACAACTACAACTACGGTGGAGCGGCCATCTTGTACGGATGGACGACGAGAAGCCATCCAAACGACTCTTCTACGGAGATGTCGCCACGGGTTCCCGCCGATAAGGAGGCCAAGTCCGTCAGTACAAGGATACTCTGAAAACCTCCCTGAAGCGCCTGCAAATCGACTTATCCAACTGGGAAGACCTCGCCCAGGATCGGCCGACGTAGACTAGAACAGTAAAGAGAGGCGCAGCAATCTTCGAAGCCAATCGCATCACCGCCGCCAAAGCCAAACGCGAGACACGAAAATCTCGACTGCCGCCGTCGCCGCCTCACAACACTAGCACCCAACCACCTCCAACGGGTCCACGATGTCAACGGACATCCAGGGAGCCAATGGGACTTGTTGGACATCTCCGGACCAATTGCAGCACCCCGAGTGCACCAGCCGCCATCTCTTCGTCCACCTCTCCCTCGTCCCCCACGCCGTTGACTAACTTTGACCGCCCTCCCAAACCAGCACTATTACCTCCTCCTTCACCGCCTCAGTGTCTGCCGGTGTGGCGTCCGTCATGCCCATCAGCACTACACACAATCCTAGCACGCGAACAAACACCAACACCACCTCTGTCAATACCAGTGATGAGGACCCGGTCTATACCTGTCCTCATTGCGATCGCACCTTCACCGCACACGTCGGCCTGGTCGGTCACTTGCGAATCCATCGTACAGAGACTGGCGGACCAGTGTCTGGAGCACCAATCCGCATCCGCCTCCACTGTCCACACTACCCTTGCACATTCAGTTACCGCATAGGCCTATTCGGCCACATGCGTATCCAAGAGATCAGAACTGACCACAGCCCCGACACACCTAGCACATCAAGCACACCCACCATGCCTAGCCCCGCCCACACTCCGCCGCCCAGCGCGCCCATCAGCACCAGCTATACCATCTCCATCACCAAAGCTGATCCTGACACTGCCGACTCCTCATGTCCACACTGTCCCCGTATATTCGTCTCACACATCGCTCTGATCGGTCACTTGCGAATCCGTCGCAGAGACTGGCGAACCAGTGTCTGGCGTCTCATCCTTCTGAGCTTTAAGGATCGTCTACGTATTGTATGCCATGATTCGGCAAACCATGGTACCTGCAGCCTGGTGTGCGCTGGCAGTTCTCTAACACCTGGTTCCCTGCCGGTGGATGCACTTGTGCTTCCGCTGACTATACGGGCCGTTTGCATGGTCCCCCAGTAACTGGCGTCACCCTTCTCTTTCTGACTGATTTTCGTTACTGGTTAAAATCGTAGTCGAGTGTTTGTTGTGGACCTGGGTGTGTGGTGGTGCGCCTAGGAGCAGGTCCGGCAGTGCCAACCACCTGCGCCTTCTCCCGCCTCCGTCCTTCTTGGATATGTCTTAACACCGGACCCAGGTGGGGAGGAGAGAGTGGGGTAGTTGATGCGCAAGTTTGCTCTCATTATAAACTACTTCTTGCGCAACTCACCGTGCCATGGAGCATACGGTGAACATCGTCGGCAACGACGGTCGAACTGCCATCTCGTGAAATTTTAACCGAAATTCGAAAGGATTACTTAAGCAGGATTGCTATATTAACTATTGTGTAGCAATAGACACAATAAGATGCCGACTTTTGAATAAGATTTTTTTCGGCCGTCTGCAGAAACTACACTGCAAAAGTGACTACTTGAGTAGCATGAAGGTTTTATATTCATTTTCAATGCCCCCTGAGTTCGATTGTATTTTATAGAGAACGTGCACAGAAATATTCGTTATCGTATTCACTTGGCAGCAAACTGTGCCTTCTTCAAAGTTCATACCCAGAGGATGGATATGTTTCCGTTCTCAAGTTTCTAATTATGCGATTTTTTAAGACCGTACAGCACCGCATCGGCAAGCTGGTCCACATCCATTGCACAATTTTATGAGTGTCATATGACGTCTTCCTAACAGCGTAGAGAAATGTGTGATATTCCTTTGACGGAATGCATACAGTATTTACCCTGGAAACCCAGGATGCTAGTGTAAAGGCAGGCAGGTAAAAAATATTTGGGGATTCAAAAAGTTTTTAAAAATCGAAAGTTACCCTCTCTTCAAGTAGAGAGCTTGAAGAAGGCGTAATTGACTACGAAATAAGCGCAAGAAATAATATTTTTGTGCCCGTTCTCTAAAAAGTATAATCAAATTCATGGGAACATTGGAAATTAATGGGGAAATTGCATGCTAATTAAGTAGTCATTTTTACAGGGTGTAGTCTTTGCAGACGGCCGAAAATAAGCTCATTCAAAAGCTAGCATCCTGTTGTGAATGAAATATCCTAGGATTAAGCTGCATGATCACTAATATTACAACCCTACTTAACTAATCTTTTCGAATCGAAAACATATTCAGAATTTCGGCCGACGTTTCATGAGATAGCACGTCTGCTGTATTCCCCACTGTCACTCTGGACGCCGCTCTCACGGAGCTCCACGCGTTCGCTCGTCTGTCTGCCAACTTACTCCAACCGGTTCTCTAATCCTTCTGTACAGAATGCAGCATTCCCTCAACCGGCGTTCAACACCTCTTTCTATTCGGGACCGGGTGTGAAGGTTGTAATAGGAAGGATCTGCCAATGGATTTAACCGCTGTATCATGCAACCCCCCCCCCACCTCCTTTTTGTTGTGAGGTCCGGGTGCTTTTGCGCGAACCAGAGGGTGTGGTGGCACGCTTGGGTGGTGGTTCACGACGCGCCAGTCACCTGCGCACGATCCCGCCATCGGACGTCTTGACTTTGTCTTTAAACCCAGCCCGGGAGGGTGAAGGAGGGAATGTGGTAGGTGCAGAGCACGTCTACTGACGTTATACACGTGAGTCACCGTCCCTGCGCCCCCCCCCCCTCCACCCTCCCCCTCTGTTACGGGGCACACGGTGGACATCGTCGGAAACGACGATCGAACCGTCTCCACCAGACAAGCATGCAAATCAGTCTCTGCAATGCTAGCAAATGGCCAACAGTCCAAAAGGCAAGAAAAATGTTAAAAACGGGCGCACCTGCTCTGTCCTCCGTGGAGTTTGCGCAGGTAGGCATGAAAGGACATAAATTTCACTGGAGGATCACAGTGTCTCAGGTAGTCCGCGTCGTAAGGCTGAAAATGGTTACAAAAGTCAACAGAGAACTGTGGAGATGTAACAATTATTCATAACGGAAAGGCTGTCTGAAGAGAAGGCATTTAAAACCGACCTCCAATGGCACACAGTGGATGCACTGACCGGATTCCGGATGATGGCAACTAAAACACGAGGAAACCAAGAGAGGCAGTAGTTAGTAGCCGCGCTGAGCACGGATTCTGATTTAGACCTGTGATCGTGTGTCAGGGTCATCGGACTGTGGATGCAAATAAAACGGCATAAACACAAGCTTAGGACAACTAGCTATGATCGTGTGGACGTCGTAATCTGGGTTACAGCCTACAATTGTTCGCTTCGATTTCGCATGATTCGACCATCCTTCGCAGCCAGAATGACGTCAACCTCGTCCTCCTGAATAGTGTTGGTCGGGTGGCGTGGAGGTGCAATCTGCAGAGGTACAAGCAAAAACAAGAATAAGCGAACATCACTAAAAACACAGGTGTTACAGTTAGTGACACCATTAATGAAGCTTTCAAGTACTTGCTGTATGATGGCTTTGACTTTGTTTCGAAGAGCGGCGCTATCACGGGACTTCACCTTTACTCGGATGCGCCAAATATTATCAGGTACAGTTCTTACAGGCCGTACGAAGCAACCGACGTCTGGAAGATCACGATGCAACCGAGTTTCAAACTACCGGAGGGTTAGGATCCGCGGTTCAGGTTTAACTTTCCAAAGGATAATGACATCATGGTGATTTCATGACGAGGCATCCCGGCCGGTCAGATTTGACAGGAATACATACGGTTAGCCGCGCAACTTGGGATGTTCGAAGGCTGCAATCAATACATTCGCAAACCGGTTCGGAGTTTTTTCTTTACCAATTCCAAAAATAACGACGGAAGGAAACGCCGGTGAACTGGACAGTAAATTTTGATCTTTCGTAATACCCTCAGACAAACGAAGATCAGGATGTTATTGAATGTGCAACGTGGCCACGACACCACTATGGAGATTGACAATGATCCGAAGTGGGCGACTCTGGGTACGTAGTAGAAACAAGACGAGTCAATGGATGGCTGCAGAGGAAACTAATTAGTGTCTGAAAGTTTACTTCGATATTCTACATCCAGGGGAGCTAATGTGCCGAGCAAGGAAAATATGTCAGGGATGAGGCCTTCAACAGACGATAAAGATCGTCTGACTTTCATCTTCAAGGACTTCCGGAGGTTAGCAACAAAGAGTCCAGCTTTTCCGCTACCACATCACAAAACTGCGGTTTATCTGTGCTGAAAAATCAAACAGACGGTGCATATGCCGGTGAGAGACACCTTTTTTCCTTAGCTAGCCTTTTTCACCACCGCATCAAACTAAATATCACTACTTCCTGAAAATATGTCAATTGAAACCGCGTAACAAATCAGTTTTCGCATAAAGTAGGAGCAATAAACTCAGTGAACCCACCCTTTAGAAGCCCTATTAGCATCGACGGGCCATGAACTGTCTAATTAGCCCAGATAGTTTGGGGGCATTTGTGAGGTCACTTTCATAATTCGAGCTGCTTGGTAAGAATTCACTGCGGTCTAGTGGATGGGTAAGCCTTGCCAATAGGAACGACCTTGGCTACCGGACTACTCTACGTCCTTATTTACTCCACGGACTCACGATCAATGGAATCGATGAAACCAGTGGAGACGGTGAAGCACCCGAGTCCGCCGATAACTGATAACAGCATTCATGGGTGGGACGGAGTGACCATGTTGGTTGTAAATGGCAACCTAACTGCGGCTTCTGAATTTGCATTCGCTTCTTAACGGCTGGAAGCTAAAACATCCGTTAACTAGTATTTGTATCGTGCTCCGAACGGGCTCATAGCGAAAGAGTGGTAAGATACCTGACCATCCTTCTAGACGCTCTTTCGCACAGCCGAGGACTTCGCCAAGCTATTAACTAGTTCAATCACACGGGCATTCGTCAAATATGTTACAGAATGGTGGCGTAGCCGAGAAAGGCGAATGAGCAGAAAAAAGTTTCAGCCCATTTATGTGAGAGGCGCAATTGAAAAACTAGATCAGATGTGGCAAGCAGCCAACAGGTACATGTAGGAAGGAGCGATAACAAACATTCAAAACGGTATGGGGTGTGGCAAAAATAATGACGGTCACCATCGACAGGTAAACGACGACTGCCACTACCATAGAGCGGCAGAATTGCTTTTGCACTGGATGAGAGCGAGGGATATCTATGGAGCATCGGGCTCGCTTTCTCCCCCAACGTTCACTGTGTTTCAATGTCAAGACGATGGAAGACGAGTCCGGAAACAGCTGTTAACTGGGAAAAAAACCTTTATTTACGCGTTCAACGTATTTTCTGGCATTTATTACGACACCGACTACGACTATCATACTCAGGTATCGTGTTGGCTAGAGTTACCTATGTGGACACATTAAGGAAATATTGCGACCTGGTCTTCAGCCTCAAGGACAGAGTTGTCCCGTCAACTAGCAACTTTCGAAAGGACGACTTTCAAGGTGCGACGATAGTTCAGAAACCGCCAAATTAGTTATGGTGCTGAAAGGTCGGGTGGAATTGGACCTACTTACCTATGACAGCGTACATCGCGATCGACTCAACTAACTCCACGCAATAGGTCCACGGCATTATTAGTAACAGCTTTCATTGCAGCCCATCAACGGTATTCACTCAAGCGGAGATAAGCTAGTTGGTGCCAAGTTGGTTCGCCAAGTCAACGTCATTGCGGAAAGAGTCGAGATTGAGAAAGGTGAAATCTTAGGCGATTTCGCCTTTCGGTCGGCGCAGCGCACGACCGAATCATCTATCGTCGAATAAGAAGGGGGACAGTTGGTGAGTTGAGTTTCTGACCGACTATGGCCGTTTTTTGAAGAGATGATCAGAAATGAATCCGAAGAATGGTGTGTAAACAGCGTCGGTACAATAATTTCAGGGTGCGTACGTTTTAAGAGCGCACGCAACATGTATCGCACACGTAGAGAGGGAGTGTCTCGATTGAATTCCCGAACACAGTTCTCTCATTTCCACCATGTAATAGTACTGAGCGAATAGAAGGTTAGGCGCGCTGAGCATTATTCATAACCCTCTTTTTCCCCAAGCACTGATACTAACTTTCTTATCACACATCTTCCAGCGCATGCACCCGACTTTTCGCACTTACATCGGTTGATGATGGGCTACTATTACCGACCAGAAAATTTACAAGCCAACGCCTAACCTTTCAACGACTCGTTTGACTTTTTAGCTGTTTCAATAGCAACCTCGGGCAGACTATTTGTTATTTAGATTCGCTAGGATTAGCCGGCATCTTATCGGCAAAATAAAAAAAAACATTTAGGAATTGCCAACGATGCGCAAATTGCGGACGAACAGGCGCAGGCGTTTCAAGAAAAAAAACACACAAGAAACAGGAAAAGCGTACACTTGCAGTGTCATCGGCAGTTGTGACTGCTTTCGGTGTCTTGAGAAGATAAAGCATATCGCCATTTCTGAAAGGGTAAAAGGGTAACGTTACGGAAAAGGAGTGCAGGAAGTGGTACTCTTGATGGGAGCGTATGTGAAATAAAATGTTAATATGTACCATGAAGAAAAGATGCCGCCCAAAGGATGCTGGGGGCAGTGCTTTAAGTGGCCTGTTGATCTATTTACGAGCTATCTGCAGCGCCTGTATGCGAGGAAAGGTGGAATAGCCTTCAATCTTAAAATAGGCAGGCTACTGAGTTATATAAATAGGCAGTTACTAAAACGCAGAGGAACGACGTGCGACGCACCCACGGCAGCAAAACGACCATGAGTCACCACTAAACGAGTTCTTCCTCCAACTGCTGATTTGGCGGCTTGCTACTACTGCAAGAGCTGAGTTGGAGAGAAAGGAATCCAAATTTTGTCAGTACCCTGAACTCAACAATGCGTTGCCAATAGGAGCGAAGAGACGAGTCCCAGGAAGTAGTCTTGAAGAAGGAGACACCATCGCCGGGACAAGAGTCCCGGCGATCGTGTCTCCTTCTTCAACAATGCGTGTCCAACAACCGCGACGCTCGATTCATATTAAGGCATTTTCGGAAGCAGAAGAGTCTGGATATCGGCTAATGGGTCGGAATAAAAATATGTAAGGTGGTTGGTTTGGAAAAAAGGAGGAATGAGCAGTGCTTGCTGGCATATGAGAAGTCTCGTTGCATAGACGAACCAGGCTGGGATAAGAGAAGTAATGTCAGATTTCTTTGTCTTCTTGGGGTGCGCTCGTAAAGTTGCTATCTGCAGAGAATTAAGGCCCCAGGAGCAAACGGATGTTTTCACATCCATCAATGGAGTATCACTCAAACTGCTGGCGGGAATAATGTCACAATCGTCGTGACTGATCTGGTCGAAGCTTCGCTTATACAATGAAACTGGTGTTACGGGCATACGGGCCTAGGCTGCTGTTCTCGGTCACAGTTTCTGCACCCACGAACGTTGGATTCTACCAATATGTAGAGTGGGAATTTTCACGAATAACTTTAGATAGTACCCATGGGTGGTTTAAATCACAACTTTCTCGTTGTGGTAGAATGAAGTGCCAGGACAGAGAAGCGTGATGCATCTCTGAAACGAGTCACCGACAACTACACGGTGAGAAGCCGTTGTGCTTATGTTGAAGGCGAACGCGTTTGGCTGAGCTGAAAAGTCATATAGTTAAAAATACCATTCCGTCAACGTGACGCATCTCTTCGCCCAGTATTCAAATGATAGCAACAGTCAAGACGAAACTGATAACATACTTTACCGATTACTCCGGCCAGCTCAGAGAAAGACTCTTTCGCGGTACGCTGTCGACACGAAGTGTGAGGACGATTCTGGTCACTCATTTGTGGAGGTCTGGCTACGGCTAAGATTAAGAGACTTGAACAGCGATTGAACTCAACACATCATGGGTTTTGTTAATGTTACGCGCTACTTTCTGACACCCCTCAGACGTTTTGATGTACTGACGTAGGCGAAAGCCGCCTCGTGTACATACCCAGTTGAAAAAATGGACCGGAGTACTTCTCGAGCTGGGCTAGGCGGCAGTAAGTCTCGCTTCAAGGACTGGATCTCTGGTGAACTATGCGACCAGATGTTGGCGCCAGGACGGGTCAGGACCACCACATGTAATTTCGGATGAAAACGGCCAACGCTATGAACGCAGTTCAGTCGACTTTGACATTAAGAGATTCCACCGCATATAGTGGAAAATGTCCTCCCGGACTGCCCTAGGCAACGCAGCTGTGGCAGTAGCATCATTATCAGACAGGACACCTAATTAGAAGAATATTTTGAAAAGACTCTGGGTAAGGGAGGCGTGGTTCTTTTAGATGTCTTTAAGTATACCTGCTTCAACATCAATCTGTTTATTATGATATTGTGTGCAGTATTAAGGCTGGAAGGCGGGCAAACATACTCAGGTCTGCCTTCTGGTGAAAATCTACAAGAAATGTTTTAAAACTTAGCTGAGAAGCTTTATGACACAGATGTAGGTGGCAGAAAATGAATCCGCTGACTGATGATGTACCGTCGTTAGACTGATCTTTAAGAAGTGAGAGATTGTAGTGTAAGAACTATCTTTGCACTAAGCTCCTCGAAATTCCTGTCTTCACAGGCGTCTTCCTTAATCGGTCGAGGAAACATTGTGTGGAGCAATGCCATTCGCTCCCTCCAAAAATCGATTTCCGTAAATATTATCAGCAGTGCACTCTCGTTTAATCAGTAGATTTTCTGTTGCATCTCACTGTAACAATAGGAGTCTTCTGTGCTCTACCCTGATGCCTGGTCGCATACCACCAAAGGTGATAAGATCGATTCAAAAAAATATCACAGAACGAGCAAGAAAATTGGAATGAGCTATGAGTGCAGTAATAAAATCAAGGATACCTGTCTCGATGAGGACGGCGCCCTTTGGCTGATATTATTCAATTACATATTAGACTAGATCTTGCAACAAACCTTGGAAGAGCACCTCGGCGTTATATTAGTCCATAGTCCGCCCAGGCCATATCTTGACTGAGTTGGCGATGTCGTAGTACGAATATGCTCCTTTGCAGACATGCAGCAAGTTGTATCTAAGTAGCCCATATGAATTCCGAAATAGATTTCCCAAAACACAGGCGATCGACTCGGAGTTCACAGTCGGAGGCATCAACCAAGGCAAGATAGATGGCAAGGCTCTTAAGCTAGTGAGGAGTTTCACCCACATTGGGTCAAAATTTATGTCAAGCGAACAGGGTAGAGAAATAAGTGTAAGAAGCGTCTGTTCAACTTCGGCCAAACCTCCTACTCTGTGTGAGATCAAACAAACGACTATACTTGGAAGAGAAGGGGCCCGTGGTAGAAAAAATTTTAGTCCATGAGTCAAGGTTTCTGCTGCCTATAAATGATTGATCAACGATTCTTGTTCTCTTTTAATCAGCTAAATTGCTTCCCCAACAAAAGATGGTATATTTAAACAGGAAAACTACCGATTAATTGACCTCCTCTTTTTCCCCAACTCTGATAGCTAGTGGATGTGATGAGTTGACCCGCAGCGGAAATCGTACAGGATGTCATATCCCCCGAACTCGCCGACGTAACTGGTCAAATAACGACATGGATGAAGATGGTAAAAGCGGACGTTAGACCCACCTCTGACTGCAAGATATAGGGTTCGAGTGGCTGGCGTGCCAACTGGTTTAACTAATTACATGAATTTACCGACAAACCGCCGGAATGAAAAATGTCTACCAACGAGGCATTTAACCTGCACCGTGAAACGGCATTTAACAAACTATAGCGTGTCTTTAAAACACGCTTTTTAACAATTTCCAAGAGCAAATAGTAGTGGAAAAGGTTGGTTCATTCGAAGAATGAAAATCGTATGGGTTGAGCAAGAACTGACCTAAGGGGCGAAAGACAATTTCTTAAAATTCAACATGGTCAACGTGGACAACTCGTAAAGTCACACAGCGGCGTTTAGTGTAACGCTGTGAATTAAGCAGGAATTCATGTCACAGGTAAATTTTCCGACGTGGAAGGTCAATTAATTGTCCTAAAGCCCAAACTCGAGTATTCATAAGGTAGAAACATGGATATAGTAGCATACAGCAGAGTGGTCGCTATGCGTTGGGCTGCACCATCAATACACACTTACCCCAGTAAAATGGTTGTGTTGGGCTTTTGTTGGGGGAAGTCTTTTGAACATGTATGCGCACTGTCAATATGCGGTTAAGCCGGGACTAAATAGTCCAAACTATGTAAAATAGGTCTGAGTATAGCCAACAATTAGAAAATGGGCACAGTGTAGTTTTCGGTAGATTACCTAAATGAATGGCTTTTTTGCTCCCAGCTCTTGTCCAAATTTCGTGAGACGACTATTCATTCCATTTATTTACAAAGGTTAGGGGTTAACGGGTGGGCCTTAGGAGCAGATGGTTGGTACCGAACAATCCACTAATGTCCCTCGGCCCCCCGCATACGGAGATGAGCGGTGTGAGCACAGCTACACCGCCCTGAATAACCCAAGGAGCAACTGACGACAGCATCAGCCAGACCGAAAAGACTACAAAATACAACAAACATAGGGAGAGAAATCAAAATGTATAAGCAGCCAACACGTACACTATTGACGCGAAGGTTGTGGCAAACCTTTTCGTGACGTTCCCCTGATAACAATGGACTCCGCATTCCATGTCATTAAATGTGCTACTTTTTATATGACTGATTTGGTTGATTGCTTTCAGGCAGACTCAACATGACGACGGACGCATAACCACCCACGAACCGCCTCGCACTACTGGGATATGCGGCATCTTATGCTGGACGCATGCAAGCGTCGATTACTCCAGCAGTGTAGAGGACGCATGACATACAAACAAGCTTCAGGAGCGTCGAGAGATCGTATTATCGGGCCTAGCCCAAGTAGCAGGTTAGAAAGTCCCCTGGACGTCGGAGTCGATTATCCACAGCTAAAGTATTTGTAGTGGAGAACAGCAGGACATTAGTTGCCAGCACCTCAATGGTGCGCTGTGCCACCTATACGCTGGCGCACTATCATAATAACACCGAAGGCTTAGTTGCTGCCAGTTCTAACAAAGGAAAAAGCAAAATTGAAAGAAACTAGAGAAAGAAAAGATGATTAAACCAAGATAATTACCGGAGCTGGGCCGATCTTATTTGAGTTCGGCTTTTCGGTTTAAATGCATCCGATATTTGTCGAGTCCGCGACAGGTACCACTCGTCATCATGGTTTAACTGAAATTCCTTAGCCGTACGGTCAAAAAGGGTGGAAATGTAATCGGTTTCGGAGACTTCTACGCGCTTCGTTCCATCAGATGACTGGACTCGTAATATCATCCCTGAGAAAAAAGTTTGATGAAGTCTTTCACCTAGACCGCGCAAATACTACCTCAATAAAACGCACGGTCAAGAAGAATCTTACATACTGGCAGGTATCAAGCGCTCAGGATTTCGGATCTAGGGGCACATCCCATCTCCCGATGTTGCGCGGTAATCACTTATGAGATAGTGCTGCTTCTTCTGCGGCCTACTTGTGCTTAAACTGATGCTATAATATACACCAGCTGGTCTCTGTGAGTGGGCGTTGGTATTCATGGGTATTAGTGATCACCGCTACCCCCAAATGTCTGGGACTCTTCAAACAACGCTTGTAACTGACTATTTTAACGTTCAGATTCCAAACATATCCCATACTATCATTCTAAGCCATCATAATATTATATAGCAATCACCTTATGTTACCACCAAAAGTGTACGTCCTAAATCTGCGCAATAACACACTCAGGATGGGTACCGCAAAAGCTGATACTCATGTCTTCCTTTTTTTCGCCTCTTTCATCTTCATTGATCCGTCGGCACTCATTTTCACGCAATAATATCAGACTACTGCGGATCAAATTTTTCTAACCTTCGACATTTCAAAAGTGTTCTCTCTTCTAGGAACCTCAGGACTTTGTTCTGACACCCAACCTCACTACCGGAAATCTTAAAGGGAGGGAGACGTCAAGGAATCAGCTTAGAGTGAGATCAAAAATGTACACATTTATTAAAAATAAGGTTTAAATATACGCAAAATACATATATGCTCAATGAAACAATAAAACAGGTGGTACACGCAGTAGCCTGGCAGAAATGCGGGCTCTAGCAGCAAATGTCCAAGAGACAAAGTCTTATGGTTCAATCAATCAGCGCTAAGGAAAATGAATGGTGATCCTGGCCTGGCTATTTTGCAAATGTCTGCCATTGGCGTGTAAAATTGTAGCGTCCCACGACATCTATACATTTGTCTGAATTGAGTGGACACCTTCAAAGTGTATCTGCGATAGTGATAGCGCGAATGCGTATCATTGACAATAGCTGGCGTTTTTCTTTTCGTTCCCCTCGTTCCCCACCCACAACTATCTCTTCTACCTCTCTCTGCCCCTCTCGATGTCGGCGCCACTTACAGCCTTCGCCCGCGGTTTTCCGCAGCGCTAGGTTTGCCATCGGTTGTTCAGCAGTCATGTTAGTTTCACCCCTTCATCCAGACAGATCATACGTCTGCTGTAACTCATCTTCTACGTGGAATTAACTTTTATCATAAATGCCCAGTTTCATTCAGTTTCTACTGTCCATTTATGGTCCCTTAATTCTTCTGCTAATCTTTCATATGGATGAGTGTAATGACGCTTTAACGAATCCATTCACATCAGTGTTAAGCAGAAATTATTCCCAATGGTATGCGCCATCCTCGACATATTTCGCCGAAAATATCCGCCCGACGCACAAGCATTTAAGCATCACATGCTGCATTTTGCTTCGCGTATCGTTTGCTGCGTATCGTTTTTCGATCGCTTTTTGAAGAACGGATGCTACTGTTGGTATTCAGTTGTGGTTACATCGACATCAATACTCGGAAATTACCATATTATTTTTTATTATAAAGAATGTCCTAAATCACAAAAATGTGTGAAAATAATTGCCGGATATTTACGACCTGTTCTAAAGCACAGTAGTAAAAGCGGTTTTTAAGGTCACATCATAGCAGCCGGTGTGAACCATCACAAAGACAATGACTACCTGCATGAGGATCAGTTTATGGCGAAACGGACCCGCTGTACATACCTCACTCCTTCCTCCAACACCAAGGAACTTCCGGTTGTAAAATATAACCATGACGGCTGGAGGTGGGGGCTGATGTAGGCCTAGGTTAGCTGAGGCATGTCGAATGCATCCCACATGCACTACTCCTTCATTTCACGAAGAACAGGCTTAAAAAGGATAGGTATCTGATAATCAAGAATAAAAATTACTACAGCGACTGCATGCTTGGGTTACTCAACTTGGGTTACTCAAAAACTGTAAGGTGTAGCAAACAAGGGGGCTAGGATAAACACTTTTTACTGCAGACTTCTATATACAATGTATTTTCGCCGAATTGCTTCCTCTAACTTTGTCTTCAGCAAAGAATTAGGATCATTTTGGCTGCAAAAGTCTACGTTTCAACTGTCGACCCCTCCTCGTTTCAGATAAATTTCTTTTAGAGCAGTACTTTTCCCAAGTATGCAAAGGCCAGAATTCAAGGAGGCTTCGAAGTAAGAAAACCATCGTTAGGTAGAAAAGGCTGATGTTGTCGGCGGTTAACGTTGTGAGGGCAATCGTCATTTGCAAGTAGACAGCCATCAAACCATCTCTATGGCGCATGCACTGCAAAAGATCATACAGACCATCGAGGCCTCAATGTTTGATGGATACGGGACCTGAACACAAAAAACGCCCAGGTTGGGATAAAGCGGTCTCACGCCTGACACCGGCCGGCATTTGACAACCCTCATGTCAGTGGGTTCCAAAGGTCTCGTTATTCCAGCCATTGGGAGCAGATCCTGTTCCATGAAGCGGATCGCAGAGAAGTTGATAGTGAGGTTGACTAAGTGAAGTCGGCATCGATGGGGAGTAAAAGGGACTATGTGGAAGCCCTGGAGAGAATGAATCGAACTAAAGTAGGGCGGAACTAGCTACTCGGCGTTCGGAATATTGGGCATTCTAAACTAGTTCACAAACATTAAAAAGTGTATGTCCATAAAGTTGGTGTGACGACGGAAAAGTAAGGGGTGAGAGGGAAAGATGAATGGATTATGAATGACAGATAAGAGGGAAGAAAGAGAAGACTGTAATTAACTGCAATTAATTGCAGTGCGCATATGGTTCCAAGGCAGCCATGTGCTTTAAATACTGCACTTATTGTGCCACTATTACCCTTATGTGAGACTGTCACTGATGATGGACTCTAGTGAGAATCCGAAACTTCAAGCCAATAAATTTCCTGTTCCAGTGATTACATCTTCGTCTTCTGAACTGCTAACTGGAACTCGCCTGTTCGCTTCCATTAGGAGGAGAGCGAGAGTTGGAGCCGTGTATAAATATACATCGGGAGAGGTTTTGCCTACCTGGGGCGTTTCGTAGATATCCGAGACGACAGACTTAATGGAGAGCGGAGGAGTACCGGGGGTGTCAAGGGGCATGTAGCGGTTTAGGAGCACACAACCTATTACACAGACGCTAGACGGTGCATGTCCCTAAAGTTGGTGTGCCAACGGGAAAGTAGGGGGTGAGGGGGAAAGATGAAGGGGCTATTAATGGCAGATAGGATGGAAGAAGGAGTGCAAGGGCCGTGTATAAACATAGATGGGGAGAGGTTTTGCCTACCTGGGGCGATTTGGAGATAGCCGAGACGACAGCCTTAATGAAGAGCGGAGGAGCACCAGGGGTGTCAAAGGGCATGTAGCGGCCCGGGAGCACACCAATTCGCTGGTTACCCGTCGAGCGCCAGTAATCCAAAAAGGTCTCCATCATCTGGCCGTTTTCGAATTGCACGTAGTCCACGTGAGGGTAGGCCTGCACTTCGAGGGTGATTGGCTTAGGCTGACACTCGGTGCAAATACCCTCTGGCCAGGCCGGGTGGTCCGTGCAGCCAGGTTTTATGGTGCAAACAACGTTTTCCAGGCGAACAAATTTGCCCCTGTCAGTGCAAGAATGAAGTAACTGTAAAGCAAAAGAAGTCTGAACTAGACGGTAGTTCCGATTGAATTTTGTAATATTCGTATGGCTCTGGCAGCCTCCGAAAGCGGAAATCCCATTAAGGTGTCAATCATCAACTCTGTCCTTGTCGAGTGCTTGAAACTTTTGTGATATAATGCAGTCTCTAGACTAACCGTGAAACAAGAGAGCGTGGATTGTGAAAAATTAGAAATTATATTTGGCGAAGGGTAACATAATAAGAGCTGAAGTATTAACATACATTCAAAATCCTATATATGTATTTAAAGGGAAAAGTTTACCTGAGTGTGATTTTGTGAAGCAGAGGGTAGCACAATAGCTTTCAGTAGAGCATCTTTTCAGTTAACTGCTTGAATCCACATAGGGAACAAACGATGGCCTAAGAACTGGGAATCTTCTCGATGATTACATATATTAGTGCGTATGACATAAAGTGGATGCAAATATCAGAATGTCCTGAATTTCTATTGCTTATTTTTCGATACGTGGCCATGTGTCTCTCTAAAGCTTTAACATGCAAAAAAGACAGCATTTCAGTTTCGTAAAAAGCAGACACTTGCGACGCTCACATACGCATTTGCGACCGAATACCCGCAGTTATCTCGAGCCCGCCAACTAAGCACGCGAAAATTCACATCTATTCTAACCCCCCGTTGACACCAGTATGTCGCCCCTCAGGGGTATACTACGATCTATGAAATTGTTTTAATGACAGTACACACCAATCAGTTCAGAATTCATCAGGACAAGCAAGGGCGCAGTTTATGTTTCAAAACACTAGTGGATGAATGAACGTCCTTTAATCCAAAATCTGCTGCAGTTTTCAACTGCAAATTCGAAGAATACGCGACTTTTTATGAAATGCATATTATGAGTAACGTTGTTGTGAATCCTTTTTAGGACATAAGTTCATGGTTAGAACGTTGCAAGCGACGAGAAGTATCGTGACTTGATAGTGTATTTGTTCACAGTGAGAATGTTTCTATTTTCCTTCCGCTCAGCAGCACACAGGAGGTTCACTTAAAATAAACATTTTTCTATGCCATGTCTAACTTAATTTCACACAGGTGGGTTCAAGTATCGTTATTTTCAAATGCCTTAGTATAAATCCTTTTAATCTGCTGGCTTCTGAGTCAATCAGGGCGCAATACCCTGAACAACTGCGACTCTCGTAGCATGTCATATCCAGATTCTTAATAACTTCTAGTATGCGCAGCATGTCGTAGCGCGCAGGGGTGTCCGGTTATGAGTTCCACATGAAGGGCGTCGTAGGTCATATCATTTGTCTCGCGCAGGTGGTGATCGCTCCTAACATCCATTACCTGGCACTCAGCCCTCACGTGTGGTTCACCAGAGTTAGGCTCTGCCTAGCAGTCATACCCCGATAACCGTCTCCATCGGCTGGTTAAACAGGGTAAGGGTATCTGGCGCTGTTTATTCCCCGCACACGGTGATTCCTTTCCCATTCCCGCGTCTCCCAGTCCCTCCGTTCCATCCTTCACCTCCTCCCTTTCCACCTCTCACCTCCAACCCCTCTACCCCCTTCCTCCTGCCTCTTCCTTTCCCTCTAGTCTTCTTCCGCCTCAAAATATCATACAAAGAGTGCGACAGCCAATCCCGCAGACGGCCCTTGCGAACTCGGATCACTCTCCCATTAAACCAAGCCGTGACCAGTAGTGGAGTTCGGCAGCCATCTGGGGCATCTCAGTAGTCCTATTTAAAAACAGCTCTGTTTACACACTGCTGGGGGAAAAAAGAGAAAAGGCGACCTAGCCAAATGCTGGGACCACGTCATCTGCACGCAGACCGTGGCTCGCAGATGGAAAACCCACGGTTAAAACAATCAAATAAACAACAGCCGACGTCTCTGTCTCCTGTCACGTCCCACAGGTTACTGTAGTGAGTCCGCTCATGCTCTGCCACACCATGAGATATTTCACGAGATTAACCACTGGGAGTCAGAGAATATTTTTCAGGTGGGCAAACAACGCCTTTTCTAATCCGTTTCCAGACTGTCTGCATCGGACAGAAGAAATTTAATCTTGTTGCAATAAAAATGAGATCTCCACAGTTCTAAGCGATGAGAAGCACTTTGTTCTTGATTTAGATGGACGATTGTACAAAGCGTCAGCGCTCCAAAACAACAATCTCTGCAGATTATATGAATGGTTGTATTAAAATCTGCAGCCTGTCGTATGAACAGGTTTGCAACTCAGCTTTAATTAGCGAGAGAAGTGGCCAAATCGTTGGCCTCTGTGTTTCAATCACAGTAATTGTGCCTTCCTTTTTTGGGTAATCCACTAAGCTCCGACCCTCAGAGTTGAGAGAAATCAACTCTTGTACGAGTCTGAAAGCTCAAGAAAATAAAAAAAGTGTTGCGGTGCTCGACTCTTCTTCATTTATTGATCTACTTATCCCCTCAGGTGAAATCCTTCGAAATCACGCTGATGACGCTTTCCGATTGGTTCAATGTGCGACTGTTTGTATTGTGGTATTAAGCTCTGGACCAACCTCACTTACGCCTTCTTATCCCACGTACACAGTGGCCAGTCCGAGTCCAGCAACTGAAAAAGTGGTTGTGCGCAGCGGCTGTTAAGGCATGGTGTCTCTTTCCAACGCGTGCTAAACACGGACTCAGATATGTAGCAAACAGCCACAATGGCTACATCGCGCCTCTCTATGGCTCCTTCACATACGCCCTAACGCAGCCTGCAATGGCCTGTCTGCACCACGCATCCGGTCGACTCTCTGCCAGCACCATGTGAGGCTTGTTAATACCCTCTCGTGGGCTCGCAACCGATCATCGTATCTCCTCTCGCTGATTGGTAACATAGGCGGGCACAGTCTTGACCCTGACGTAGACAATCCGCCACGACACTTATGCAGCGGCGACCTTCGGCGGCACTCGCCTCGTCGCTTGCGCAGACGCCGCCTCCGCGGCGCCAGGCGCACCGTCGTCCGGTTGCCAACTTTCCTCTATCCTTCTGTACAGAAGAATAACTCATCTTCTCCAATTGGCGTCCCGTTTCTTGCAACTTTGGATATGGCCTGAAGTTGTGCCACACTGAGCATTCACAATCACTGCTTAGCCCCTAGAGATCTCACATAAGTTGTGGTTACCAGAAGTGCAACATTATGAAGAAGCAGCACAGTTTAGCCACCGTTCCAAAGAAGGACCAGCTGGGTCATAAGTTGGCAGCCTTTCAATTAACAAATTTTAGCTCATCAGATTTATTTTAGATAGGAGTGGGCTGATTTTCAATGAGCACCATCCCGAATCGATGGAAAAATACGTACTAATTTGACAGTATTTTACCGACTGTGATTAACAGGCATGACTGCAAGGAGTCCCAGTTTCCAACAAACATGCATTGCGAAAGCACTGAAACTTCTTATACATTTAATGTCTGAAAATACCACACTAGCAGCACAGGTTCTGCTTATGGTGTGGTATTTGCTGGCGCTTAAATATGCTACTATCCACCTGTCAGCAGTTTGTGAATAGTAAGAGGTCATCTCACTGTGGCTGATAGACTTCGGCCCAAACATCCATACATGGAGTTTCGATCTGCGCCTATACACCCTAGTACAAAATGATATACTTCAAATTAGCAGTTAATTTCTGGGAAAATTAAAAAGCAATGACTTCTTATACTCTTGTTGAACAAGACTGGATCTTAATATTTACCTTACAGTAGGATTTAAGATAGGTGTAAGGTTTATAGAGAACTTTATGTTCAATAAAGGTCCATTCATAAGCCTTCAGACCCTATATAGGGAATGATTATGCCTCAGCTTTGAGTTCCATGCAATCACCAAACATGAGTCAAGACTTCGGTCGGCCACTGCTGCGTTACTTTCGTTGCTGAATAAGACAGGCCGCATGGTATCCAGCATGTCACAGAGAGGGACAATTTGTGGTAGAGATCCGTATAGGAAATGGCCTCTTGCATCTCCTCTTGCGTACTTCATGTGAAAGAACTCTGCAGATCCACATTGCCGGTTCTTACCCCATTTTTCTTTAGATAGAGGCACAGCCGAAGTTATTCGCTGTCAAATCTCAAGCAAAATGCTCATAATAAGGTCAAAAATGTGCATGGCCAAAGTACATACTTGTTAAACAACTTCAGTTGTGTCTGAAAAACAGCATGTTAAATAGGAAGACAAATTGATTTTTTCAGATTGTCTGTTGATAGGAGATGCCGTTGTTACTGGCCGCCTTTGTATGATTTTGACTACCCCGAAGTTAAAAAGCGTTCCTAAAATGTTAAATATTAAAGACATGTGATGATTTTGAGTTGCAGGCTGCAATACATCACTAACCTATCCCGTGTTCCCCTTTTAAATAAACTCGAGTTCGACGGAAAGAACGACAGTGACAGATCACCATCCCTCACCTTTGCAATAGCAGGCGGGAAAAGTGCTATTAAAAAATGTAGACTCCTGAAGTGTCCCCTGTATATGAAAAGAGATATGCGTGCAACAGAAGGAAGTTCAGACGTAGAGTTGACAGAAAGAAAATAGCCGATAAGAAGGGAATTCTTGTATAGTCTCTTCTCTTCATCATCGACATAAAATTCTTAAAATAGTTCGATATCAAATAATGCGCTACCCACATTTACCGCAGAATCTGTATTTAAGTATGTATTACGGTATCAGTCATGTTTCTGCAAGTCTGAGTCCACCTATGGTTTCCGGATCTCCCTAGTCTCAATCAGCGTCACCCCAGCACTTGTACGTTCTAAGAACGTGAGATGATTTATAGGATGGGCTTTTCTACTGTAGAGGTCTTTCTAAAGCATAGCCGTGTGAGAGCACTCCGAGGAAACTTTTAAACAGCGTACTCTTAAACTGGAAAGGATCATAAGGGGGAGTCTCTTAAATGGCAGTCGTAAACTCATGAAATATGTTTCTTCCAACTGAACACATTGCAAAGATTGCTCGATACTGAATGTGAATAAGCTTCTCACACTAACACATGATCAATCAACGTACTGATCTGCAGTCTGCCAGTATGTTAAAAATATGGAGAAATTTCACCCTCAACTCAGTCACAAGACGACAACTATTATTTTGCTTTGGACTGTATGCGAGAGTTCGGTAGCCGGAAGTGTTCGGTATCCTTTGGATGAACTTTTGTGCTAACATTTTGTGCAATCAGCGTTCAATTCAGTGTTGTCGTTTGCTAGTATTTTGTTAACTTATTTTAATGAATTGGGTTGCCCGACCCTGCTCTTTTTCGGGTAGCGCATGTTGTCTTCTGGTTCGATTTATTAGAAACGCCCTTCGGGTGCTTATCTTCCGTTTGCCAACCCATGTAGATACTGATGGAGGAAGAACCGGCATCAGCTGTAATCAACGAGTTATCGGACGCGTTCCACGCGTAGGTGTAAATCGGTGTCGTTTATTTATAAAAACTAGCTCCTTGTTATATAGACGGCCGTCTCGTTTATTCACATCTTGTCAATTGTAGAGTACGCCTACTTTTGTATATTTTATGACATACTTTGTCTACTTTTGCCATTCAGCAGTTTGCATCATTTGCTTTATTTTGGATTTATCGCTAGTTCCAGCTCAAAACTCCTTAAACATTTAACTTAGTGTGAACTAAGCTGTCTTGCGTTGGATTTGCATACTTACAGAAGGCCTGTGGATGTAGTTGTTTTACACGTTTGATATCGCTTTAATTACTGAGGTCAAAGGATTCCGCGCAACTCAGACTTACAGAAGTTATTTCGTCAACCGCCATGGCTGATGCTGTAAGACATGATTCAATACTTTTTGTTGTTTCAAGAGACGAAACCCCGTTGCTTGTATTCGTTCAACATGATTTATCTTGTATCTTCGGAAACTCAGTTTTTTTTTTCAAAACTTTTTTATCGTTAAATGGCGTTGAAATGCAGACAAGTGTTTTTTTTGTGCACGCGTGTAGGATGTAGAGCACTGTGTTATAGACGTTATTTAAAAACTGTCGATCTGCAGTTTCTTGCGTCATAAAGTTTAGTCTGCATTTTTGCGTATGAAAGACAACGGTGTGTTTTTGCAGAACGCGAATTAAGCTTATAAATTGCTGGACTTTGGTTTTGCAACGCAGTTTCACGGGGGCCAGGAATAAAACGTGTGGATAACCTTATTTGCTTAACCAGTAAATGCATTCGGACAGATAATACCGAACTTGCTTAGCATCGCACACAATTTTGTGATGTTAACACAGTCATATAATTTTGATAATGGAACACGCGCAGTCTTCGCTTTTTATAGGAATAAGCAGTTTCATCTGACTTTTACTAGTGTCCGAGTATATTCCTGGGGCATTATTTTTAAACAAAAACTAAGGTTTTCTAAATTAAATTAGTCCGCCTGTAAGTAGTAGGTGAGATTTATTCCTGCTTTGATTAGCTTGAACATTTTTAGTTTTTTATACAAAGCGTTAGGCGGTGATTTTCGCACCACGGACGAATCTTGGACCAGCAAAAAATGCCTTCGACATAGCAGAGCAAAAGTTGTATGAATTGGTTGAAGCGTTTGCTCGCTTGTGTCCTATAAGTTTCCGGGAATGAAGGAAAGTTCATTGTGTGTTTTTGAATATGTCCTGAGACAGTGGTTTGATAACGTCGTGTATGCGTAGTATGTGGGCCATTATCTAAAAACCGAGACTGCAGGCTCTATATCACTATTCCCAATTCTAACGAGTAGTTAAAATTCCATGAATCCAGAAAAGCAGTTGATTTAATGGTATTTTCCATCTTCCACTCTAAACTAAGTCAATACTCATCTACCAACGCCAGGCGCAAGAATAAAAAATCGAAGTCAAGCCACTCAGTTCATTCGCAATTAAAATATACTCACAGAGGAACATGAAGAGCTGCCATTTTTGAACTGGCTTGTAATGTTAACGCCAAATTTAGTTAGCGATTCACTTTACTCTACTACTTAGTTTCAGTGTAAAACGTGCAGCTCCGTATCCTGCTTAAGCATTTTAGCACAATGAGCACAATCGATGCACTATCTAACTTTTAAAATAGAACTGCTCACATCAAAGCATTCGTACGTCAAATATAAGACCGCCAGACTGAGCACGCCACACGTGAAAACTAAGGTTTCTTACCACAATCGCTTAAGAAACCGAGTGTTCGTTTTCAAGTCAGAGTTATCAGTAGTTCTCGCATAGTTCGTCACAGGGTGAAAAGTGTAATCTACGGATGCAGTTACTTGTGTCCGTTGCTAATTCTTAGTTGAGAATGACAGCTGTTATGATAGCTCGTTATCCTGTATTATGGTTCATCCGCTTGGGTCTACGGGTAGTAATGTCCAGACTGGCTTTTATGTGCCTTTTGTCTTCTCAAATCTACCCTCAGGCGCGCCAAATCAAATGACAGTTTCTGTTAATGCAAGTCCAAGACAGAGTGAGTAAGGATTTATGCCTTTATCCGTGTTCAAGGCTGATCTTTTTTGCCAACCAATTGAAGGCAGACTGTCTAAGTCTCCCTTCACAGACATCCTTTCGAATAAGTCGGAAGTACATCTTTCCTGCAAAGAAAACTAGTGGATATTTGAATTAGGAAACAAATGCTTTGAGGGTACAAGAGAATGAGCGAATATTGACCGTCAGACACCAAGATTGTACTAGGTTTCTGCATATTGAGCGAAAAGTTCTGGTTGTGCCGATTTGATCCTTAAAGCCGTGAAGCGGAAATTATTCTAGGTTTTCAGCGTTCTTGCATAGTTATATCATTCTCGTTTAAAAAAAGAGCAATGGCACGAGATACCAGAATAAACCTAACTATGCCCTCAAGGGTATGTATTTTTAAGAAAATCAGTTTTCATTACGGCGTTGGATACAAAGGATAACATGCACACATATCCTAAATGTTATTTTTCTTGGGTTGGCGCTATCAACTGCTCATACAATCTTTTCAAAAGAAAAGTGATAGCATATAAGCGATGGGACTTTCATAAAACTAGTACACACCCGTGTTGGCGGGTAATGATGTAAAGGTAGCTTACGCAGTCCGAAAATAAGACGCTTCTTAAAACTGCACTGCATGCCTACCTCTGCATCACAGCTGCGCAATTTATCCAATGATTTCTTCCGTTTGCTCGTCAGTGTTTTCCACCCAGTTTGTTAAGGTTGATATCTTGCTGGGATTAGGCGAAACATCCTCGCACGAAAATCCGGCATTTCTGTCGATAACGCAACCTCCGTTTCTCATAACCTTCAACTTACGCAGGCAGCGCACTTAGTTAAACGGATTATTCAAGATAAGAAATTAAAAAAACCATGCGAACCTCGACAGAAGTTCTTCTACGGTATTTTGCGGAATTCCTCTGTTATATAGAAAAACAAAGCTGCAAATCCCCAAAAAGCACTGAATTTTTACGGACTGTTTCCACTAGGTCGTTTGGTTGACCTAGCTATTTGCTTCCAACCCCAAATATAAAATGCATGATTTTGATATCTTTTTAAATGAAGGTTTTGTTGCAAAAAGTGCCACGGGTGTTATCTGAAATAATTTTTAGAGAGGCGGGATTATCTGCCTTCGTCTCTTGAACTGCTGCAAGTTGTCCCTCCTGTATTTACCCTGGCTGGCATTCCAGAGGTTAACAGTCCACCGAAAAGGTCATAAGAATAGTTCTTGATATCGATGGGGAAGTCCATAGAGATTAAATATTCATAGTAGGAGTCCTCATGGAACTCACTTTTCAAAACGAAACTACAATAACTTGCCCACGAAACGAAATTATACAACTGCAAGTTATTTATAAACTCAGCTTGATTATATGGTGACACTGCCCTTACTTTAGTAATTTTCAGCTGGGTTCCTAAAAATGTCCGCAACGTATTGCGTCTCATCCAAAAACATCCAGAATTAACACATCATAATCATCGAAAATTTATCAGGAGGATGCAGTGAATGCCATAATAAAGCAAATGCGTTCTCTGCTATTGATAATGTGTCTAACAAGTTTCTCTAAGACACACACACAAGCGTGTGTTTCAGTGTTATTTGTTCAGTTTCCTGCCACTTGTGTTTGTCCTACTACAGACGAGGCCACACCAGTGCTATATGACAACGCTTTTACTCGCGGACTTTCGCCTGTTAACTAACTAAAACAATCTCCATAAGTGATGGGCTGAAATCCGATGAGAACTTCGGTATAGTGTAATTGTTGGACAAAAAAAAACATTCTCGGTTGTTCGCATTCACGAAAGTCAAAGAAACTATATCGTGACAGAATGCATTGTTCTCAGGTTTCCTGCGACAGCAAACATAATTCACCTGAACCATTACGTCAACATTACAAGCCATCTTGAACATGGCATGACTGCCTAGTCAAACAATGCGTATTTCAGCCCTTAGTATTTTCAAAAATTCATGCTCTAACTAGGCGTGAATCGGTCGTAATGAAAGTTTGTAGATACAGTCCGAAAGTTCATATGAAATATATGGCCAAAGTTCATCAACCTCAGCGAGATAATCCCGTGACATTCATAAAATTCCAACAGGTAGCGCTTGAGGAACGCTGGGGGACCCACTGATAATCCGAACCCATCGCGGTTGAGTCATGTTGCAGCAGAGTACTGGCGAACATGTGCCTGGGCTCTTGGTACCTTGCTGTCAGTATTGTGAAAATCCTATAAAAATGCTATACGTTTTGTGTATTGTTAATAGGCAAGTTGTTACCTGCTCACATAGGCCGCTTCAGCTCAGAAACTACGAATTAGGACTCAATGGTCCAAGCTGAACCCTTCAAAAACGTTTCCCATATATGTCAACCTACCCATTTTTTAATTTTCCCTCGTGATAGTGCCATTGTCCTACCCCTTACCGGTATCTTTAGTCTAACGTCCATTTCAATCCACATGCTGAGTTAGGCCCTAATTTTAGTAACGTGATTTTCAGGAAAACGAAAGTACGGCGTTAATGATCGAGGAGTGAGTTTTCGTTTGCCACTGTACGTTACCTCTGCTACAGTAAACCCCAGATACCTTTGATGGAAGGGGTGCGTGCAGCCGAGCACGTTCTCTCCCTCTTTCTGGACAACAAATTCAATGAAGCGAAGGAGACAGCCAAATCAATGTGAGTGTAACTTTCTCTCATCGTATTCGGTCCCGCATCTCTTATCTCATCAGGATTGATCAAAGCATCTATCATGCAGTCTCCTATGGTACAATGCTTCACCTGCAGGCTGCAGCCACTCTCGAGGCGGTACGTCTGAATTCCACGTATTTTCCTAGTTGGCTGGTTCTCATTTCCTCTACTCACTTGTCTTAAGTGTAGGAGCCTTCAGTTGTGGCGTTTTAGCATGTCGCTTTTTGAACTTGCAGCAGACTAATCCGAGCGGCTCTGTCACACGCATGTGCACGTGCTTAAATATGTCACCCTGAGCAGATACCTAGCCCGCAACTTGGTCTGCAACCACTAACCCGCTACGACAAGGCGATTTTCGAGCTCAGCGAGCACATATAGTGGGAGGTGATCAAACTGGATGGTCGCTTAAGAGCTAAGTGCGCAGAAGAACTCAGAAAGGTCCCCCTCGGCTGTTGCATAGGTCTTGTTTAGGGTGCCCTTGATGCAGGTTTCCAGCCGCTGTTTTACATTTTGCAAGAGCTTGCAAATTACAAAAAATGGTGTGTAAAAAATTTTTATCTTTATGGAAGGGAAGAATGCAGGTTTTACGTGAGTTTTCGTTCGTGCGAATTTATCAGCCTAGGGTCTGATAAGTCACGTAGTCTATTACTAAGAAGTTGACTAGCGTTACTCCCAAGTATACTGTGTAGCCTAAATTTGTTGTAGTCGCGCAATTATCAGGATGTTCCTTTGTTAAAATAGCTTACAGTAAATGTATTTAATGTCTTTTGGAAGCCCCAAGAAAGGATGACGGCACAAATGTTACTTTAAAATTTTTCGGAAATTCAAAACTTGAAGTTCAGGGTAAAAAAGTAAAAACTTACTGACCTGTGCAATTAATGCGAGGAGTTCATCGTTTTGTTTACGCGTTATGAGAAGCATGCTACGGTTTATAAATGAATCAAAAGGTGTTCTTACCTGCACATAAATTAACTAGTCATTTTCTCCTTGTGAATCTTACAATGATAACTGTGAGGATATTCGTTAAGAAACCAACTTGCGAAGGCGTATAAATAGATTTTCGATTGCGTTCAATATTAGTCAGTTGTTCGACCGCACTTAGTCTTTATCACTGGAAAACCAATGGACAAAATTTCCATTAGCATCCGATTAGCCTCGGTGCATACAGCGTGTCTGTCAAGCAAATTATTGTCACTTCAGAAATTACTGATTTAATTTAATAAGCACGAGAAAGTTACGCTACCCAGAAATACATTTTAGCTCCCGCAAACATTCCCTTTTAAAATTGTGTAAACCTGAGGTAGAATTTAGGTGGGTTTGAGACTATTGGGTCATCGGGCATATGTTGGGTTTTTATGCAACCACTGTTAAACAGGGCCATTTTAAGGACTTTTAGTAGAATACATTCGTTTTAATACAGCCCGAAGCAACCACACTAAACAACCGCCCAGATATAATGTTTCACATCAGGAGCTTGTCATAAACAAGCCGTGTAAATTAATAGAAGACATTTTCAACGAAAAGAGAATTTGAATCTGTATATGCTGCATAATTTTAAGCATTGTGAATTTAACTACAATACAAAAGCGTCCCTATCCCTGTATTAGAGTATGTTATAACCGACAAAGACAAGGGAGACTGGAATGGCCATTTCTGGCTTATTAGCCTTCGTAAGCCGAAGTGTGGAACACCTGGGGTTCGAAATCGGGACCTGCTAGTTAGAAGTCCACGCCCCTAACCATTGAGCCACAGGCCCGTTGTCCTTAGAGTAAGACATCTTGGCTATCACGCGCGTAGTCACTAGTAGAACGTCTGAACATATGAAGGGACATAACTCCGTAGCAGTCAGCTGCTCAACGAAGACTTCAAAAAAAGCAAGACTTCCTGTTTAACCAGCTTTTTGATGGAGACTTAATCGCGAACTCCAACAACCTCTGTCTATCTAAGAACTTCAAAAGCACCTTGAAGTAACGCCAAAAACGATTATCCAACATGACAGAAGTGTTTGAGAATAGTTTATGTGTTACTTCGAAACACTTTTTGGGCGCTTGGTAGATATTTGTTGCTACGGTTCATGGTTGAGGTCCCATAAAAAGTCTGATTAAATAAAAAGTCTTCTTCCAAGAAAAGAGTGGAATATTACCTACATATTAATCTCAGCTAAGGAACTAATTACCCGGAAAGGCTGAAAAGTATAATGGAACTAGAAACCCACTGCAGGCAAGTGGAACACACTGACTTCGGTAAAAATTGATTTTGAAGTTCGTATTTTGGCTATTTAGAAAATTACTCTTGCAGAAGGCGAATTAATTTTCATTGCCTGGATGGAACAGGGGCATTCATCATTCTACTGAAGGGGTGTCCAGTTTTCTTGTCACCCACATTCTAAAAGCCCGTTGATTGGGTCGCTTCTCGGCTGCGATTGCATGTCTTGTACCCATGCCTCTGTAATGGATGATACCTCGACCTTTTGGCTCATGGTATCTGTTATTAAAACGGTCTGTAAAACGCTTTGTGGCGCCACAAAAAATACTCTACAAAAGACTGACGAAAGTTTTTCTGAGATCTCCGTGCTCGTTCCTCTCATCTGAGATATGAGTTGAGCTTGAAGCGAAATCTTAAAGGCTTTTTTCCTGACTACGGCTTATAAAAGATTAGAATAATTTTTTTTGGGTAAGATTGGGTTTGGTAGCCCCACATGATGGACACAGTGCTGTTTGGGTTGAGTTTAAGGGTTAGCGTTAGGGGTTATGGTTAGGGGTTAGGGTTAGAGTTAAGGGCTAGGGTTTAGGATTAGGGGTCATAGTTAGGAGTTAGCGTAACAATTTTCAACCTTTCGACGTACAACCGCGCACTCCCAATAGCTTTTCTTTTGCATACAACCACTTGACCTCGTCGCCTCTGCGTTCCCCGGCCCCATTTGTAAAAACCCCTATTACTACCGGTCCCATATTAGAGGTCATTGGGGTTTGTTTACTTCAGGTGGGGCTACATGACCACATCCGACCGTTTTCTGTAGGAAGCTAAGCATTTGTTAAAACCTTGTGTTTGGTATGCTACCGTCTTATCGGAAGCCACGGTAGTCTCTCCTGACGATCAGCACACCGTGTTTTTACAATTCGTTTTAATTGTGATATTAACATCCGAATTCCAATAGCAAAAATAATTTGCCAAATCACGACATACTCTTCCATTTTCATCTATCTATATTGGTACCATCTTCCTCTTCCCGGTAGTTTATGGATACTGTTACAAGTTCTAAACACTTTCTGAACAATTTCTACAGAGATAAAAGTCGTTTATCATTTCATTTTGAGAAAAATCAGTTGCAGGATACGTGCCTCGACCTACCCAGGCACATAATGGATGCCACCATCAGCACTGTCCTCTTATGTTAATATCTGTAGTGTGATCATAAAAAGATAAAGAACTCAAACAGCTAAAATGAGGTGGGCAAAATAATATTGCCGAAGAAGACAAAGGAGACTGGAATGGCCATTCTCGGCTTACTAGGCGTTACCATTCCTCCATACCCGACCCGAGGGTTATGTTACCCCTGAGGCCCGATCAGTGACTTGTTGGTTAGAAGTCCAACGCCATAACCATTGAGCTACGGGCTCGTTGTCCTGTCGGTTACCCTGCCTATAATGCTAGCCGCTGAGCGGCTGTTAGCGGGGCTCATGCTTGAGCCCCAAGACAACGGGACGGATGTGTCCCGTAACGTGATCGGTGTGCCCATATCTACCACTAAAGTGGAGCTCTCTAGTAAGTAAAAGATTCAGGCAACATAACCAAAAATGGAGTAATTTTCTACCAATCTAGAGATTCTGCTGACAGAGGTACGTTTTACTCTAAACTTTAAAGGACTTCTAGACATTCATATCCCTTGTTTTGTCTGACATGTTTAGTCTGACCTGAAGTTAGCAACGGAGTACATTCGATACGCTGTGAAGCTTTGCAACAAATATCGCCGCCGAGTGACCATTACGGAAACCTTTTCCAAGGCCACTCCAAAGCAGAAGGCAGCTTTCTACGCGGCCTTCACTGATGGTATGTCCTCTTTCTGATTGACAACCTGGTATTTACACCCAGGGATTAACCGGTCATAACTTCTCAGTCATTTGCTATTTGGTGCACAGTTTGTTCCAAGGCATAACATTGATGTTCATACAGTTGAGTTTAAAAATACCTTGTTTTCCCTTTCATTTCCATCTGTCTATCTATTCCTCTTTGTCCACATGTCATGACGGTCCACAACAGCAGTAACCCCATTGCCACTTAACATCCTCACTAATATATCCTCCTCTTCCTGCTCACGCTCGCCCTCCTCCTCCACCACCATCGTCATCACCGCTAATGCCTTGATCATTTTCGATTTAACTCCACCTCCATCGTGCCTTCTTTTTTGTTTACATAACGGACGGACGAAGTCTAGATTTCTTTTTGCTCTATCCCAGGTCAGTTTTTACTGTACGACATGTTTCCAACAAGACGACCGCGGTGGAAGTTAACTAGGCTTGTCGAATACTTCGCTTAATGATAGTGTGATAGACTTGTCGCGACAAGTCCATAATTATTTTTCTAAAAAGTTCTTTTCCCCAAAATATGCAGTTTTTTGCTTATCTTCTAACCCTCTTTATAACAAGGCTTATTTATCCAAAACAACCCGTTTTGCAGACACTGTGGGGTCGACTTAAAACAATGCCCGGAACTAAGGACGTGCATACCGAGCTCGATATGCAGTACGGGTTGTTGAGCAGTAGCATGGCGATTATGTGAAGGAGAGATAGATGGTATTAACTAGAAATGATGTCTAGTTACTTCCGCCTTCTTCAAAAATAAGAGTCCGAAAATATATAACATTAAGTGCACTTATAGCTCATTGGTCAAGTGGCCGATATCACTCGACTACCGTCGTAGGCCTGACCTATTTAACAAATCTGATGAAATCAAACATAAAACTGTTGATTTCTTGTAGTTGGAATATCAAAGCCTTATTTGCAGAATTTACCACATGCTATCTAAGCAGTCCTACTAAGCCAACCTAGGCGACCACCATCAGCTAGACCTGAAATTGTTTTTGCATCAAATGACTGGAATGGCCATTTCTGGCTTATTAGCCGTCGTCAGCCAGTCATACCCAACCCCGCTATGTGGAACACCCGAGGCTCGAACTCGCGACCTACTAGTTAGAAGTCCACGCATCCAACAACTGGGCGCACGCCGATCTATTGGCTCACCGAAGCAAACAAGCTCCGTATGGGTGGCAAACGTCACGAACAAGCAACCAACCGCCAGGCCGAAGTCGGCCAAGCCATTAGGGCAGCGAGGAGGGACGACAGAGAGTGCGGGTTGACTTGTACAGTACTGATCCGGGCTTATTTTGCCTTCATTCAGCTAATCACAACCCTGACCATTCCTGAGTGAATAAATAGCCGATCTGCAGCAGCAGGGAATGACAGGTGGCGAGGCAATGATGAACTTCGACTCGATAAAGTGCGTATGACCCATCTTGTTGACCCCAGTGATGGACCAACTGCGCCGGGTGTGTCTGTGCGCATGTGTGTGTTTCTGGTCTCAGCTGCCGGTCAGGGTTATAATTGGCTGAATGAAAGAAAAATAAGCCCGAAAAAGCGCTGTATCAATCTACTCGAACTCTCTATCATCCTCCACGCTTATATTTATGTATATGATTTTACGTTGGCATTCTATGGTTTTGGATGGGAAATGTCTTCAGTTTTAAATTCAGTACTCGTGATTTTTATCACTTGTTATATGTAATTTGCCAAGCGTCTTAAACAACTACCGCGACAAGATCAATGACACTATTTATGCCGACTTTTTAATAGCCATGGACTACTGCCCTTGAGTCATTAAACGTTTCAAACAGAATTTATAAGCTCTAAGAAAGGATTTTTGGGCGGCGAAGTCGGCAGAAATACAGACACACTATACATTCCCAAATCAAGAAAGGATGAATTTTCTAGACGCCCTTTTCATGTGCTATTTCGAGCTCCTACCCCTGATAGTGAAGGCCATTCCCACGTTAGGGACTGACGACTAGCACCATCTGGCGAGCTGCTTGCTTACTGGTATTATTCGTGTGTAGTTGCACGCGTGCTAATAGTTCTTCCTTTCTCGCCAGGCTAATCAATACTCTCTCGGTGTTTACGTATTTGTGCGTCCTGTAAGGCTACGGAGCAGGGCTGTGGAGAGTCGGTTGTGCTATTGTAATCGAGAACGCTTTAGTGTCTTTTGCTTTGCATAGCGTTAACGTGCCGTCATTACGGGGTAACCGTCACCTTTTGAGCACCTGCCCTCGTCAACTGGCTCGAGCGTTGTGTGTGTGTGATTGTCGGGCTGCATTTAACTTTACGTATTGTTCCAAATAGTTGCATAACTTAAGCCAATACCCCTCCCTTCGTTTTCAACCTCACGATAACTACTTTAATCTTTGCCCCGAAAACTCGGGAGAGGTTAAATTATTTAACTAATTCAGGAAAAGTTCTTGTGTTGAAGGTAACTTTCTAACTGTACATGGGATTCCCGATTCATTGGCTCTAGGACATCATCTGTATATATGGCGGATTTTTCCCGAACACGCTCCATATTCTTCAAACATGAACAGTTTATCCCCGAATTAACCATCAGAGCTTATCCAACGCCCCCTTTAACATCTCTCAAGTAGCATAACAAGCAATCTTTTCATAGATACTTACGCTGATAATTTTTCTCATAGCTTTTAAACTGCGGGATTGTGGACCTGGTTCTAAGCCTGCGTTCAGTTTCTGTAGGAGCTATTTTTTCAAAATAGTTTAGAACAGCATATGACCTCCTAATATCTCCAAACTTTGGACCCCAGCTAAAAGCCGATAAGCCCAAATATCCCCCGTTTATTCACAAACGAACGGTCGAATTTTTCCATGTAAGATACTTTGGGGGCCGTTGGAGATTAAGAAGTTTGTCTTTTGAAATCCTTTCTTGTCATGATCGCATCATAGTTAGTTGAAATGTCTACTTCTGACTGAACTAAAGGCCTTTTGAGATAACATGATATGCGACACCTGACAGCACAGGTACCAGCAAAAATCCCAGACGCGTGTTTCGCCTATATTCTGTCGCTGCGTGGCACAGCTGCGAGGGATTCTGGCTCATCAGTGGGTACCTCGGCGTTCGCTTCGTGCTTTCTGATAGTTACTCCAATTCTGAAATTGTAGTCTTTCAACTTTCTTAGAAGTTTATCGCCAACTTGGAGTAAATCAGTCTATTTGAGACTTAAAGGCTCAGACCGATTTTTGATATAAAATATTTCGGCCGAAGTCTATCAGCCACTGCGGAATAACCATGTAACATTCATAAGCTCCCAACAGAAAGCCAGTAATATATACTGAGATAGCACGATATACCATACTTGACAGTTTATTCTTAATCTTACGCCAAAGTGAAACCGAAAAATGTCATATGGTTTCAAGCAGAAAAACTACAGTTTAAATGGTTGCCCTTCCCTATGTAAATCTCGTTTGGGAACTAGTCTTCTTTCTAAAACCATACGGAAAAATTGTATCTCCTCCCCTTCTAAGAGGTTGAGTAAGTTAGCTCAAAATCAGACTTACCAGGTAAGAAGTACGGTCAGCAGAATGTGTGATTCCTAACTAACCATCTATAGAAACCGCAAACCAAGCGGATTGTGCTAGCATACTACATGTTCTGGTGAGATACCGAAGTATTAGTGAATATAATGTTAAAACCTGAATGCAATGTAACTATTTTCGCTTTTACATGATGATATTACTAGCCCTTTCCGTCATCTCAATTAAGTAGGCAGTGCAATTTATGCATTTTTGAAGTACCATACGTACGACTGGCAGAGCTTTGTGTCTTTTTAATTCTTCATTGCTACGTTGACCTTCAAGCCGGTGTGCCAATGCGAGAGCTTATAGGCTAGCTCCATCAGTAGGAAACTACACGGCCCTTTGATCGAATTGTTTTCTAATTTCAATGCCGTTCGTCCCGGAAAGGTTTCTCATGCACTTATTTTCGTAAGTTGACTCTCCTCTGGGACGAATGACTGATTCATTGCTGCTGATTCATGCCTGATGTTTGGTCCCATCAGCCCACGAGTGTCTGTTTCAAAGACGATATAAACAGTTGGCAGCCGAGTTCCAGTTCGTTGTATATATCTCCGAGTCGTTTGTTTTTACCATAATTTGGCGAATCATAGACATTTTACGTTCGATTGCGAAAGACCAAGAAGAAAATTACCTTCTGTTACCCACATTTGCAAGGAGTCTCAAAGGCATGACAAGAACCCCTCCACACAGAAGTTATCTTTTGTTCTATTTTTCCGTGCGACAGTTTTATTCTAGCAGTTCTACTTTAATGAAATCCATAAAAACCAAGAGGCTAACTTGCCTCTTTAGGCCGCGTCCCTCTGCGGTCCACTGTGCTGTTGGCTTTCAAAATAGCTATGCTTTCCAAGTTAATATCATAAGAGTTGACTGCGATAGGCGCTAAACCTTTTAAGCTTGTTCTCAAGGTCCATTGCTTGATTGATTGAGCATTTGATTGTTACGTTGAGTATGTAGGTATGAACGCAGTAAGGCTCGAATATATCTGGGTATCAGGGGGTAGAAAAGTCAGGAGAATCTGATTTCAGAATTGCATTTCTGAATGGACGGCCTTTCAGTGAGTCACGGCAGTGACGTTGCGAGAGAACCGAGACAAATTGCAAAAGCATAGCAGCACAGCCTACGCAGATTCTGAAATGTCCAAGGTTATCTTTGTTAGTGGCGGTGGTTATAGCACTTGAAATACCTTTCACAAATCACAATAAATTAGCGAGGCAAATTGTTAGAGAAATCGTTCCGTTTGGTTTTATTTGGATTGTGGGCCTCGAAATTTTGGGTCATTGATCTTCCTCCTAGAAATTTCGAGTTTTTCTGAGAAACTGTATTTCATCCCCGCTTGCTCGAAGATTGATTGGACTCCCGGCTGGGGGATTTTTTACAGGAAATTCGGATGCTTGACTCTGGCACTCAGAGCGCTTATTATTTCAGTGAACGCTGGCTATCGTAACCTCATTCAAAATCGGAACTGAAAATCCTTCCCACCGGTGGAAAGTTAATTTTATGACCTTTTTAGAAGCTGTGACTTCGATTTATTTTCAGTCCATCAAAAAATTGTGATCGGCCAGTTATCACTAAAAGGTCCAAGGAAAGCCCCCAATGATTATTTTATTCAACCATTCTTTGCCGCAACTTTTCTTATCTCTATCGGCTTCTCAGATGTTGAATAGTACACTTAAAAATCCGACAATCTTCAGACTGATGGTTATCCATCGATGGATCCCAGTCCTTGTTATTTACTTTACCCACCGGAAAAACAGTGAAACGAGTAACTGGAAGAAAGTTACATTTGATTTTTTACAGGGACGTTTCCCGCAATCTTAGATTAATGCATAAGGGAAAAGTTATAACCGCACAAGTTTTACCACAAGGTCGCGAGGCTTTTATGTGTCTGCTATTGAAATTCCTGTAAGAAGCGCAGAACTGCTTCTATAGCTGGCTTCCCTTGCTGATGTTCTCATTTTCACCTTTTTGAAACGTCATGCATCAAGTGGTAGTCCGCTTGGAATGGCCTGCATGTTCATTGCATATCTCTGACGTACAGACCTTTCCTGTTTTCTTTGAACTGTTAGTCAGATAGAACAGATGTTGGCAGTTTAACATCCTCCTATGACATCAAACTTTTCTTAAGTAACTACATCATAGGCGTCTTCCCTAAACATGCTGGGTTCAAGCATTCGAAACGGAGAGTTAGCTCTTCCCGTTGGACACAAAGTCCTGGAATCAGCATAACCCAAAATAGCTAACTAACTGACCCAGGGGTTTTGGTTTGTCAAAACTTAGAGATTATCTCAATCGTTTAAAGCCAACTTTATTTTATTATTAGGCGTCTTGCGCCATGGGACCGATAAGTTTGAGGAATCGTTTGAAGTTTATTAGCTTTGAAATTTTGTATCAGGATTCGGATCACACACACAGCATTCTGGCGTTGAGACTTCCACGATGATCATTTCGTATTTTCCTCCCTACCGTCGTCTTATGTGCATGCAAAATTTTATTTACTCTACCACAGATCAGGCTCATGCTGAGCTGTGTTACTCAGAGAGTCTTCTACAACTTGTCTTCCTGATGGTTCTCCAAGACGAGAAATTGTCAACCCTAATTCGGAGTTCAATTAAACTCCGTGAATGTTACCGCTGTTACAGGTGAGTTGCATATGGCAGGCCTAATCAGTAAACGATATACGTGTACGCCAATTTTGGTTTTTAAATTTGATATTTGTCTTTAAATTAAGCCGAACTCTGTTGTACCGTGCATCACCATTACCGACTCAGGATGGGAACTTTGTTTGATGGCAGTTATTAGAGGGTGTCTATAATAGCAACTATTTGCTACGTGATTTAATTTGCTTGCACTATGAGCTGACTTTTTAGAATTCTAGCTTGCGGACAATCATATACAGATGAGCAGACTGGTCTCCTAAAACTCCTACTCCAGAAGACAAAACCCTCACGTTCTTAAGGGAAATTGAATAACTGCACACTTCTCTGACTCTCCAATCAGCCCTTCAAGGTTTAACTGCATGCATTTCAAATCTCAACATATTGTTTATGCGTAAAGAAACTGACCTCGAAAAAAGACTGCACCCAGAACTGCACTTCCGTAGATTGTTGATATGTCTTTTTTAATTCCTAAGAGGGATAAGTGTTGTTTCCGATTGCCTCGTGGAAGAACTGGTCATCCGTACTGCTTAGTATCGTTGCACTATTGATTTATTATTTGACTTGTCTCATGAGTCTCGTCAACAGCATTTACCACCAAGGTTTCTGTATGCCTCAGTCGACAGATTAGGGATTTAAACCCAAGGCCAATTTGTGCAGTTCGCACTCCTTATCGGCATCTTCAAATTCCTGTTCGTTTTCTGATCTATTTTCTCCTGGCCGATGAGTATAGATCTATTCAACCACAGTTAGAGTCCATATGAATACCCACTATGTGACTCTTCTGTACGACAGGCAATAAGCAACAGGCACAGACAAGAGTCTACTTTCCGTATGTCTGTTTATTACCAGGCCAGATCTTCAAGTTTGGGTACCATTGACTGTGCCGATTTGGCAATAAGGACAGAACGACTTGGCGCTTCTAACATGTTCCGGCTAGCATTGTTTATATGATTAAGTTCTACTGTGTAAAAAAATTTAAAGTTCGTCTGCAATTGATATAATAAAAATAATATCCTTGTCAGCAATGAACATTGTGTCCATCTCATGTCTCTGCACGTTTCTATTTTACCGATAATGTAGGTCAAAAAGTCAACGACCTAGTATGCTCGTAGTTGACAATTTGAGGTATTTGAGTTTGAAGAAGGAATCAGCACTTTGTAGACAACGCCTCAAAGGAAACAGGCAACATCAACCTTACGTGTCTATGCTCCTATCTTATTATCTTTTACACTCCTGATGTAATTAATCTTGGCCCAAAATACACTTCACTGCACAAAAAACCGAAGGGTAACCGCCGCCGTCTGTTACGTGTATCCACATATTTCTCTTGACAGTGCACTAAACATATCTGTACCAACGGTCCAATAGGAAATAAAAAGTTGGAAATTAAAGGCTGAGTCACTTCCTCTCTGACAATCGTGCTGCTGATTCCGGAAACGAAGACCTACTTCGGAAATAAATCTTGACGACGAACGCTCCGTAGTTGTAAATGCTAACCATCCAAAGTTAAATATTTTAAAAAATTAATATCAAATAACCCGTCTGGGTGGGCATCTCGAACATGAGTTCACCGTTGGACACTACCGCAGCTAAGTTAAATGAGGCGTTATTTTTGCACCCAGCCAATATATGAGAAGGATAAGTTCGGTCGTAAACGCCAAAGAAATCAGGTGCAACCTCAAGACATGGCTACGGGCTGCGCTCAAACAAGAGTGGTTTTAGCGATAAGCAGTGTCACAAAGAATCCTGATAAAGTAACCACCAAGTCGTAATCCGAATACCTGCTTAATATTCACGAGCTTATTATTTTTGGGTTTCGTGAATATAAACTTAAACAGAATGTCATTACCGACAAAGACAAGGGAGACTGGAATGGCCATTTCTGGCTTATTAGCCGTCGTCAGCCAGCCGTACCCAAGCCCGAAGTGTGGAACACCCGAGCCTCGAACTCGCGACCTGTTGGTTTAGAAGTCCACGCCTCTATCCACCGGGCCACAAGCCCGTTGCCACGAGCCCGTTGTCGGTTTTCGATCGGGAATATACAGTGGTAGGGGGGGACGAGTACAGCCGTAGTGAGTTGATTTTGCCCTAAAAAACTTGTCTAGACGAGTAAGCGCCAAAATAAACAAACCATCTATGTTGTGTCTTTTCCAATGCCATGTGTGATTTGTGATTTTATCATTCTATATTCGATACTGTTTTGATGCAAACTAAAACAGAACATTGGCTGTCTATCGTACAAACTTTTTCTGCGCCTACTGATTGTTCGTTTCTAACGAATAATTTTTTCTGGCAATTCTTGCGGCCTGCATTGGTTACGCGCAGGACCTCATGTGATGAACCTCTACCCAAAGTATTCATAAAATGCGAGACATAAGTAGGGAACCATTTCAGTTTGAGGAAATATGGACATCTTTTTTTAACCAAAAATACCTTATGTAGAACGTAGACTTTTGTTAGTAATCAATTCCAGAGCAATATATCGAAATCAAAATGCTTTCGTTTTTATCGCGTCCTCTTGCCATAAACAAACTCGTTTTCGACTCATTTAGAAAAAAAAAAATTTTTTTGTTTTAACCCCTGGAGTATGACGCCTTCAATATTTCGTTGTCCTTTGACACCGGAGACCTTTCGCTATACGACATCGTGACTTACTGGAAGTTCACCGCAGGAAGTACTTTAACAGACCACCGTGTGATTGCACTTTGTTCAACGCTCACGAAAGAGAGACCACTTGCCACTTTGAAGCACGGTAGGCATTTTATTCACGAGGTGTGACAAAGCACGAGGTGACGACAAAACAACAACAAAACTGATTTTAGGCTTCTTTTATTCTGGATTTCCCTACCCGAAAGCAATCAAGCTGAATCTGCCCTAACTGAACACATTAATTGAAGTGCATCTGACATTGTGTGTGGTCAATTGAGCTAAACCTAACAAACCTGTCTGAACGACAAAGTATGACCTAGCATTGTATCATACGTTTGCCCTTACAGTCCTGTTTGCTAAATTATATGTCCACTTTGGCTGAAAGATAGGTAAACTGACACGTTATGCACAAAAGGTGAGGGCAATACTTCACTTAAAAACCTTGCACTTCGTATTTAATAATTTCTTCAAAGACCAAAACTCACTGCTCTGATGAAGCAAGTTATCGAGAAGAAATGAAATATCTTTCCAAACTAACTTCCCAAAATGGATACCCACATGACTTTGCACGTTAATGTATGAGGCACCAACACTTAAACGGAAGAGTTATTTCCAATGCAACGGCCGCCCGAACACCAAAACCAACCACCTGGCTAACTCTCCCATACACGAAAAATGTACATGCGTTAGTCAAAAGGCAACTAAACAAAACATCAGATGCACATAGCACACCGGCCGGCATCTACCTTGCGCACACGGCTTGTACATCCTCAGGACAGTGTTAGTTACTTCGATAAGAAAGTTATTGTGTAAAAAGTCCCATGTGCTAGTTATGATGCCGTTTCTTTTGGCCAATTTGGGAAATCTGTTTCAACCCGCATGCATAAATATTAGTTAACGATGAAAGACGTGACCATCCATCCCAAGTGGTCATGCACACACTACACACTGAGCACAAATTCGCATTGGAGAACACTCGCATTGTTGGCACCTGCCCAATAAGGAAAGACTGCGAATTGCTGGAAGCAATACACTCAGATGAGGCATTTATCAATCGGCATATCGATTTGGATGCCATAAATGAAATCGTTAAGGGGAAATTCAAACTGGTGCAACCAATCCAAAAGAGGTTACGAAATACAATTAGCAAGCACTGGCACAAAAGTTGACCAATAGTAGAATCCTTTCTTATGCACTGTTAAGAGGTTAATTGCTTTCGTACACCCATAGTCTGAGGACGAGCTGGGGGGAACAGCCTCGAAAGTTACACAAAAAAGTTACAGTTTCCCAAATGATTTCGTTTTCCTAATTATTTTTCTTGGGATGCCTGTTATTCAATTCATATTAGTATATGTATGTGCTTTTGTTCTCAAAGGACATGCTGGAAAATCCATACCAACAAGGACTGGGGCAACAGTTCAACTCGTAACGCCTTTGACTGCGGTGTGCATATGGGAGTGGGCGCCTTTAACTTGGTGAGTTTTAAGATAGTGCCTCCAAATACTTTGGGCAACCATCCTCGAGCCTTCGTCTACTAGGTTCCTTCTAACCTGCTCCAACTTGCATTTTAGGACAGGATTCGTAATAATGGTAGAGGGGGCGCTCACCGATCGCGTTACGGGGCTCAATCATTCCGTTGTGCATTGGGGTTCCATTTCGAGCCCCACCAGCGGCCCCTCAGCAGGACAAAGACGAGGGAGACTGAAATGGCCATTCGCGGCTTGTTGGCTATTCTCAGCCAGCCACATCAATCCCGAGGTGTAGAAAACCCAAGGTTCGAATCGTGACCTAGTATATAGAAGTCCAACTCCCTGACCACTGGGCACACCCTGCGGTTCGGTATGGCAGGCCGACGACGATTAACAAGCCAGAAATGGCCATTCCAGTCTCCCTTGCCTTTGTAGGTAATGTCATTTTGCCTACAGTACTAGGTGCTGAGCAGATGCTGGCGGGACTCGCGATTGAGCCCCAAAACACAATAGAACGATCGCAACCGACAGGCTCAATGGTTTGGACGTTCGACTTCTAACCGACAGATCAGGTGTGTGCGCCTTGGGAGTTGTGAATGGCTGGCTGATGACGGTTAACAAACCAGGAATGGTCACTCCAGCCTCCCTTGTGATTCTCATCAATGTCATTCTGCCCATAGGACTCGTAATGAATGCACAAGTCTGTCAACCGCTGCTCAAGTTTTTGCCACTATATGCGAGACGGCGATGTCACTCAAAATCATTAACGACCGCTTGGTTTCAATTTCTGCAGATGGCAATCCAACTCCTTACATTTTACTCTTCTCAGACCGCAGCCAATTTTGAGAGGCTTTTATTATAGTATTTTCCCAGGTGGCACTGATGTACTGGGAGATGTTTGACAAAACCCAAAGAATTTTTATGGTATGGTGCGGTAAGAGCCTGTATCTATTGTCGATAGAAGCAAATAAGTGGATTCCAGAAAGCAGTTCAGAAAAACTTTCGACCGCCGGAACAAATAATTTTTGGCCTGTCGTTTCGAATTCTCATTTGAACCCATCATCAAAGGCATTCCCAGATAAAAGTACTAGAATCACAAGGAGTGCAATGTTCATAGGGCGTAGATGCAATTCGACCACATGTCCGCCAAAATCTCTGAGACTCATATTTCTTGCGATGATTGCTTGTTTGCCCGTATCCGAGTCGTTAATGCCCACGGTCTAATCATCGTTATACGCAACCATTTTGCAGTCAATTGGACTGTTGGTCGCCCGAGTTCCCTCGTGGCCCAGCAAAGTCACCACAGAATATGGTAGGCGGAAGAGTACCGTGCTCAACAATTTAACTGGGACCGGAGAACCATGACTCAGGGGGTTCACGACTCACGCGGTTGTCACCCCTTGCGAAAATTTCGGTCTTGTCAAATTCGATGGCGTGGTCGGGTGTCGTCGGATGAGCCATGACCTGAGAGCTAACGTCGGGTCTCAGAATCCGGTCACACCTTCCAGCTCGACGAGGTAGAAATTCTCACAGAGAATCAGATGGCTGAGTAATCATCGCGCCAGGAATCTCGGCCATTACCGACTCGGGTGCGGACAAACAAGCAATCATCGTAAGAAATACGTGCCCCAGCGATGAAAGCGAGCACGTGGTCACATAGCAGCTAAGCCTTATAAATACTGTACCCCTTTTGCCTCAATTACCCCTATCTACGACAGTCGCTGATGCCGAGTTCGAATGGGAATCCGAAACGTCATTCAAATAAAATTCTTGTTCCGGCGATCACATCTTCTTCCGAGCCGGCAGCACTAACACGGTGGGCACGACTGAGGTGTTAAAATGGCAGGGAATTATTATTAAAACAGCAAATTACTCAGACGGTTTCTCAAGAGTGACATAGAGATTCCTATGAAGCCTTTGCATTCCGATTTCTCAACTAACTTGACATTGCTGAAACATCAAAAACGCAAGTTCCAGGAAGCAACCAGGGAGACGCAATCAGTGAAACAAGAATTTTGTTCGTCCGCGTTTATGATTTACACTTGAGCCATTCATCCGAGACAGCAACAGGCAAGACTATTGAACGTACGGGAGGATGCAGTTATTATGCGAACGTATACCTATCAAATCTAAGAGTATTCAGTCTACACACGTAGAAGAATTGCAAAAATACTTCAGAGAGTTTATTATCCAATGATAGTTCATACTGTGTATTGTAAAGGATAAAAAAACAGACTCAAATGTCTCGTTCCTGCGTATAGTCAATCGCAATTTCGACACTTTACTTTTATTCAACCGGGGTAATTTTAGAAATGCTAATAAATATGGAGTTCATGGCTTCCGCAGCCGATCGTTGCAAAGAAAACTCGACAAGAGGCACAAACACCCGAGAGTATAACATTTGCAGGTTACACCTTTATACTAAGGTACAGACTGCAGCAGAGTATCCTAAGCTGAATGGTAAACTGCTCGCAAAGTCCGAGGAAATCGGATTTTTTGCTCATTCTGGCCCAGAAAATTTTGGCGGTTAGCCCTCATGTGCCCCCATTTTTAGTATAATGGTTCTTACGCTTGATAAATTTTTGACACGAAGTTGATTCTTGCGCGCATTCGTCAAGCTTACTTAACAAATGAAACCCGTGCAATTTCGTGATTTCGCCTGAATATATTGAAAGAACTGCAGGGGAAATTTTCCGGGCGGGATTTTTGGGTTCTATCCCGGATATGAATATAAAAATTTGAGTTGAGGATCCGCAATTTCGACGAACCCTAAAAGACGTCATGACGTCAGCAATGATTTTGGCTAGTAGCCTCAGCACAAATCTAGTTGATTTGCTTGCGGCCTGACTTCTATAGTTTCTAATATCCCTCTAGTCATATAATCAACCAAGCATTTGGGCTTACATCGCTTACAATAAAGAGCTCTTAATGACTACTTTGCTGTGACCTACAATCGTTAAGTTGGATCTGGCGATCGGTGAAGCCTTCATGGCAAACTGTTCCGCATTTAGTTCCGCGTCCTATCCACAAATCTATAGAAGTCGAAAAACTAGATGCGCATACTTCCATCTAAAACATAACTGTCAATAGCATAATTTTGCGCTCGAGGGCCCATTTATGATCCATTATCAGAGGGTGTCAGCTAAAAGCCGCAGGAAATCGGCAAACCATTGTGTGGAATTTTTAGCCAATGGCTCTTTCAGAATCAGGTTGACTTGCTTTTTAACTTAATAAACCCGATCTGCCACATTAATCACGTGAGGTGAGCTAACGGGAGCTGAAAGGTCTTACAGGTTGAGGTGGACCCGCGGAAAACTAATAAGATGATTATTCAGTTGAACTGCTTTTTAACCCGAAGAACCTCGTTAGGTGGCATGGTGTTGGACATTTGTGAGTGGAAACGCATCCTACTAGGTGAAAACTAATTCACATCTTGTTTTGTTCGTCAATGAATGTCACAGATGATGTGTCCTAAGGCGGAGAGACAGGTCGAATGGACTTGCAACTGTCTGTAGACCTGAGAGAACGATCTGTAGTGCAGCAGAAACCACAGCGCCAAACTGGTGGCAGAAACACTCATCTAACTTCATACCATATTTTAAAAACCGAAAATCGACTTCAGAATTGCTTTTGCGTGCCAACGGAGATTTTGAGAATGACCAAGCTTTTGTCCCACTTTTTGTTCAGAACTGTGACTTTCTGCCAACTAAGAACTCTAGGCTGCCTTAGTCTCAAACAGTTGAAAAGCGGGGACCTCGCCAATTTTGATTCCGGGTCGGTTTTATCGTGTAAAGTGCGGGAGAAGTGAAATGGGAAGTAGGGAACTTGTGCATTCGGATGAGGAGGATTAAGGAGGAATTAGCGGAAATCACACATTTTTGTCTTTCTTTTACCGCCTAAGGATGGTAATCAGGATATAGATTGCATGCCGGTCAACCAGTTAAAGTTACTCGTCCAGCACGCAACGTCTTATTCCATGGAGGGGTCTCATAGAACCCTCAGTGTTCGAGGCTGAGGAATGAGAAGGGATATGGCGCAGTCCGAGAGGGTGAAATGAGGCTGACGGGGATCGTCGGAAATTCGGCTTTTTCTTCGTCCACAGTGCTCACAAGACCTAACAGTGGGAGCAAGATTCGCACGGCTCTCGACTTTGTTCGGCCTGGACTGCCACAGATTGACGAACTCATGAGTGCAGGTAAATGTTGAAACGTGGCAAAGGTACAACTCTGAGTAGCTTATTGATTGATGCTGTCCGGCTGCACTGCGAAAAATTATCTTAGGCTGTAAAAAATATATTTTACAGCAAGGTCTTTTCTCCGTGTGGATAGTCGGGAAACAGCTCTTAAAGTTGGGAGGTAAGAGCAACTGAGGCGGTGCTGTTCCAGTCTTATTTTGGGCTTAAATAAGACTTTTTCCGAAAGCTATTAGTGAGTAAGCCGCTAGGATATGTATCGACATGAAAAGGACAAACACGAAGTTGCAGACTCAATTCCCTGCCATCTGTCTTTCAAGATTTCATTTTTTTTACCAAAATATGGTGTGCAATAGATTGATTTGATATTTCAGAGCAAAGTATCTCTGATCTGTGAAAAATCGTCCGGACGAGTACCTACCCACAGAGCTATTGCTAAGAAAGAAAGAGAAGCGTGACTGAACTAGCAGCCGGCTCAGCCTTCCTTGAATTTCTCAGTCTAATCCGCCTAAGTCATTCAAATTCTCCCTTACCGACGGAGGAAGCATGCATTTTTTCATTGATTTTCGATGCCCTAAAAAGTCAATTATAGTTCATGGATAACTTGTCTAAAAGTATTCATTCTTCTACTCATCCGGTAGGACATCACGTCTTCTTTCAATTTGCTACTCGAAAAGGGGGTAAATTCGGTTTTAAAAAACTTTTCCAATTCCCGAATAATGTTTACCTCGACCTGCCGTTACACTTGCATTCAGGGTTTCCAAATTACGGGTCGTAGATTTTCCGCGTACGGATATCCGTAAATTTCTCTACGGCATTCAGAGGAGTTCATATGGGGTTCATAAAATTTTACCAATTATACCTTTCCCTCGAGTATAAACTTGAAAGAAGACGTAATTTCCTACCGAACGAGTAGAAGAGTGAATATTATTATGCATGTTTTCCATGAAATACAATTGACTTTTTAAAGTATCGAATATCATTAAGAAAAATGTATGCTTATTCCGTAGTCCTTTTTTACAAAGTGTCGTTTCTGCAAGCAGCCGAAAAGAAGTTTGTTTGAAAGCCGGCATTCTAAGGTAGCTGAATTGTGATAGAATTATCTTGTTTGGCGATTGGTTTTACAACCCCGCTTAATTAATCTTTTCGAAACGAAAACGTATTTCGGAATTTCGCTTGACATTTCATGAGTTAGCCCACCTATTGAACAGTACACTAGGGGCTGTTTCTTTCTAGGTATCTATAAGCTAACTGTCATTGTCAGCCAGCCTTCAATATTTTAAGTTTTACCTGTCATGGGAAGGAACTTAATGCAGCAGTGGTTGTTTGCCTTGGCTGCATACCGAATGTCCGCGACTGCAAGTTCGTTTGCTGAAAAAAAGTTACGATGAATTTGGCAGTTAGACAACGGTGTCACTACTTCCAACAATTTTGTCTTTAATAATCATGCTTCTTAAGCGGTTTCCTTCACGTTTCTCCCGCTTTGGAAGATCATTCCGGGGAAGCTTCAGAAGGGATAATGAGAGTAAAGATCGAAGGGTATCGATGTGGCCTCTGTTTTACGTGAGACCACCTCGGTAGGTAGGATCTACTCCGGGACCGCTCTCCAGATCCTAATATTGTACTGGAATAATGTAATGTGAAATCCAGCTCCACTAAAATTTCATAATTTTGAGACCTTTTATTTAAAGAGTATTGTTCTTTTAATACTTAATGTCCCTCATCGTCTGTCTAGTCACCTCTCATTAATTTCCTCGTATTATTAAAGACCTTGAAATCTGTTTGCCCTCTTGCATTACTTATGATTGTTCGCAGGATTTTAGTCTAAATTACTATTCTGAAGAGGGCTTTCTGTCGTCTTCCTCAGGAAAAAAGTTGGTTTTCCATTTGGATGGGGCATTCTGGGTTGCTTTGGCGACAAAGAATATTTTTTATGTTGAAATGAGTCATGCAGAATAGGTTGAGCGCGCCGGCCTAACCCCATTCCGAATTACTTGACCTTCAATAAAAATATAATAAATATCTTTTATTATCTGCTCTAATAGGGACAGATTTGGGGGGTGAGGAAGATCAGCAAAGTTATAAAGCTGGGCGCAGAGGTCTAAAGAAGTGTGGAGAGAAAAACTGGTGAGTGCACGGAGGAAAAAAGTGGATGACTCTGAATGAACAAATGTCAGACTGAAAGACACAAGAAACTTTGCGAAGTAAAAAAAGGTAACCGAGATAAACTAGCAAAAGAAAGGTGGATGAGAAAGAGGGGTAAAGGGGTAGGCTATCAAAGGAAAAGTTCACTGAAGCTGAGGGCAGAGCGATATTCAAAAGCAGTGAAGATAGGAGCGATGATACTGGCGATCATAATGGTTGTCGTTCGGGGGGACGAGGACCCTGATGACAACTAAAAAGAAGATGATAAGGAATGAAGAGTTGGACTTGGACAACTTAAAGAGAGATCACTAACAAAGCCAGATATGAGAACCCAATCAAGAAAATCGATGTGCAATGCGTTGAAGTAACTGCTATTCTAGTGGGAAAGGACATCCTTAGGAATAACCTATTTGTTCGCCTGGTCCATGAAATGCATGAAGGATGTTTATAGTTGGTTAGTAGCAGCGACTTCTTCCTTTGATGGTTCCGTTTTATTCCTTAACTTTTATTTTCCTGAGTAACTTTGCCTTTTGGAATTGGGATTATTTTCCTTTTTTATCTTTTTCTGCAGCTCCTTTCCCTCCTTCCAAGCAAAGTTCTTTCTCTCCTCGAAATTGTCGGTTTCTCGGGAAACAGAGTAAGTTCCATTATTTAGCTTACTCGGTACCCCATCGCATGTGGATAAAGGGGTTGGTCGGTATTAATAACAATTTACTAATTTTTAAAGCAAACGTATCTTGTGAAACTAAAATTAGTGGATACCCATTGCGGTAACCTTTTCAGTAAACAACTTTCCAGCTCAGTATGTGAAGAATGAGGTTTGATCTCACGCTCCTTATCTAGGGAACCAATCAATTAATTCTTATCAATTTCCAGAATACTGCTGCTTGCTCTCATCGCGCAGTCGTCTGTGTGGTGCCCTGACAATTCAGTATCGGCATTTTATAGTGTTTATGGCATGCAATTTCGACTGTTGCGAACGACAATGCCCACCGTGTGCCCGCAGAATAGGGGGTACAGGGGCGGTGATTTGTGCATGAATTAGCTTATTGTGGTAGTAGACTTACGCTGCACTTACCGCACTCCCTTCTTCACACTCCGGGTTCGGTCTTGAGACAGTCAAGAAGGCCGGAGGCGCAGTGGCTGACGAAGATAACGAATCCACTTACGGATGCCATATACTCTGGGTCCGTGCATGATAGACCCAATCTTCACATAAACAAGGGAGGATGGCTTGTATCCCACTGCATAGGAGTGCCATAGGGGTTACATCAAGGAGTCTTTGCAACTTCACTCTTCGCCTTTACAGAAGGATGGAGTTGTTCCATCAATTGGCAGACTTTCAAGTCACGGTTTTTAGCGCACCTTGGTAGTTTGAAAGTGCGTCAGAGTGTTTAAAACGAGCAATATGCGTTGAAAGTCGACCTCACCCTTTCTTATCTCTCCCAAATACCAGTCCACTGGTCAGTCAACTGATGAGTGGATCAGACTGACAGCTGGACAACTCGACTGCTTGCGCCACACACGGCAAACCGCGTTTTCACACGAAAAGGGGGTGGACAACTCAGATCTTACATGCGTGAGAGTTCTATAGAAGTCACACTAAGGAGCAATTGAGCTTGACCCTCAGTCCACTAGTCGGCCACTCCGTACAAATACACTCCGAGCTGGCAGTGAGGTCTGAGTTGAGTCGTCGGTGGACAACTTTCCTGGCCACAACTTTTAGCGCACTGTGATAGATTCAAGCGGTCAGATCGTTTATAGTGAAGAATATCCGCTGAGAGTCGACCTCTTCCAGACGCCAGTCTGTATGTTGGTGCTGTTTGAACTGGTTCACCAGTCTCAGTGGATTTGCAACTGACTGACCAGCCCGATGTTTGGACAGATTGCAGTTAAGTCCACATTAGTGGTAATGGCGACGGTTTGGTGAGTGTAGTGCCTGACCGGACTTTGGAAGTTTCTCGCCAGTGATAGATGTCGTAAACGTGGTAATCGTCGTCGTCGCGGGACGACGACAGGGGTGATGGAGGTGGTAGTAGTCGTAGAGGTTGACAGCGGCTGCGTCGGTGCATCAGTTGGTGGTGGTCGCCGTCGTGGACACCATGAGAATGGTGCAGGAGTGTCTCAAGGATGCTCAGGCAGCAGGTGTTGTTGGGTTGTTGTTCCATTGGCCAGGGGAAAGTCCGATGAGATCGATCCGCACGCAGAATGTTCTTTGGCAGCGTGGACATACTGGAGGGTGTTGGGTGTTGGCGTTGTGGTCAGAAGCGCTTGAGACTTGCTATCCAATCTTTTGGCTTTGGCAGAGGCTATCCGGCTAGCATCGCAGATTCTGCTCTAGTCTTCTCCGCTCTTCTTTAGGCCACTCCGGGCTATGCGAGGTCCTCCCAGGACTCCGGGTTGATTTTGGGCTCATTGGTAGATGTTTTCAGGGTGTCCTCGTAGGGTCATTTCTTGCCCCCTTGTCGGCGAGCAACGGTAGCGACATCTCCGTAGAGGGGTCGTTTGGGTGGCGCTCATCATCCATCCTCACCAGGTGGCTACTCCACCACAGATGAATTTGCCTTTGCATGCCGTGGATGGTGAGAATTCCGGTTCATTCAAGGATTTCTCTGTCCAGTATCCTGTCTCGCCACCTCAGTTTCAGTATTCTTCGGGGGCAGCTGAAGTGGAAGTAGTTGCGTTTTCGCACATGTTTCTCATACACTGTCCAGGACTTCACTTCATGTTGCAGTTTCGTCAAGGCGACAATTTTTTACATCTGGAATCTGGTTTTGAGGTGGGGTCCATGACGATTCTGAACTAAGGCTCTCGGCCGGCCGAAGGTCTGGCTGGCTTTTAAGATCCGGTGGGTTTCGCTGTCGTCGATTTTGATACTGCGTGATGGCGTATTGCCTGAAGAGGTGAAATCGTCCACGGTTTTGATTCGTGAACCATTGGCGATGATGCGCGGGTCGTTGTATTCAATGTTAGACGTGGTCATCGTTTTGTCCGTTTTGATGGTTAGCCCTAAGTTTGCATAGCCGGAGACTAAGAGGTCCATGCTGTTGCATATTCGCTTCTGTCGCGGTGTTGAGCGCACAGTCGTCAGCGAAGAGCAGATCGCGAAAAGACGCGTTGGAGTCGGGCATTGCGAAGCTGGCCGTCAGTCCTGTAGACGATGCTGATTCCAGGGCTCTGTCACCCACACACAATGGCTGCTGCCACGGCTCCAATCTTCCAGAGCTGCGTGATCAGCAGTTTATGGCATGAACAATATGAATTCCAACATTGAATCCTGAACCTTAGTTTCAGTCTTACGTAACTTCTTGTTCGGCCATTAGCTATCTACATCATGATCTGTGACAGTGCGTTTACAGTTGTCAAACAGAAATCGATCAATAAGTAGTTACATTTTATGGCTTCCAATGGGAGATGTATGAAGTGGACTTTTCAACGGAGGTTCTTATGATAGTTACTTCTAATAATCCAACATGACAAAGGCTTTTCTATGTTCCGGGCCGATTTAGCTAACGAGAAGGCACCTTTATATAATTTTTCGGTGTTAGGTAAATGTCCAGGAAGGTTATGTGGGAAAGATCTAATTTAAAAGACACATTCAGAGCAAGGTTACTATATAATGTTGTTGTGCACCCACCGAGCGTCGGTTGGGTATTTTCATGTAAAAGGCGTTTGTACTTTGTCATCCTCATTAACATTTCTGTTGTACTTATGCTTGAAAACTCCTTTAAGCTCCTCAAATGATCGAAGACCTTTGATAGTCGGGCTAGTGGCAAAGCAATTGTGCCAGTGGGATATGAAAGAGTTACGATGGTCAGGATCCTCATCTTCGGTTTACAAAAGGACTAAGCGCATTCCACGAAAAAAAATAAAGAATGAATTTTAAGCACTTATTTTACATCAGTTAGACTGTTTTACACAAACCTCTCGGTTTTAAACCTGCCTAACCCTTAAAATTGGCTAATTTTATAAATGGAAAACGGATCGATTAGAATGGAGTCAATTTAGAATGGAAATCCCCGAAAGTACAGTGTGAATCTGCAAACGGTGTCATTTGTGAAGATAGTAAACCGTCTTCAAAACAAAGTGTGCGCTGAAACTCCTAAAACATACGTCTTCACTTTAAGTCCGCTTCCAATTTGAAATCATTGCTTAACTCCGCCTACGTCGCCAATAAGTAGGCAATATAATTTGGAATCAGTTTGATGAACATATCATATAGGCGTTTGTACTTTTCAATCAGTTTTTTTATCTATGTATGAAGTCAGTCGTGTTTACCGACCAGAATGCATAACTAGAGATTGATGGTAGAGGACGCTCACCGATCGTTCTTACGGAACTCACTCGTTCCGTTGTGCCTTATGAACTCCCTCTCGAGCCCAACCAGCAGCTGCACAGCGACGTATGCTATAGGCAGTATGTTATTGCCGACAAGGACAAGGGAGACTGGAATGGCCATTTCTGGCCTATCAGCCGTCGTCAGCCAGTCATGCCCAACCCCGAAGTGTGGAACACCCTAGGCTCGAACTCGCGACCTGTTTGTTAGAAGTCCACGCCTCTAACCACCGGGCCACGAGCCCGTTGCCCTGTCGGGTTTCGTTCGGGAATATAAAATGCTAGGGGGCGCTCACCGAGATTTACTGAACTAGTGTTTAGAAACATGAATCTTCGAGTTTAATGTTTTGAGAAAAAGGTACGTTGTGGTGTTTTGGAATTCTTTACTTATGAGGTAAGTGTTTTTCTCGCATGCTATTCGATAAAAATAGTTTGTTTGGAAAATTTCGAGGATTTCATGTACATTGAAAAACCCAAATTACCATTTATTCAAGTGTTAAAGGTTAAAAACAATTCCCCTAAAAAATAAACACAAAACGACAGATTTGTACACATTCCGTAATGGAACTAGGATCAAGCCTATGAATATGTAAATTGAGGGAAAAGTACTCGGCAGTCAATCATTTTTCTAGGGGTGAGCGGAATTATGTCTAATTCGCGTACTGCCATGTGTGGATCGTTACGGCTGGCGTTGCATTCTTTCTATTTGGAGGTGTAACCGTCATCAAGTACATAGTGGACTTCGTCGCATAGTGCGGCTTTCGTAGTTTCAACCGACGGCCATTTATAGCAATACATAGTCCATGTTTTATAGTTGCATTGACTCTTTGTACTTCGAGCAGAATAGATGCTGTGTCATTTTACAGGGAAAAATGTACAAACTTATCTCATGTGTGAGAGTCAAATATGCGCCGATTATCGGTAGTGCCAATTTATTCACCTGGGTATTTTAACAATAATGGCTTATAAGTGTTCGTTTTGAATTTGGCTAATCAGAGTCCTCAGGGACTATCTAGATATAAGGGATTTCAGAAGGCCTCCTGTTTGACGTTTGAGGGTTTAACCAAGATCCCCATTGCCTACCTAGAATACCCAATCCAATAAGCACCATTGGATCCTTATTTCTAATGCATCCTGGCCAAAGATCCTGGAACTTTCTTACCTTACCAGGAAAGATAATTGTAACCTTTGGACTAAAAATAAACAGAGCTGATAGATAAAAGTAACTTTTCGATAAGAGGCCTGAGTTTTGCGTTGTTTGCAAAGTTAAAAGTTCGAACTGGTTTTGATGTTGATTATAATAATAGGAAAGTTGCAGAGTTCGGAACTACTTAGTGATTGGCGGCATTAACCGCCAACTTCTCGAATTGGCGCTGGCATTAAAAATCTGGGCTATCAGTTGAGCGTGTTAATTCTTATCCCATTTTACCTTACTCGTGAGAAGCCCGAAAATTCTTATATCCATTCACTTGACGACAATCGTTTAAGCAGCCAAATCAGTTGGAAAATTGACTGTTGCCATTTTCCACAAATAGACAAATTACTCAACTACAAAACTAAGACTATGACACGAAGTCAAGCTCTCGACTCCTAGCTGCTTCGCCTTCGACTTATCACAGTCCCTTCCGCTGAATGAACGTAGTAATCGACATTTCCGGCTTGGAAGTGAATTAGTTGCATTTTTTTGGTTGTTCTACAAAGACTGCATTCCTACGGCTATAACACAACGGAAGTTTGTTTTGCGATCTTAACGCAATAGCCTTCCAGACTGAGGACGGGTGCCCCTATAACGGGCCACGCTAGAAATGCACCAAATGAACACCGAACCCAGATCAAGGTACGGCACGCTCTACTTGGGCAGCGCAGATTCCGCGAATCCCATAACAACTGCCACATATGTAGGGTACGGTAGAAAACCTAGGCGCTCACATGCGTGTCAGCCACTTGTGCCCAATCACTGTATCACTTGATTGACCGGCTAGGGCAGTAGAATGGTGCACGGGTGAGGAAAGAGGTAGTGAAGTCGACTCAAGGGGCTCCGTCCTCACTGTATTTCAACGCGTTTCTACACCATAAACAATCTGACTTTCTTCTAAACTATCACGACGTGCTAAAATTCGTGGCTTAGAAGGCTACCGACTGGCGGGGTAATTTGGTTTTCCACCCAGTACGGAGGGTCAAGCTGCACTGGCTCCTTTTTAGTGTGGCCTCCATGACACTTACAACCAGCCGCAACCAGAGCCGCACTTTGTTTTCTGTGGATACCTTGTCTAACTTCCGTGAACCAAGCGCATGTGGCACGCATAGACGGACTGTGTACTGCGCCCCATCCCACGTTCGGCCGTCCTGACTTTTTCTTGCCATTGGGCCCCGCTGGGCAAGAGAGGATAGATTTCTGCGGACGCTGCGTTAGGCCGCTATCACTGTAAACTGATTTACGCACGGATCACCGTCCTTGTGCCCAATGTGCTGTGGGACACACGGTGGACACTGTCTTACGCGACGGCCTAACTGACTAGGACTGTACAAACTAGGCTTTGAAATGGAAATGGGTATGCCTTTTGATTTTCTCATTTCGAAGCAGTTCTGCCTCATCCAAGACGCGCTTTGACCTAAATTCCAATGGACAGTAACATATCAAACTATCTTTCGTGAGGTGATGGCATGGTTGGGGCACTTTTTTCGAAACAATGAAAGGATAGGCGAGATACCCCAATCTGTGTGGAGAACGTTTAGGTAAATGAGTATTTAGTAGTAATTTTCAGTTTAAGTACGGCCGTCTAAGCCTGTCTTGAAATAATTTCAGACTAGTTCTATTTGCAATGGCCCATTATTTCCTGAGAACTAGGAACAGAAATGGAGAGCAGCGACACAAGTTTATCCACCCTTGCAGACCCGTAGTACCAGAAGTGGTTCATCTCTTGAACAACATGTCAGCAAGAAGTTATTTTAATTTTGTCATAGAATGCGCAAATTGCCTTGGTTAGTGGGTTATACTTTCGAATCGGGGTTTGCTATTTAATACTGACTCAAAGGTAGACTTGACTAAATACAGTTGGTTGATATGCTTCTGTGCTGTTCTACAGGCCTGCCTAGTCCTCCGCAGCTGTTAATTAGTACATTGTTATTGCAGGAAGTCGGACTGAAACTACTGCGTGAGGGATCCAAAATCCGAGACGGCGTTCGTGATCCACTCTGCACCCTCATTATCCTCGTATACGATCTCTACGCCACGCAGATGATTGGTATGTACGCATTCCTCGAGCATCATCTTTCATCTGAATTTGAAGTAAACTTCTTTGTATACCTTCTGGCAAACATATTTGTGCTTAACTCTCGAAGAAGCAAACTTTTTGCGTCCTGAATGGCTTAAGTCCCTTTCATATTGGACCACATCCTCTAAAAACGGCCATATACTAGTGTCACTGGTCCATCAAACGACCGAATTACTCCTCCAACTTTGTGCGCCTATCCTGCGTAACTAGCATCGACAGGGATAGTCAGGCTGGATATTGTAGATCCCGTAACCAACACTAAAAATTTTCAAACTCATGTCGGAAGCCGCTTAATACCGAAATGCTAGTTTTTTTATTTGGCCAAGGCTTAGTGCCTAGTGACGGGATTTGAATCTCTGCGCATTATAAACAGCACACCTACCACCGAGCTAAGTGTTTGATTTTTACATAATCATTTCATCATTTACACTTTTTAATATCCTCGTCTATGTTCTAGGAGACACAACCTGTGATCCTCGTAAGTTTAACCCTTGACCAATCGTCGCGTATTATGCCTCGTGCCCCATTTCACGAACCGTCTCATTTTAAAACGGAATTGCCGGTTTTCTTCATTCTCCCGCTATAAACGTGCGTGTCTGCTTATGGAGACCTTCTCGTCTAATCACCTGGGCTGCTGCATGTCTTACTGCTTTTATTCTGGCAATTCCAATTTGGTAACAAATACTTATTCACTCAATAATGCATTCTGTCGTTTCTTTTATTATGTTACTTTGGATCTCACTATTATTCACCGAAAGAAAATAACAGTTAACCCAGTGAGTTCATTTGCGGATATACCGTCTATGGGTGAAAATATAGCAGACTAAGACCAATTAAAAACAAAAGAAGTCTACGACGGCGGCCCTATCAGGCACCGAAATTCCCAATAATTTCTCAGACATTCTATTGGAACTTCAGGCGGAATGGACTGCTTAAGAAACCTTACCTGACAAAGGACATCATCTTATACACTTCAGCATTCTAGCTTCCGATTAAGAATATTTCTTACTAAATGCGTAAAAACACAATCAAGGACAAAAGCATTATGTCCGGACTTTTCAAACTGAACTGCCATTTCACTTCATTCGTCCTCTAATGGACGATTTTAAATTCAAGCATAGTAACTGGACTATTTTCCATCAACGTAGTAAATTGACTTCGTTCGAAGTTAAAATAATCTTTACATTTTGGAGAAAAAACGGACTTACGCTATCTGCTGAATATCACGACCGGAGGAGATGAATCTTCACCTGTTTTATGCCATGGCGTTTTTTAAAACGTTCCGACAATTATGTTTATTATTTACACATAAAAGCATGCAATCTCTCTACATATATATGTATATGTGCATGACAGATGGTTGTATCAGCTGGCTGGTGACATCTAATAAACCATACATGGTCATTCCCGACTCTCTTGTGTCAGTAATATTACTGTGTACATACATATATGATAATTGTGACAGATGGGCGATCACTGACCAGGATACGGAACGCTCTCGTTCCGTTATGCCTTAGGGTTCATACTAGAACCCTCGCAGGCAGTTGCACAGCGACTAGTAGTAAACGTAAATGAGATGGCACCGACAAAGACAAGGGAAACCGGAATGGCCATTTCTGGCTTATTAACCGTCATCAGCCAGTCATACCCAACCCCAAGTGCGGATCACTTGAGGTTTGAACCCGGGATCTTTGGTCATTGTTTGAAGAACTCCATGATCAAAGATCCCGGGTTTGAATCTCAAGTGATCCACACCTAGAATTGGGTATGACTGGCTGATGACAGCTAATACGTAAGAAATGACCATTCCGGTTTCCCGTGTCTTTGTCCGTGCCATCTCATATATATGAGAAAGTAAGGCGATCACAGGAACCAGGATTTTGTTGGCCTGAAGTTTTGAAAACAAACAAGCTTCCATCATTGGAAGTGGGTTAAGTACGGCACCTCACGGTACTTAAGGGTTTTTTGTGCTGGCGTGTCACTGACTTCCAGCGCGCTGCATCACGGAGTTGGCGATTGTTGTCATGGTGGCATCGGTTCCTCCTCATCCTTTGCCGGGTATGGGGTGGGTGACGGCGTCGGGCGACCACGGTCATCGCTTTTGTTTGCATTGTTCGTGTTTGTTGTCTGCCCTCCACGTATCTCGCTTTCCTGCCCCGTTCGCACCTGCCCGTAACCGTGTGAACGGTGGTTGTCACGCCAGTTTTGACTTCGGGCTGGGGGTCCCTGCCACTGTAAACCTGCGTAACCTTTGTTCCCTTTGGGGTCGGTGTAATTGTAGTCAAATCAACGTGCCGGTTGGGCTCTCCCACGTCAGCCGGTGGACCGATCGGTCGTTGCTGTTCATGTGAGAAACATTCGGCCTCGCGGGCGCATCGGTGAGACAGTGTTCGGCTTTGGTCACATGATTTCTGACCCCTAAATCCGCTCTTTTCCGTGGGCGTTGACTCTCGGTCCCGTGTGCTCGCTTGCCTTACTGGTCTTGTCCGGACTGATCCAAGCTTTGTACGCAGCGCCTGGTAGGCGGGATGCAGATCTATAGCTCGGTTGAGTGTGCCAGTCGAGAACCAACTTTCGAGCACCAGTCCGGCCATCTTCTCATTGGCTCGAGCAATTACCCTCGCTTTCTCAAAGGCAAAATCGTGGTTCAGTTCTCGTATCTGACCATAGACCAAAGACGGCTTGTCCTTGCGGTCGATTGCAAGTTGGTGTTCGTGCAATCTTGTACCGAGGCGTTTGCCCGTTTCACCAACATACTTCACATTGCAATTTAGGCATGGCATGCTGTAGACCCCCGCCGACTGTTCCGTTGTTGGTGGCGGGTCTTTGGGCTTTTTGATTTGCTGTCTGTTGGTGCATTCGGGTTTATGAGGCGCGCCAATCCCAAAAGGTTTTAGGATTCTCGCCGTCGCCTCTGATACGTTTTTCACATAGGGTATTGAGAGCCAGAACTTGGGCTTTTCTCCACTCGCCGCCCTAAATGAGGTTTTTTGAGGCAATTGCGCATAAAGGACATCGGAGAGCCGTTGGCTTTAAAAAGGGCCTGCAAGTAATTCACCTCCTCCTTCCTCCCACTGTCATCAATACAGTGTGTTTGAACACGTGCATGCACGAACTGCTTCTTTGTTGGGTCTTCAGTAAGTTAAATGTAGGTTTCTCTGTCACTGAAGACATGGTTTCGCTTATTGACATAGTCAACCTTGTCCATGGTGACGGTTGCGCCATCTTTGCCAGCAGAAGCGAAAACTATACTGTCATCTAACTGCACAGATCGCAATCTTTTCTATACTTTGGTCGGTAGGTTTACTGACGTTTTCATTGCTTAAGGAAACCTGCAGCATAGTTAATAGCAAATTTGTTAAGTAAAAATGATCTAGGAAGTCGTCGGGCAAAACTTGGATCCCAGGTCCCTTTCCTGTACTTCCATTCGTTGTGACTCAAGTTACTTTTGGTAGAAAAATAGTGTCAGAGTTTTCGATTTCAAAGATAAAAGCCAGAGGCTCGTTAAGTAAGTTATGCACCCTGGTTGCGACCCTGAATTTACCCTCTATGCACCTGCAAATGTGGTCAATGGTGTATGGACACATACTTCAACTGCGTACTCGTGGGTTATTTTAGGTGGAGAAGAGGCTTCTGCCTTAACGGAGGCCCGTTTTATGCTAAATGAATGGTCCGATTTGGCGGCCAGAAGTGCTATATTCCTCTTTCTCTCCGGACGCCTGCAACTCCTGACGGGCAATTTTGACCCCGTGAGTCCGCAATATTTAAACGTTCACCCAGATTGATTCTCTTCCCACATGTTTTTATTTGCGGCGGCTAGCCATAAGTGAATACTATCTTTATTGGCTGCCTTGAGCACACAAGTTGGTGGTTGGAATTAGTTCATATGTTGCCAACGCTTCTCCACAAGTTATGTGTGAATCACGACTAAAATGAGACGACTTCTCGGTCTTCTGTACTCTGGTTTTATTGTGTTCTTGGCCAGAAATATTAAATATCCTTCCTCAAACACTAGCAAATTTTGACCTCACGTATCCAAATTGAAGTGGCGATTGCCACCTCTAGACTTGATGGGCGGTCTTCTTTGAGCAAAACATATTCCTGGTCTTAGACCAGGTGCTTACAAATGTGTGATAGACAGATTTGAACCACCAACAGACTTCGCTTAACAAGAACACTTGTTTTCTGGATTAATTGTACATTATCATTAATGGATGTTCAGATTTGTAAGGTGCCCATTAAAAATTCGTAAACTGGGATGGGTTGAGTGCATTCATGCTCGAAATTGCTGCTTGTCGCTATTCGTTTTGCACATTTATATTCACTGCATATGTCAGTCACAGGAGTTAATTGATATACAATTTATTCTAACATTAATTTCATTTTTATGGTTTTCTGAAAAAATCCAGCTTTTCTGAATAAGTGCCATGGTTTCTACTCTTTGCAGCTACTACCAATCATTCTCTGATATGAGCGAACAATTGCAAAGGGGAAAATTTAGACCTTTGATTTTCCATGCAGCCAACGCGGCTACAAGCCGAAAGCTCGGATACATGTTTTGTTAATTGCGCGTCGCTGCAGTACTCCCAAAACAGGCCGCGCGATAGATGCACTGGACCAACACGACAGGCGTTATTGGGGTTGCGCACTAATAACAAATTTCATACATAGAGTGTTTGGTCGCACACCTAGGCGCAGACTCACTCCGCGCCAAGTACCTGCGCCCGATCATGCTTCCAGTCTACTTGACTTTGTTATGACACGGGCTCAGGTAGGTGAGGAGGGAAGAGTGCGATAGATGTCACGCATTAACGGGATCGGTGGTTCCATCCCATTTCGTACCAAACGTTTTTCAGCTGGGTAATTCCCTATTTCCCACGGTCTTTAGCTATTTTGTAAATTTTATAATTTTTCATGGGGACTGTAAAGTCTGATGTACAGATTCCCGTAAGGATTATATTTGGTCGTAAGCACTTCGTAGTTTAGACGAACGGAATGAGCAAAGCCAGCCTGATAATTCTTACGGCTCTGCGATTTTATCGCGTTCGATTTTTGTCCCAAGTGTAAAATGACAAGTGATCGGCTGAATCTTCCGTCAGCATTGATAGAAACTGGCCGTCTATTTGCACAAGCCCCAGGAAGGATCAAACAGGAAGGATGGATTTCACGGCGACCACACTTACAAGGGCCTGCCTGTTATAAAGAGAGATGAGTAAAGTTTAGTGATGACGATCGCTTCGGGTGTCCCACCGTATCGTATTTACTGGAAATTTGCTGCAATTCGAAACCACGTTCTGCAATTCTATTGTCTTGATCCCGGAAGGAACCCAGGAAAGTTGCGAAGTCAAATGCGATTTCCGCCAAATTATTTCCAGAAAGATGTGCTCCTGTGTAGACTGAACATTTCCGTCATCAGCTGCCAGTGCAGTTATATTTTGTATGTTTTGCATCAAATGTACATTTTGTACAAAATGTACATATGATGCCAAGTTTTATAAATGACCACTAAAATTTACTTAGTCTAATGAAGATGCTCTATTACCTCCAACGAATAAACGGGTGTGATAGAATATAGCTTTTTTAGGTAGTCTTCACGACAGCTGGGACTAGGGAGAAGGTTACTGATCAAGTCTAACCGTCTAGATGGAAGAAGAGGCGTGTAGATCAGAGATTGTCAAATGTACGTTTACTAAGTCCCGTATAAATAATCAGAAAAATGGGTGTTCGTACGTAGAGTAAATTCGAAAAGTTCAGAGACAACCACAAGGTCAAAAGGTCATACTCATTTGAAATTGTATCTCAGTAGAACTGACTCTGAACTACGCATCTGCTTTAAGTCGGCAAAGAACATCGAACTGCAGTGAAACGTCAGAAAATGGAAGATTTGCGTCTTTCGGCCTGATAGAGATCTCAGTCGCGTCTGGAGAATTTTTGATTAAACAGCATCGTGGACCACAGATGTCGAAACCCAGGGGACAAATTAGCAAACATGAGTATATTTACGATAATTTCTTATCGAATAAATGTATTCATACAGTAGAATTGAACATGACCAGATTATTAGACAAGTATGAACAAGGTTAATTAAAGTTGAGCTTATAAGGGCCCCTCCCAGCCTCGAAGGTACAGGCATTATTCCCAACCAGCCGCATTATGCGCACCCAGTGCAGGTAAAAACTGTCCCTCAGACCTTTACGGGCGTTTACTCCGCCATTTCCTCGTGTAGTGCAGGCTGAATTGGTGGAACAAGTGGACGTTTGTGCAAATGAGGTAAGGGAATGAAGAACCAATGTACGTAAACAACTCCATCCCGACTTGGTGAGGACACCAATGAACCCTTTCAGATAGTCTTCCGGGTCTAAACGCAGTAGTCAAATCCATCATGGCGGCATTGACTGGCAGCGGTTGAGGCAGCAACATGTAAATTACACAAGCTGGTCCTGTGGTTACAGGAAAATTTCTTGCAGACTCTGCATTTTCCTAAGCCATAGGTCGATTAGTCGCTCTTCCGCAATGAAATGGTGGTAAGTTATTAGCCCTAATGCCTTCATGATGGCGGATCATGACGCCCCGCTTCCCTCATTTTATACATCATTAAAAAACACACTGACCCTTGATTAGCCACCAATCCGGATTAGATATGACCATAAGTTTGCCTGGTTTCGCTGGCAAATTATTGGCATCGAGTTTGTGCTCGTCACTTTGTTTTCTGAATGTGTTAGTGATAATTTTTCGCGTCAATACTGAAGCTTTTTCTTAGGAATAGAAAGTAATCATTGTTGCAGAGGATTTCCCATCTTATAGGTCTGGCAGTCATAAGAAGACTTCGGCCAATATGGCACATAAGACATATTTGTAATTGAAATTGAGGAAAACGTTTCAAGGGAACGTCAAAGCCTGAGACCGATTTACAAAGCGGGAGTAAGTAGCCAACCTTTCATTGCCTAAAAGCTCACGAAGACGGACTATCATCAAGCATTGCTGTAGCACTCCTCTTCTCCGGGCTGGCGGTCAATTTGCCCGCAGAATGATAATCCCATGCATCTCAAGCAGGGATAAGTTTCCCTTCAGTCTACACTGGGCAAAGATCTTTGAGTGAATGGTGTTACCACCATAGAATTTTCGGCAAGTTCTTATTTCGTAGCCGTACCTGTTAGGGATTAGGGTTAGGGGTTCGAGTAAGTGGTTAGGGGGGTTACGATTAGGGGTTGGGTTTAGGGGTTAGGCCGGGGCTTGTCTACTGCAGGTACGGCTACGAAATAAGATCCGACCGAATTTTCATTGTAGTGTCAGAGAATATATCAAAATGTGTCTTAGATCCTCACAATGTTTTTTTTAAGTAATCCAAAATAAAACCGAAGAGGTTCCGAGTACAAACACCGGAAGACAGATTAAGAACCAACCACCGATACACGTATCGCAGGAAAATCACTATGGCTTTATTCGCAAATCCTAACATATAAAGTCTTAGGTGTGCGTATGCAAGCCGCTACGGACATCGAATCTGAGCGTCATTTTTCTAGAGTGATTTTGAGAAGCAGTAATGTGACAACCAGACAAAGCACATTCCTTTAAAACTATCTGCTTCGGAAACGGTTTTATGTACCTACTTGCTAAATTTGTTATAGAGGTACGGAACCTCCATGTCACTCAAGAGCATATGTGACTTCATTACTATCATGTTATTCGGTTAGCAAGAGGGGTTTAAAGGGTAATCTTAATAGATATCAGACCAATTTTCGGATGCTTGGGGTTGTTGAGCTGTTAGTCTGAAGCGTCGTTATTTCCTTCTCTACAGTAATAAATTATCTCTATTTGACTTTAGGCAGAAGAACTCTTCTTCCAGTCAATCCGAAGTCAATCAGACTTCACAAATTACCACCACATCTGCTATTGGGAGTTGATGTGGTGCTATTGGTAAGTCTGGCATTTCATATGAGATGCGCAGTGCGTCCATACCCTGTGCATTTCAAGTAGGTTATAGTTTCTACCCGCAAATATAGAGTTAACTGTTGTAAAAAGTTGCTAACGAGACTTTGGTACATTAGTGTTCAAGGAAAGTGGCTGCAGGCAATGAAGTATGCAGAACGGCTCGCATGCGAGAGCAAGTGGAGTCAGGCCACTTACCGGTACCTCAAAGCAGCCTTGATTATACAGTTCATGGAGGAAGAAGCTAAGGCTGGTAGCGATGTATCCGGCGACAGATTCTCCGCTCTCAAAGACCGGCGTCTCACGCCAGTTGCTCTTTCGGGATACGTCGTTAATAAGGAGACGCCCAAGGAGCGCGAAATCACCGAAGATGCAGACGGTGGGACAATGTCTCTTCATGTGGAGAAGTTGCTTGAGTGTGTTGTTTATTTGTTCGTATTTTCACGTTTCGACCTGCAATCCACGTTAAAACTTAGTGCTCTTGAGAATACAGCGTACATTTTTCTTCCTAAAATGTCGCAATAGGATTTTTTATAAGCCAATACCATGCGTGCCGCCTTTCACTAATCGGTAACGAAGTCCCGAGTATGCCTATAGTCTGAGTTACACAAACAACAAGGAAATGACGAAGCCGATAATTCATGACTTAGAATTGGACCCCATATTTTGGCCGCAAATAAATCGCATCGACAAGTGTCCTAGTAAACGTTTAATCAAAATCCGCCATGAGATATCATTTCAGCTGTTCTGTTTTTAAATTTGACCTGCAATCTTTTTTCTCTTCCGTTCAACAGCGATTACATTTATACTTGAATGTACGAGTAATTGGCCAGACGAAAATAGAATCTCTTTGTTTTCACATGCTATTTACCGGCGCTGCCTCATTACTGCGCAACACGTTCTGTAAGAAATATAGTTATCACATTAGATGCCCAGTTCGGAGATAATGAGATCTGCATCAATTGTCCCTGATATACGATGGTGTCTATTGATTTTGTCGCTTGAAACTTCGTCTACTTCTTAATAAAATGTACTATCTCCTTCATTGTTGCTCACCTACGATCTGCCCGAAATCATTGAAAACTAGGTTAAATTTTTTCATCAAGTTTCTTTCGTGCTTTGAGGACATTGAGTCACCGGACTTACTACTCCACAGAAGTACATCTTTAGCTGAACTTGAAAGATACTTCATAAGATTGAGTGTTGATGCGCCTTTATTCTTCCGTAGCTAGATAATATATATCTCTATGGCCAATCCATATGCGTTATTCCAGCCGCGTGTGCACTCACGCAGCAAAAGAGTCATTTACACAGACCGTCATAATTTCATTGAATGAGTTAGACCTGAAAATGCGGTGAATGTGCTATCTTGTGAAATATTAGCTGAAATTCTGAAATGCATTTTAAATCTGAAAAGACAATCTAAGTAGGGTAGGCATGCTAATTATCGTGTCGTAAAATGCCAGGATATTGCAATTTCGGCAAAATACCGACTTTCAGGTGAGCTTCTTATATGTCGCCTGCGTAAACTGCATTTCGTAAAAATGACTGCTTAAGTTGTATGATTTTTCCCATTGCTTTCTGATGCCCTCATAAATTTTATAGAAAACATAGACAAAAGTACTTTTTCTCTTGCCTATTTGGTTGCAAATCATGTCTTCTCCAAACTTCATGCTTGAAAAAACAACCACTTTCCGTTTGAAAATTTTTTACTTGTGATATTTTCAATCGCGTGCAATGTCCGGTCGTAGAGCATCGCTTCAAGACATTAATTAGTGGTGCTTATAAAGCAAACAACATGGTCCACATCCATTGCAAAATCTTATGAGTCTTATATGACCTTTTGTTGAGATAGTGTAGAACTGCATGGGTTTCCTTACACGGAATGTATACAGCTTGCAGTTTGGGAACCCTGAATGCAAGTATAACGGCAGATCGGGTTCAAAATTATTCGGGAATCGAGAAAGTTTTTCAAAACCGAATAATACTCTTCAAGCATAGACTTTGAAGGATACGTAATTTGCTATGAAATATATTCAAACTTATATGGGCATCGAAAATCGGGGACAAAATCACACTACTTAAGCAGTCCTTTTTGCGAAATGTAGTTTACGCAGGTGGCGAATAAAAAGCTCATTCGAAAGCCGCTACCCTGCCGAAACTGAAATATTCTGGCATTATGAGACGCGATAATTATTATGGCAGATCTACGTAAGCAACCTTTCCAAACTGAAAACACATTTCGGCAGTTCGGTTAGTATTTCATGAGGTACGATATCTAGTATAGTAATTGCAGCTATACATGTAGTTCCCAAGAAGGAAATTGTTTTTATCTCAAAGCCAATACAGACAAAAGGAATTAAAGCTTGCTACTTAGGCTTAGCTTCCCAACAGTTTCAGATATTTCACGCAACTATACATGTTACTCCAACCCCGTATATAGTTGTTTATCGCCTTCACTTTGGGGCTTATGTTTACAGAAGGGAAAACATGTTCAATTCCTAAATGCCTTATTTCCAGTTGTTCCACTTGTTTCCGGTTGTTCTGATTTCCCCGGCCTGTTTTGAGAGTCGTACATGCTCCTATCACGAATTTTAGTAGCATTTTTGTTTATTCGAACGTTTTCAAGTGTATTTTTACTCCCTTATAACCTTCCCTCATACCAGACAGCACGATCACACCGTTCTGTTATTTTTCCTTTCTCGTGGCGGTGTACACAATTACACCTCGCTCTGCTTGATACATCGCCTCGGACCCTCCACTCTCGCTATCTCTGCCATGCGCTCCAGTTCTAAACTGAGGTTTAATATTCCTATTGGTCTTTAAACAAAAATGCTATGTTATTTCAGCGCCTACTGGTAAAACATGAGCCCTTAGATCCGATATCTTCCACCGCCAACCTCTATATACGTAACAGCAGATCTGTACTTGCCGTTATTTAAGAATAAAAAAAGAAACAAATGAAGTCAAAGGAAGGCTTTTTCTGTCCAGTTTATTAAGGGAAAGGTAGGCGAACGCCTTTGAACCCCCTGTTGGTTACAATAACGTCACAAAAAACAATATATAAAGCAAGTGTGAAAGAAGGGCACGTAATTAATTACACACAACATGCATGTAGTACTTGTATGAATATGTCAGTGTATGCATACTGTGTGAAATTTGTGAAGCAATCATTACGCGGTACTGAAATGGTCCACGTAATATGGAAACGAACGCACGTGCTTCAGTCAGGATTCATTAATTCGCATGTGGACGTCCGATGGACACATCCAACGAAAACGTTATATGATAGTGTTACTTACATATAGGGAGTAGCATACTTTGTAACGTATAAAGTTCGGGTAGTACAAGGGGAAAATTTGTTAGTTCCTGATGACGTGGTTGTACATATCCCTGTACTGGCCGAGCTTCCTCTTAAATGTGTCCACGGATTAGGACATGACGACGCCCACAGGCAGAGCATTTCATGCCTTAATCACCCGGTGGCTTAAGAAGAATTTACTTGCGTCCACCCTTGCCCCAGTCACACGTACTTTGAGATGATGTCCTCTCAAGCTATTAGTGGTGGCCGACTCAAAAAAGTCACTGAATGTAACGCAACAATCCCAGCCCCGCAGCATGCGAAACGCTTGAATTAAGCCGCCACGTAACTGTCTGTAGTTCAAGGGAAACTGGTCAAGATTTGACAGTCGATTTTGGTAAGGTAATTTTTTTGACCTCTGAAAAGCTTGGTTGCCCGTTGTTGGACTTCTTCGAGGATGATACGGTCTTTAACAGACCAGGGTCTCCAGGCCTGAATGACAAATTCCAAATATGGCCGCACGAACATCCTGAAGACCTTGCTAAGGCACTCTTCGCCAAACTTTGCAAATGCCCGCTTAATGAGATATAAGCTGGACATTGCGGATTTCGCTACTTTCAAGACGTGGAATAATGGCTTTAGTGAAGATGTTATCGACACGCCTAGGTCCTTCTGAACATCTACCTCTAATGGTGGTGTGTGATTTAGATAAAACTCTCCTTGGTGCTCAGAGCTGGTTCTCCCGATTTGCAGAATGTTGCCTTTGTAACATTGAACAGGAGGAGGTAGTGACTTGACCATCGCTCGAGTCGGTTCAAACTCGTCCGTAGATTTGCTTCATCGTCCTCGTTGCGGATGTTGGTCCAAGGTTTTGTGTCGTCAGCAACACGGCAATGTCCTAGTCCAACCCATGGATGCAGTCATCAATATATATGAGGAAAAGGATAGGGCCAAGAACGGAGCCCTGAGGTACGCCGCTCGCAACCGTCAGCTCCGCCGATTGTTGGTCACCAAGACGGACAATCTAGGATCGACCAATCAAGAAGTTATTGATCCACATCAAAAGCTTGCCTCTTACCCCTATACGGCTGAGTTTCTATGGGTGACCTTGGTGTGGCACACTATCGAAGGACTTCTTGAAGTCAATGTAGGCCACATGCACCACGTTTCCTTCATCAATCGCTAAGGTCAACCGTTCTAAACAGTAGAGTAAATTAGTTAATCAGGACCGTCCTCTGCGGAATCCATGCTGCCAATCAGACAGAAGATGATGTTGCTCTAAAAACTGCAGCAGTTCGCGTTTGATAATTCGCTCCATAACTTTGCAACATATGGAGGTGAGGCTTACCGGTCGGTAGTTGTTTGCGGAAGCGTGAGTGCCACATTTATGTATCGGTGAAATCCACGTAATCTTTCACTGAGGAGGCAGTCTGCCTGCATCGGGGGAGGCTTTGAAGAGAAGACATAGAGGTTCCGCCCATTCTGTGGCCAACTCCCTCAACAACTTTGCTGGTATTTCATCAGGACCCAGCGATGTCGCTCCTTTTGGCTTCAGTAGTTCTTGTTGAACAACAGGTTTTGTGAGAATCACTGGGCCAACATAAAAAAACATAAAAAGTGAAAGTGGTTACCATGAATGAAATTTTGTAAGTACTATGGACAAGTTTTCAAGCGTTTAAAAACTGGCGAATTTTTATAAACGTTAGGGCGTTTCGCATACTCGATGGCTTCTGTGTTGATACGTAAGCGGATGACTGAGTCCGCATAGTTTCTATCCTTCTGTTTGTCTCTTTTCAGAGGCGTCCCACAGATGGTTCAGCGGATAGCTGGTAAATCATTGCCAATTGAAAAATTTGCAATGAGGAAGTCAAAACGCTACTTTGAGCAGGGAAAGCGGTTAACGCTTCCGGGTCTGGTAAGGCTTTGTTTGCCTCGTTTCTCAGCAGCCTAATTCATTTTACACCGTTTCTTAATATTACTCCGGTTTCCTGGATTCCCAATCAAAAAACTACCTGAACCATTTGAAATGTCGGTTACTTTTACATCCAATGCCATAGTAAGATGTTATAGGTCTTGGCTTCCAGAGTTACTTCGTCTGAAAATTACTTTTCCCACATTCTATAACAATCCTGAGAGAGGAACGAACTTCGATATCCCCGCAGTAGATGGGAATTCTTATGTGCGCATGCTTTTATGTCTTAGGTTTTCTCCCTCGAAATGGAAAACTACCATCATCTTGCCTCTTGTCTCCTGTTTTTGCATTTAAGGAGCTCATGTACCTCTGGAACGGATTTAAACTCGTCTATAGCAAGGCCGATGTACTGGAGAAATTCCTTCTCCTTGTAGAATTCAAACTCAATCGCCTACTGGCAGAAGAAAGTGAGGTTATTCTCTTGTGCTTTTGTGTTTTTGGAAAGATCGGAAAGAGTGTTCAGGCATCCTTCTTATGCCAGCTTTCTCTTGTTACACTGAAAGGAATTACGGGGCGTGTAGTGGACATCTTGTATTTGTTTAACTATCCACCATGTATTCTTGGCAATCTGGATGCGAAACTTTAGCACCACTGCAAGGAGACCGATGACTTACCTCTGACTAGGGGGATACTCCACTTCACATGCAGACTACAGGCTATCGAAAGCAACAACGAAATCTGCACAGTGAAGGGCTTAAGACTGTCATGCAATGGCCAATGACTGGTGAACTGTGGGCTCTCATAGCAAATCAGAGCGTAGTGGCCCATTTGGGGAGTGCCACAGCATAAAGTAATTCTAGATCGAAGACCCAACCATTGCAAATAAATTGCTCTTCTAACGCTCCTGTGTCAGGCTTGGGGCCCAAAACGCGCTTGCTGAAATCGATGATTTTGCTACATCTCTCCGGCTCTCAGAGTTTCCTTCACGGTAACGTCTAAAGACCACGTTGAATGCTATGTAAAGAGCGGGTTGCGACGCAAAAAGTTTATTTTAAGTTGAATTAAATTTGGCCACGTCAGTACACTATCAGTTGTTAGTATGCCACTTCAAAATGCGTCCCAAGCTTAGGGTTATAATTAAGCTTCAATTTACGAGTAGATAAGGTTGATGAGTATGTTCTACATCCAAGGTAGAGGTGATCAAGGTAGTGGGATTCCTTTCCTTCGAGGGCGTACTGACGGACCAACCACTGAACTTTCTATGGAAAATTCAAAGAATTACCATCAGACAACTGTCATCAGTCCGAATGATTAAGTCAGAGTGTATAAATGAACGAAATACGACTTTTTATCCGAGTCTCTGCAGTTTGTGTAAATGGAAAACATTGGAGGAGGTTCAGGAGGAAGGATAATTTTGTACACAGCTGGCCAGTTAATTGACATCGGGCCATGACATCTGTCGAGTCTGCTTGAAGTGCTGCGTGCTGAAGGCCGGCTTGCGTAGCCGGATTACTCTCGCATCCACCGTTATAAGTCGACGTTGAGCAACCACTTCTGATAGTACACAAGCACTAGAGAGACTACCTGGAAAGTTTCTTCGACTTCCAACTGGCAGCCACCAGCCGCGTAAAGACAGAACTGCTTACCATTCTTGTCTTGTACCAATTATCTTGGAATGTCTCCTCACCGTTTATCCTTTGCACCTTCCGGTCTGACCAACATGTGTTGCTCCAGAATAAGTACTGAAAAGCATAAGAGAGAATGGGGCAGCTATTTCTGGCTTTTTAATCATTGTCAACCCATCATATCTAACTCCATGTTTGCATAACCACAAGAGTAGCTGAAAGGATGGATATGTTGAAAAAATATCCAGTGACAGTCCTCGTTTTAAGGTTATGGGAGAGAGTACGCCACCTTTATTTTGGGACCAACAAACTTCTTGGCGAATAACTCCAATTAACCCGGTCTGGAGAGGACGAAAAATTAAAGTTAACGCGATATGTTCATTAACTGCATTGATTTGCCAGCGCAGCCAATACACGGCGGGGTAAATTAACGCGAGTTTATGAAGGATACAATCAATCTTCGTTAGCCAGGTTGTTAGTTTTCGCCATTTAAAATGAACATTGTCCATGAATTAGTTGAGAAGGTAAAACAGGTACGCATATTTCTCAGCCTCCCTTTAGAGAACGATTTTTGTATCTTAGCGCTTGGAAACCTATGGGAAACAGCCTGAGTCAGACTTCCTTTATTTCATTGCGCTGACTAAAAATATCCGTAGCACTCCACTGTACTCTAATTTCCACCAGTTTGCTTGGCGGCTTCCGGCCTTACCAATCGCAAAGTTGTTTTACCCCTGAGAATAGTATTTGCTCTCTCAAGTGTTGTGGTAGATATTTTGAGTTGAGCTTCTGCACTTAATGCTAATTAATTTTGCCAGGAGGACTTTGGTTGTCCCACTAATAAGTCATGCCATTTGTCTTAATGTTGCACAAAATCTTCATTGAATCAGGCAATTACAAGTACTTCGCTGATGACTTCTGCTTGGCAACTATGCTAAAAGGAGTTTGCTTGCGCTGTCTTGGTCGACAAATGCAGGCGAAAATGTGTTTTATGGAAGTCATCATGAAGTAAGTGTCTTGAAAAGCCCTATCACCTCCTTATCCTAACAAATCTCTGCAGACCTTAAAATATTATAACATTATGTTGGCTAGTATTAAGTAAAATACGCCAAGAGTTCCTGTTCCTATGATATACTTGCAACAGTTTATGATATCTGCAAACGGCGCATTGGAAATCAAGACACTCGTTCATCCATGTGAAACTTTCCACCTGCGAGGTCAAAGTGCTAACCATCCAAACTTATGCCTAGTACCCAACGTCTCAGTCACTGCGGCCGCAGTTGCTGACCGCGCGAATTGACGGACGATTCCACTGGAACATGTTTAATGCTAACTAATCGAAATACAAAACTGGCAAATTAGCTGAAAGTTTGCAGCTAGCTAAAGTGTGACGGCCGACCGTTTGGATTAACATCGCGCGCTCCACATCCGGCCTGTCATACTTATATCTGCCGACTTTGCGAGTTGGTTTGTATCGTTTTCACCCCAAGCCGCAGGTGTACCCAGTATAATGTGTTCGACATTAGTGATGATTAGTATAACCCACACTACGTGTTTTATCCCCTACGTCCTGGCTTGCACAGGGAGCCTATTATTCTCTGATCAGCGTTATCGATGGGATTGCAGGGTGAATCGCCTGTACCAGAAGATTTATAATTCCGAAGGACACTTGAAATAACCCCATACGTTTTCAAAAAATCCTTCAGGCAGACTCTGAGAACTAGAAAAATTACATCGTCAGTCCACAGTTTGGGCAGTGCTCTAGGCAAGCATTTTCTAATTGTACAGGCCACTGCCTCTCTTATAAAATAACATCTGCCATAATTCGCACTTTCTGAATAGCAAGGCGAGCTGATTTTGACATCAGCACTTGTTCTGCTCAATTCCAGGAAAACTTCCTTCAGTGCAGAAGAAATCGAAACATGATCAGGCAGCCCCATCACAGTTATACTTACTCTACTCATGCTGGCCAGAACGACCTAAAGATAGAATTATAGGAAATCAAGAAACATGTTTTCCTCTGTATTATCAACTCTAAGGTTATAAGTAGGCACAGCAAGTTTGCTTCTTGCTCGATTAACCATTTCTCCCCAGCACTGAGGAACTCTTTCAGACATCGCAATTACTTATTCTACCTCGAGAATGCGATATACTCTTTGGATGTGTTAGTTTTGCAACTTTTCTGCTCGTAGGATCTTCCTTCAGTCAAGTTTCCCGACGATATTCCGTTTGGACAAATGATGCCTATCTAGGCTACGTAGCGAGATCGTAGTGTTTATTTCAGTAACTGGCAAACTGTACAGATTGAACTCCTTTTTAATCAAACACTCGCGAGGTTTTATGAAGCTACTTCGAAATGTGACGTAGTAGAAACCATTTTAATAGGTCTCTTTGATTCGTTCGACACTGGGCATGCACATAGGATGAACACGAAAAGACACAATGCACTTATAACTTACACTGACTTTGTTTTCTAGGACATGGTGTGAATTTTATACCACAAGAATGCAGGTGGAATTAATGTATAAATATGGAAAATGTCAAGATGTTAGGGTTCCGACTAAATTGTTACGCTCTGGAGCGTATGATTATCCAAGCAGCGGATATTAGGGAAACATGCCAGCAGGGATTGAGGTTTAATTATATCAGTTAGCTCTACGTGAGATATCAAGTTCTGAAGACCAGATAACGTGCCAATTCCCAAACATTTTATAGGCAAACATTCCTGATGTGTCCAGGTGAAATTGGTTTATTATTTGGAATTCGTTCATCGTTGTCATTTTAAAACGACCTGGACTCCGCACATTTATGTTGCTTTTGCTAGTTAAGTTCTTACGAATACCTTTTTGGCCTTTCTAATCACAAAAGTGACAAAGTATGCACAGACGTCTTCGATAAGAATAGTGAAGCCTGAGGAAATCTGTGTCAGTTAAGAGTCTCCCAGCGAAATAGGGCGCACGTTCTTCACTCCGAGATGGTCTTAAACCAGAAAGTGAAACTACATCTTTTGAAATCCTCACAGTTGCCAGAATCAACGGGTAAAACAGCGAGCACTTGATAATACGTTATCCAGATGACATGGTAGAGCGAGATCCGTAGCAAGATCAGAATGCAAGCGGATCTAGATAAAATCATCCATACTTTTAAAATGCAAAACTTATTATAAGCAATTTGGATAGCTGTGTTACCGACTCCCGACTACCTTAAGTTTAAACTTATTTATCCTCCTTGGTGTCTGTGCCCCACTTTCTTGTTAATCCTTCATCAGGCATCCATTCTCGTAACAGCATTCTGCTCCGACTTTTAGCGCCAAAAAGATCCAAGTGGATACATACTTGCTCCCCTTCAGCGAAGTTGAACTTTGCCAAATAAGTCTTGACGAAGGTGACGTCGCCGAGGCCAAGAAGCACTTAGAGGCTGCGTGGTAAACTATCGAACTGCATTTTATTTGAAACACGTGGTTACGTAAATATATTCAGTAGGCATAAAAAAGTACATATACATATATACACACGTTGGATCCCATGGGAACTTTTAGGAACTATCGCGGCTATAGCCTCGAAGCTCGCCTTCACTTCCGACTTCATGCGATCAGTTTGGCACTGAAAGCCAAGAAGAATGACATTTCACAGGATGTCAACGCAGTCCAGCCGTCACCAATCGCATCTTGGCATGAAGGACTTTCAGACGCCGCAGCTCTTGACAATGATAACCCTTTCGAAGCAGATGACGATCTGCCCGCTGACGATCCGAACGAAATAATCACCTTCGGAACTACTGGGTATGTTGGCACTCAGTAAATGGGAGTTAACAATATTCCAAGATATTAATCAATAGGCAAAATGTTATTAACGACAAAGACAAGGAAGACTGGAATGGCCATTTCTGGCTTGTCAGCCGTCGTCAGCTAGTCATACCCAAACCCGAAGTGTGGGACACCTAGGGCTCGAACTCGCGACTCCTTAGTTGGAAGTCCAACGCCACTAACCACCGGGCCACGGCCCCGTTGTCCTGTTGGTTTTGGTCGTGAATATACTTTGTCGGTCATAACATTCTGCCTCTTCATGCGCCGCTCTGCGGCTGCTGGTTGGGCTCGAGAGTGAGAGCCCGTAAGGCACAACGGAACGAGTGAGTTCCGTAAGAGCGATCGGTGAGCGCCCCTCTACCATATTACTCCATATCACATTTATATTCCAAGAAAAGACCTCTCCTTAACTCTTAGTCATACACTGCACTTGGCAGTATACTCCCCAGAGAACTGGCACACGCAGATAAATATGACAAGAGGGTTTTTGGTTTGATTTTGCTTCGCTTGAGATCAGCTGCCGATTTAATAACAGAAAATCAAGTTTTATACAAACAAATTGCTGGTGTTCTTATACGAGTAGTTCTCAAGGTCAAACTAAGTTGTAAAATTGAACTGGATCGTCTTCAGATGCATCTTCTGGCCGTAGAAGCTTTATAACCAGACATACTTCGCAATGACAGTTTCTTAATTTGTCAGTTTTACCAATTAACTTAGGACGACTACCAATTCAAGGTGCGGCCGGAAGAATTCCGTTACATTCATGCAGGCATGTTCGCTTCCCAAACGGAGCTAAAATTTAATTCTGGTTTATCAGAACAAGACATATAAGCCAACACCCACTACTAGATCGTCCGCATTAATTTGATTCTTTCTATAGGCAGTCAGCTGTGTGAACAGGACGATCGGCAGCGCTTGCTAACGAACTAACAACCGTTCTTCCACAGTACGCATTCTCGCACCTAGATCCTTCACCCGCTCATATCAGTGGTACGAAAAACACTTTGTCTACAATTCTACCTTTATCAGCCGTTGCTCCGTCGTTGGAATCCTCCGACCGCCAATGGAGATTCTTAGAGGAGGACGTATTTTTGCACTCAAACACATCAAAACGCGGTTTTCATCTTTTTATATTTTTCTGCACTTAACAGAGTGATCTGTGATTTTCGTGACTTAATTACACTAGCATTTTACTGTTCTTCCACTCTTTTGAAATTTCCTCTATGAACATGTTTTTGGTGCCTTACTGTGTGTTTTATGAAATAACTTTTTAAAATGCTTCCAACCGATGTTCTATCTGCAAAGATTATGTGACTGAATGAAGTAATAGATAAAATTAGCAACTTGCTGATTGTTGGAGGACTGGCAATGTAGTCCTGGAAGCACCGGAAACGGCTCAATCTCATCATTATTACACAGCAAATCAAAAGGCGATCAAATATCAGCCGGGGTGATAGTTTCACGAAATCTAATGCACAAAACATCTGCGTATGGTTAGCTCAAAAAAACTACTTGGATGCTAAGCTAATAAGAAAGGAATATACTGTATGCGAAAGTGCTCTCTACTTAAATTCTCAGTGCATAAGCGCAAAGTACCTCACTAAAAATTTCTGTTCACGTCTGTCATCCGACAGTTTGACCGTCGCTTCCGACAATACGCACCGTGTGCTCCACAGCAGGTGAGAGCAAGGACCGCGATTGCGCATGAGTTAGTTTGTAGGGATAGTGGGCTTACGGGGCGTTTACCTTACTCTCCTCATCTCCCACCGAGGCCCGGTGGAACGGAACGGGGCACAGGCGGCTAGCAGGGAGAAAACTCACACCTAGACGTACCACCAAACCCCTTGGTTTACAACGTGCATTGACCAGGATCCTGTACAACAACAAAATTATGGGGCGGCACGGGTACCGACGGGCGCGGCGCGGGTCTGAATATGGTGTGCCGCCAATGTTGGTATTTGTTATGAGTGCACATCCCAAAAACGCCTATAGGATTAGGATCTAGCCCTCGTGCTGGTGCATCGCATCTACTCCGCGGCCCGTTTTGGAGTCAAAACACAAACGATAGCTCGACTGACGTTGCCTACGATGTCCACCGTGCGCTACACAGCAGGGAGGAAGTGGGGACGGTGACTCGCGCAGTAGCAACTGTACTCCTATGCCACCGGGGCCCACCGTCATGACCGAATCAAGAAGGCCGAATGCGGTAGAAGACGCAGGTGGCTGACACGGCGCAAACCCGCACCTAGGCGTATTACCACACCGCCGGGTCCACAACATACACTGACTAGGATTTTATGCACCAAGAAAAATGGTGGGCGATTCGTGTTATGACCCGGAAGAAGGTAGGACAGGAAGAGATCCGGTTCGGAGGACAAGCACTGTATTGGTAACTTGCTGGCACGAGAGGTTACAACCCGTGACAAAGATGCGCTAATTATATTGGCTTCTGTGCCTTCTGGAACATTCCGTCCAACGACGTGCCAGCCGTTGAGGGCGTTCTAGAATGTTCCTGCCCCGGGCGCGCTGGTCGCTAATTGGCCACCGCGCGCGCGACAGCTCGTCCCCCCCGCGGGAACGTCTGGAATGTTCGACCAGCCACTGATTGGGCCGCACACGTAAGCAATGCCACCACACGTGCTCGGCGCTTTACTGCATGCGGGTTGGCCGTGTAACTTCACGCGCCTCACGCCGCCGGCTTGGTCCCCTGTTCAGTGCCTTCGGCCGTGGCTCTACGCCGCTCGCACTCTCCTTAACAGTTCGGATCCCAATTTGTGCAACGCGAGTCTGCAGTTGGGCCGGCCACAATGCCCTAAATGTTGAAATTTGTAATTGATGCGCATTTCCGACAATGCGTGCCGGACTGCGAACTAGCTCCTGCGTCAGTCCTGCGCAACTGCCGCGTGGCCCGTTCTAAGGGTAAAAAACAAGCAAACACACACACACGACAGTTCGACCATCGATTTCGATGATGTCCACCGTGTGCACCACAGCTGCAGCTGCAACGGTGGGAGCAGGGACGGTGACTTGCGCAGGGGTTTATAGTGCCGGTAGACTTTCGCTGCATCTACCTACACTCTCTCCTCCTCCCTCGCCTGAGCCCGGTGTCAAGACAGAGTCAAGAAGACCGGAGACGAGGGAGGCCGCAGGTGGACGGCTTGGACGAATCCTCACCTTGACGTTCCACCTCACCCCCGGTCCACACAACAAATGACCAGGATTTCAACCAACACAACAGAGATTTGGAGGCTGGCACGGCCGAAGCCGCACCTGGGCGTGCCGCCAACGGCTGGCTCGGATCCCACGCTGTGATGGGAATGCCATACAGGCCACATTAAAAAGGAGCCATTGCAGCCTGACTCTCAGACCGCCTACAGTTAAGGAGGAGGTCCACGTTACCCCTTCAGTTGGCAACCTTCCAAGCCACGGCTTTTAGCGCACCGTGATAGCTTCAAGCGCGTCAGATTGTTTATAGTGAGGAAAATGCGCTGAGTCGTCGACCTCACTCTCCCTTCCCATCCCCACACCCCAGCCGCTGTCCGAGTCGGTCAACAGACTGGAGTGGGAAATGGGCGCGGTGGCTGGCATGGTCGACTGACCATGCCTGCGTGCGCCACAGCGCGACCTGGCCCCCCATACACACAAACACCAGGATTTCACACAACGGGGGTTGAACGGCTTGTCTTTCACTTGCGTGAGAGGGCCGTGGAAGGTGCTGTTTCAGCCCGTCCCCAGCCCACCAGTCCGCCACTCCACACAACACACACACATACACACACAACGCGACGAACTGCGTGAACCGAGAGCGGGCGTCAATCAGCAACCATCTTGTCCACAACGCTTGACGTGTCGGGATAGTCTCGGACTCAAGTCACCCTTGCAGCCGAAGCCCCATGAGGACCGTTTCGAGATGCACACTTCCCACTTGCGTGGGAGGTGGCAGTTGGGTGCATGAGGTGTGTGAGTGTTGATGTGTGGTGGGATGGTGGTGGTGGTGGTGGGAGGTAGGGAGTGAGTGAATGTGTGCTGTGGCCGGCGTTTGTCTACCGCAGGTCGTCGTGGATGCGTATGTGGCCGAATAGACCCATGCGATGCCTGAAGGTGCGAGGGCAGTGTGGGCAGTTGAGACGAGCTTGGTGGGTATAGGTTGGTGCTCCAGGCACTGGTTCGCCAGTCTCTGTGCGATGGATTCGTAAGTGACCGACCAGGCCGATGCGTGAGGTGAAGGTGCGGTCGCAGTGAGGGCGGGTGTAGTCCTGATCCTTATCCCTGGAGTCAGGGGAGGTGGTGGTAGTGTCGGTTGTTGTGCGCGGGACAGTCCCTTGAGCGGCCGCCGTTGGAGCTGTGGGCGAGGAGGAGGAGGAGGAGGAGGAGGAGGAGGATGGTAGTGGTGGTTCAGAAGAATTGTCAGAGTTAGTTGGCGGCGGAGAGGAGGAGGAAGAGGCGGGCAGGGGGACGATGGTTGGTGCAGTTCGAGAGGCGCAGTTGGCCCGAAGATGTCCAGCAAGTCCGATTCGAGCCCGGAATGTTCGTTGATATCGAGGACACGTTGGAAGCGGTTGTGCGGCGGCGTTGCGTACTGGGCGAAGTTGGGATTTGCGGGCTTCGCGTTTCGCTTTGGCGGCAACGAAGCGATGGGCTTCGTAGATCGCAGCCCCCGTTTTCACTGTCCTCCTCCAGGTCGGGCGGTCGACTGCGAGGTCTTCCCAGCTGGTCGGGTTGATTTGAAGACGCTTCAGGTAGGACTTCAGAGTGCCCTTGTATCGACGAATTTGGCCTCCTTGGCGGCAAGAACCCGTCGCGACGTCTCCTTAGAAGAGGCGTTTGGGTAGTCGTTCGTCCTCCATGTGCACCAGGTGGTCGCTCCAGCGCAGCTGCATTTGTCTCAGCATGGTGTAGATGCTGAGCATTCCCGTCCGTTCCAGCATGCCAGTGTCGGGGATTCGATCCTGCCAGTTCAGCCTCAGGATGCGACGGAGACAACTGAGGTGGAAGTGATTCAGTCGGCGTGCCTGCCTCGTGTACACCGTCCACGTCTCTGCTCCGTAAAGTAGCGTCGGCAGGATGACGGCCTTGTACATCCTCAGCTTCGTGTTCAGTTGAAGACCTTGGCGATTCCAAACTGTGCTTTGGAGGCGACCGAAGACTTGACTGGCTTTCGAGATCCTGTTGGCGACTTCGTCATCGATTTTGGTGTTGCGGGAGAGAGTACTGCCCAGGTACGGGAATTTCCCCACCACTTGCAGTTGGGTCCCATTCACGCTGATTTGGGGCGGCGCGTTGGAGACTGTGACTGAGTGCGGTGGCGGTTGATGCATCACCACCGTCTTCTGCGTGTTGATGACCAGACCGAAGTTCTCGCAGGCGGCGGAGAACAGGTCCATGCTGCGTTGCATCTTCTCTTCCGAGGTGGTGTTCAAGGCGCAGTCGTCGGCGTTAATTCAGGAGATGACCGTCCGTCCTGTAGGCGACGCGGATCCGGGGGGCGTTCGTCGCGGTAGGCGTCCATCAGCATGGCGGAGAACATAAGACTGAAGAGGGTTGGTGTCAGCATGCATCCCTGCTTCACTCCGTTGGTCACTGCGAATGCCGCTGAGACAGCTCCGTTGTCCGCCACTCGCGCCATTATACTGTCGTGCAGCTGACGCACCATCTGAATAATTCGCTCCGGACAGCCGAATTTCTGCATGATCTTCCACAGTCCTTCACGATTCACCGTGTCGAAGGCTTTTGTCAGGTCAACGAAGGTAGAGTACAGGTGGGTCCGCATCTCCTGACACTTCTCCTGAAGTTGGCGGGCGGCAAAGATCATATCCGTGGTCCCACGATGACGACGGAAGCCGCATTGGCTTTCCGGCAGAAGGCCCTGTTCCAGATGATTATTGAGGCGGTTGAG